CATACTTGAAAAAATTTTTCCAGATTAGTCATTTTTTAAATATGTATACACTAAAATGCAAATTAATAGATCAGCTAGACTTATAATTGTGTAATGTAATATACGAAATAATATAATAAGATATAAAAAAATGTGCGAAATTGATCTTTCTAGCAAAATAAAAAGGTTTCTTTCTTTAAACCTGAAAAATTAATAAAAAATTAACGTAATTATAAAGAAAGGACAAATCTCTCCAAAGTAGTAACATTCGCTTCAAAAAGAGACATCTGGTCGGTTTATTTGATAAGACGTTAAAAATTCCAAACATGAATAACTTCTTTGATGGCTTGTAATATACCTGTATCGTACACCATGTTAATAAAACGTCAATATTATGAATGAATCGACATACGAGATAATAATTGCTTACGACATTGATCATTAGACGTGTAATTTCACTTAGATAACGCTTCGCCGATCGCTGCGATTCGAACAAATTTCACTTTCCAAACGCGCGAAAATATATATGCGTATATATATATATATATTTAATTATATATAAATTATTATAATCATTTATCATAAATAATTATTATAATTTTTAACGTTTAATATTAAAATCGTAAAGTAAAAAAGAATTAATAGCGCAATAATATATAATTAAAAAGAATAAATTTAATTAAAATATAAAATAAATTTGTCTAATTCTATTTAATTAAATTCATTTATAAACTTATATATTTATTATATTAAATAATATAAATATCTTATATATAATAAATATTTTATATAATTATTAATTAATATTCACGTACATATATTTCTAATTTACGTATTATATATATTTATGATTAGATAATTGTAATATGTGCATTTTAATCAGATCTCTTCTCGGAAACGTGTAATTATAGGTGTGCTTCGCAATCAGTTATATGTGTGCGCGAAAGCGTTCGATTTATGTCATATTTTATTTTATAGATAGACTTAATTGCATTTGCAACGTTGATAAGCACTAATGTACACATCGGGAGCGCGCGAATTAAAACAGGGTCAAGGTTAATAATATCAAGGTCGACGACACACGCCACTTAAAGTAAATTACTGGGATAACTCCTTTATCGGATCGTCCTAATTAGGTAGAAGCGAAAATGCTGTTCTGCATCCATCTCTTGACATATCGGTTTGATTTATTGTGCGTCCGCGCGTGCAAAAAAAAATTAATACAGATACATCGGTTTTAATGCAATCGAATTGATGAGTCTATTAAAATGATATAAGTCTTCCCGAGTTCGTGGTGTGAAACTACTGCTTGTTTTTACTATGGGCGTATCATTGTCGTTTTACGATCTGTGAAGAATCTTAATTAAAAGATTGTCACTTCCTGCATTTATTGACAAATTTACAATTCAATTTTCTTCATTGATGACTGATTTATGCTCTTATGTTACATCAAACATGATCAGCGTGTAATCGATTGGACAGACCTAAAGAATTTACCAAGCTTAGAGTTCATTATCCGACTAATTGAATAAGTTTCTCCACTAGATTTTTATCTATCTGAATTTTTTTTTTAATTCACGTGCGCGAAATATTTCAATGTCTTCTCGAAAAATATATCAAAAAGATTAATGTCTCATTTCGTACTCTGAACAAAATTTGTTAACTTGACTAAAACTTTCAACTAAATATTATTTTGTTAACTGAACCTATAAAAATATTTAAATTAAATATAACATTAAATTTAACAAAACGTATATTTGACTTAAATACTAATATATGTTGATTTAACAAAATAATAATTTAGTTGAAAGGTTTAGTCAAGTTAACAAATTTTTTGTCAGTGTACGTCAACGTATCGATTGGACAGACTTGAAGAATTGCCCAAGTTTCGAGTTCATTATCCGACTAATTGAATAATAGTTTCCCCAGTAGATTTTTATCTACCTGAATTTTGTTTGCTTCACGTGCGAAAGATATTTCAATGTTTTCTCGAAAAATATGTTAAAAAAAATGAATGTCCCATCTCTTTCTCTCAATTTATATCCTTTTGTACGTATCATAGACACATTCTATTACACGTGGTGTAACTTGTGTGCGAAATCTAGCAACTCGCACGATTACTTTCACTCTCCGGACAAGATCTTACGAATCTGCTAACCGGAGCTTTTCCTCAAGCTTAACATTCGCGTCATTATATGCTAATGGAGAGGAGTCCCGGCAGCTTGTGAGAATCCGCTCGAGGATTCCGCTTTTGCCGGCAGCTGCGGGCGAAAGGCGCACGAAAGCGAGTTTATATACAGAGAGAAGGAGATACCTGCCGGAACGTTTGCAATTAAGGTCGAGGTAATGAGGAAGGTAAGATCACCTGCGCGAGAACCGTACGCATCCCCGGACGACCGATTTCGACATTGTCTCTCTCGGCGTAACTCCGCTATAAAAACTCCTCTCTCGCTTTTACTTTTTATTAGACGACACTTTCGCTAGATGCCCGAAAAATGATAATTTTTTTTTTTTTTTTTTTTTTTGCAAACACGGTTGTCCCTTATAAGGGAATTCTCGAGAAAGCTTATTCATCAAGATTTTTACAAGACTTCTTTCTTGTATTGTTTGTGATAGTATTTTCTACACAATTATGAGATTTAAATTTTGCGTACTATAATTTTTAAATATAATTTCAGATTTTGATAATTTAAAATTTTATTTTATTTTATTTAAATTATAGACATTTTTTTATTCGAGTTTTTGATCATATGCTTGATAGCTCTAATTCGTACTTCATATTTCTAGAATATTACATGTTTCATAATTCGTGTATATTAAGTATTTCATATAATTTGTAATATTAAATAATATTTCATAATATTAAATTTACTTTCGAAACAATAAATAATATAAATTATACGGTCCATTAAACTCTATAAAACATGACTAATTTTTATTAAACTTTTTGCAAATAAAATAAATAAGTTTATAAAATATATTTAAAAAATATATAGGTATTTACTTTATTTTGCTAATTATACTAATTAAACAAAGTATATTATTTAAAATAAAAATTTATATATATATTTGACTAATAAAACATTACAAATTAAATTATAATTCCTGAATTACTTAGTTAAACTTATCTAAACAGTTTCATATAAGAAAAAAAAGTCTTTAAAAAATGAAAAATGTAGATTATTTTTCAACTGACATTAAACAGAACTAAAATCCTAATTTGAGAAATAAGAATCATCGCGGAAGTCTTTCAAGCATTGTTTCTTATTACAGGGAAGTAACTGAAAATATCTCTTAAATTATCAAACTGCCAAGATAATGATTACATATTGCCTATAATTTCTTAACGAATAGTTTCGGGCGATCTAAAAAATCGAAAGTCGCCAAAAGAGAAAAGCGTGGCCGATTGATCGATTATCCTTTGTCTCGAAAGTACTTTTGGTCTCTGCCGAGTGGCTGTCGAGTTTACACAAATCCTCATTAAACTGTCATGGGAGATTTACCAACCGTACGACTTCCGGTCGATGTGTGTGTGCATGTTTCCTTCCTCCTCCCTCCTATTATGATTATATTCTCCTTTTTTTTGTACAGCTTCACGTATCGCCCCCACACTTGCTGCGGCACGATCGCGGAGAAAGTAAAGGTCGTGAGTTCGTCTCGCGACCCTGAAGACCCTGAGACACGCTTGCTCACTCAATTCTCGTCTTATCCTTAGAAAGCATCGTTGTCTTCCTTCCCTCTACGACTCATCTCTCTGTTTTTCCCTTCCAATGTTGCACGGCGCATCTTCGCATGAAAGCCATCGTACTTTCATCTAATACGAATTAATGGTTGCACGAACGAGTGACTCACATTCACGACATCTCGATAAATGTTCCGGAAAACACGATTCGGCACTTTCAATCGCACGAATTATTGCGATTGATCATTGTCATCATTTTTTACAAAATTACAAAATCAGATTTTATTTAGAAATGTGTCGTAGGCTGTATCAGATACAAACTAAAGGTGTTGGAACATTTATACATTTCGATTATAAAATTCGAAAAATTCCATCTTCTTTGCGTTCTACGAAAATGTGAAATTTATGTCAGATTTATTAAACACGTGAAAAAAAAATGAATTCAAAATCAATCAACTGTGACGATTTAGGAAACATAATTTTTACTTATGAAAAATTATTATGCTTTCTTAAATAAAATATCAATAAATGAATGTTGATTGATTTTCTATACATATGTGCAATTACTATAATTAAGTTTGTTAGTACAGCTGAATTTTGATACTGATATTTCTTCATATTTCCAGGATATTTCATAATATTAAATTCATTTTCAAAAACAATAAGTTATACAATGTGTTATGCTTGAAAAAATATAAATTAGTTTCTCTTTACTTTTTACAAATAAAATAAATATATTTAATATATACTAAAAATATATAGCCACTTTATTTTACTAATTATACTAATTTACTTAAAATAAAAATTTGCATGTATTCTTGACTAATAAAACTTAACAAATTAAATGATTCTTTGTAGAAATAAATTGTTACATGTGTTTAAATTGCTAAAAATATTGCATTTCTGTAATGTTTTCACTCTTCGTCTTAAAGAATTAATTTCAATGTTGTAGACAATAAAAAGGAAATAAATCACCGAAACATGGAAATTATATTACCTATGAGGAGGGTAGTGTAAAATAATATTTATTAACGTATAAAAAAGTATTAAAACATGCATGCATCCCAGTATCAAACAATATTTACAAATTAACGAATTAATTACACATAATATCAATATATGCACGTAAACATAAGAAGTCTCATTTATAGACATAAAATGTTGGCCGATATTCGCTGTCGATCTACTCTGACAAAAAATGAACAGAGAAAGAAATCTTACTCTCCCTGTAACTTTTATTCTCTATGATTCAATTTGAGATTAACTTATCAGAATAAAAAATCGGAAATAATTTTGAGTTTTAAATATAATAATTTTTCGCGATAAATAATTGATAAACATAACTTTTTTTTATGATAATTTGCTTTAAAACATAATTTAGTAAAATAACTGAAATTGAATCTTGTCGCTATAAATTTATTTAATAAAGATCAGTTATTAGTATATATGCCTTGCTTTTTCGAGATATAATATAGATACTAACGTTTAAAAATAACATTTTCATATCTGTTACAACGACATCTTGATAATTCGACGACCAATTATTCTGATTTTTTCGTGCGATATTTTATATAAAATCGGAAGATATGCAATTTTCGTTGCATTATCATCGAGATAACCGATTGAAAATTTTTCTTGATTTCCGTGCATATTTCACCGCTCGTTACGATGCTTTCTAACTTGTTAACCGAACAACTTTACTTTTCTCCTCGTGGTATAAATTTATTGACGACTCCTTTTTTGTTTCTCTCTTTATATATGTATATACCTATCGGCAAGTAATTCATTATCACAAGACTATAAAGTTCGACCGACTTTCTTGGCGCCGACGATTCCCAGATAATTTTCCGCGACCTTTCGATCTCGGCACGTCACGAGATGGTTGCAGAAAGGAAGATCGGCTCGATCCTCTACTGTGACCCTCTACTTGTAACCATGATGACCTTCGTCATGGTGGGGCTCAATCGGGACCCATACTTTCTCCCAGACAGGCTTCCAGATCTTCTTCCAAGCCGGTACTTGCACGTCCTTCCAAACCGGAACCCACTTGCTTTTCCATTCGTCTTTCCACACCTGTTTCTTTTGAGTGACCCAGATCTGTTTCTTTTGTGGTACCCACACTTGCACCGACTCCTCTTGCCAAACCAGCTTCTTGTCCGTCGCCCAGGCCTGCTTCTTCTCCGTCTTCCAGATTTGCTTCCACTCTTCCTTCCATTCCAGCTTCTTGTCGTTCACCCACACTTGCTTCTTCTCCGTTTTCCAGATCTTCTTCCAGACCGGCTTCCAAATCAGCTTCTTCTTCCAGAGACTGTGGCTGGTGTACTCCCAACCGTGATGATCCTTACCCACGTACTGCTCGCCCGGGATACCGACCTTGATCCATTCCGGTACCCAGATCTTTTTCCAATCGGGTACTTGAACTTCCTTCCACACGGGAACCTGGACTTCCTTCCAAACGGGTTTCCAGACTTTCTTCCAAGCTGGTACTTGGACCTCCTTCCAAATCGGCACTTGTATCTCCTTCCAAATAGGTTTCTGGACCTTCTTCCAGGCGGGTACCTTGATCTCCTTCCAAGCAGGTACTTGAACTTCCTTCCAAACCGGCACCTGCACCTTTTTCCATACCTGCTTCCAAGTCATCTTGGACTCAGTTTTCCAGATCTGTTTCCACTCGGGTTTCCATACCAATTTCTTCTTCCAGACACCTTTCGGCTGGTGATCGTGCGCCGGTGGTCCATAAGAGTCCGAAGGAGGTCCATAGGATCCGGAAGGTGACCCAAAATCGCTACTTCCTCCATAACCACTCGATCCATGATGATCACCGAATGAATCCCCTCCTCCTCCTCCTCCTCCCCTCCTCCTCCGTGATCATCGCCGAAGGATCCATGACCACCACCGCCGCCGAAGGATCCTCCTCCTCCGAAATCACCGCCGAAGGATCCTCCGCCGTGATCGCCCCCGTGAGAATCAAAGGATCCCGCGTCGCCAAAGGAGGAACCATGATCCCGGACGGTGCCCCATAACTCTGCGAAGGCGCACCATAAGACGACGAGGGCCCAGATGGGGCACCATAAGACGACGAGGGCCCAGAGGGAGCACCATAGGACGACGAGGGTCCGGATGGGGCACCGTAAGACGACGATGGTGGGGCACCATAAGACGACGACGGTGGCGGAGGTGGGGCACCGTACGAATCGGACGGTGGTCCATAAGAGTTCGATGGTGGTGGCCCGTAAGAATCAGAAGGCCCTGCGTTGGGTGCCCCATAGGACGTCGCTGGCGGTGCTCCGTATTGCGAGCTTATGGGCGGCCTACAGTATTTCTTCCGTGATTAGAGTGGAAGAGATTAAGTTGCACAGGGTGTTTTATTACCCCTTCGTAATTTATTGATCATGCTTTTAATGAACATCAAAGATTTTTACTTGCCTTGTTCAACATTTTAAGTCATCGATAATAGTCTTCAGTTTTTACTTTATTCATTTTATTTATTTATTTTTGATATGTAATCGCGTATGTATGAAAAAATAGACATTTTATTTTTAAAAATATTCAGTCATTTATATACTCACTCTCTTTTTGTTCTAATCGGGTCTCCAAGCGCGGAGATAACAAAGAGACCATATAATATTGTCTGAAAGAATTTTTATTATAATTTGATCAAATGCTCTTAATATAATAGTAAGTATAATATTGTATTAATATAATATTGTCTAAAAGAATTTTGTTATTATAATTTGATATAAAATACTCGTATATATAATACTATAACAAGTATACTCTAATTTATTAATGTCAAGTAATAATAGAATAATAATGAAATGAATAATGATGATGATGATGGTGATGAGGCTGGTGATTGACTACAATATAAACTTCGGAAAAATGATCGTTATCTCGGACGTATCTACATGTGAAAGAACTGATTATGCGATTAACCATGCGAAGGAAAACAACACCCTCGCCGCATTAATAGCTCTTTTTCTCAAGCGTATCGCGCGGCTTTATAATTATCGCATTCGCACGATCGCCGGTCATCAATTTCTCGCCGGCTTTTCACCGAGTCTAGGATCTACCGAGTGACGGAAATCTGCGAATTTCTATACGCGTTCACACACGTGGCTCGCAAACGGCGTCTCTCAAAAACGAAAGTATTGGTCGACGTAAACACCGGCGCGAATTAGGTCGACCCCCATCCTCTTTCCACTTCTTTTTCTTCACGCTTCCACAGGGGGTCATCTGGGGACCGTGAAATTTGTACCGGCTGGAAAGTGGGCCCCATCGAGATTCTTTTTTTTTTTTTCTTTTCGCAAAGCATTACCCTTAGGCGATGCCTGTCGTGATAGCCTACCTTGCGGCGATATGCGTTTATTTTAATATCATATTTTAGAGATGTCCTACTTCTCTCTCTTTCTGTTTCTCACGAGAATTATTTTTGGGACCGCGTTTGAATATTTAGCATTTAAATACGTATTTAGATACACTAAGTGTCACACCTTGCCACTTATTTACGGATATTTTTCGAAACATTTCGAAATCTCTTCCTTAATATAAATATCGAAAGAGGATTCTTAAATTATGAGCTATCGAAAATAAGGAAAATAAACTGCTAAACGCGCTGCAATAAAGTATATTAAATTCCAAGCGAAACAAATTTAAGTATCAATTACAAAGATATTTAACGTAGAAAATTACAGAAGATTGCGACAAATGTATAACAATTTCGCTCGAAAAAATATGATTCACATTAAGTGAAAGCACTTAAAAATGATCCTAATAATTAGAGCAGTAAAGATATTTGGATATTACACTTAAATATAGTCCAACTAATTAGAGCAGTTAAAATGTTTAGTTGTATTTTTGATTGTTTATGAATAAACATTTTAATCGTGGCCCCATACATTTCCGTATTTATTTATAGAATACAATTATTAAGCCGGATATTCAGAATGTTGTTCAAGCATTTTAATATATTCAAATCAAAAGCGATATATAAAAAATCTCGAGATTCTGCGGAAACGCTTTCTTCCGTTGCGGTTATTGCAGTAACACCAACAGAAATTTCAGTAATTATACACGTCATTATACTGATCAAATGGCATAGATTTACCTCTTCTCAGATTAACATAACAATAATAATTGTTTGCATATTATCTACATACTAATAATGGCCTCGGCTTACTTTCATTTTAATACGACTTTATACGGTCACTTTATATTCCTACAATTATTCCGTTTTATATTGACATTGACAAGCGAAAATTATCCGATGATTAATCCGTCTTATAATCATCAATCTATCTAGCTAATAATATACGCTATAGATATTTCCGGTTCTCGATGAGAAAATTGAAATAAGAATAATCTGTATATAATTGTTCTAATTAAATACTCCGATACCTTTTATTCAAATTTTATTCTATAATGAGCAAATATATATTTATCTAAAAAAAAATAAATAAATAAAATTGTAATTTTTTAATTTAAAAATCTGTCATTATCTAACGAATCTCGCATAAATAAATGTTCAAAATATTTTCACAATTTAAATATATGTATAAGATATTTTATCTCAATATTAGAGAATAACGATATGTCATGGCTGCTGCAACAAAATATATAAAGAGATTAGGGGATAATATTCTATATAGCATGTGATGACATTGATTTTACTATCCTTCTCCTCCCTCCTTTAATAATTATATTACTTTGACCCTGACAAGTTTTACACGCAACATTTAATACAATTCCAATGTACCTTGCAAATGTGCATCTCCGGTTTGCACGACTTTCCATTTCGCAGCGAGTGAAAAGTGACAAGAATGCTTATAGCAATTGCCATTTAGAAAATGGCAGTGATTTACCGGCTCGTTTATGTTCATTTACGTTAATATAACGCTACTGTTTCGTTACTTTAAAATCATCCTGTGGAATATGACGTATTATTCTTTGTTACTGGTGTAAAAATGAAGCAGAATTTCGCATTAATCAATAAATATTACTTTCACGAAATATAGAGAGTTTTCTATAGAAATAGCAATCCAATATTAATTTGTCATCTTTACAATGTAATCTTTCTCGTTAAGATTGCTTGTTTATCTCAAAGTAACATACACTGAAAAAATTTATTGAATTCAAATAAATATTTATTTCAATACTGCCTAATAAATAATTTATTGGAAACTAATAATATTGACTTGATGTAAAAAATATTTATTTGAATTATAGGAAAATCTTTTTCCAAATACATAAATATTTTTTCAAAGAAATGATTTATTAGGCAGTGTTAATATAAATATTTATTAATTTAATAATTTTTTTCAGTATACTGCGAATATCTTTTACCTATAATATTATTCGAAGAAGTATGTTATTTTGTTAGAAAATTAACTTTTATCTTAAAAAATGTTACACACAAAATTATTGTTATTATTATTAGATATAAGAGCAAATTAAATTAAAATAAGAGCAGAGAGAGAGAGACATAGAAGTTTAATAAATATCTCAATTTTATATCGAAAAAAAATATATCTCGCACACAAGATGTATCATGCATCGCACCGCAGATCTATAAATCGACCTATCGAACAATCGTTCGATTCCACGATTACGTACGAATAACGTCGTCACTTCCCGTTCGAAAGGTATCTCACATAAAATATATCACAGGCGCACTGACACAGGGTTAAATACAATAAAAAAAAAAAAGAAGAAAAAAAAGAAATGAATGCACGACGAGAGAGATGAACACTGACCAGAATAAACTGCATGTTTCCTCGAAGGGGTGCCATGTGCGAAAAAGACGGCAACGACCGCCGTCTTTTTTTACGGTTCGTCACTCTTCTGACGAATTTGTCATGACATTCGAGGCTTTTATAGCGAGTGCTCCTCTGTCTAGACGCCTAGATACTCTTCTAGACACGCAGGTATTTTGCGAGGAGGGATACAAAGAGTGCCACGGTGCCATACGGGGATCTCGACTCTTCGTGCACATCTTCAGTTAGGAGGGGATTTCCTCGTTCATGCTTCACCGTGAACGCGGGACGACATGGCCTCGGCATGTGGTAGCATGAAAACGTAATACAATTCACTGAATTTTCATACAAAAAACTAGGTGAAGCCAATTTTTTCACATCTCTCTGACGAATGTAGAAACTACCCTTCGCTTCTCTCTTAATCAAAATAATTAGAGTCTTTCATTGCGCCGCACGAATTGTAAATATAATTAATATCGAGAAAGTGAGAAAGATAAAGAAAAAGAGAGAACCTGAGAACACAGTTATACCTATATTTATTATACATAAAAATGTATAAACTCATAGTTGCGCAATTAGCATAAAATATACGATGCAAATATATTATCAATAAAATTTATATATAAAAAAATATGTCTATAAAATAATTTAATTGATCTATGTAAAAAAAATACATTTATATAATTTTGTAAAAAATTGTCCACAGCAAAAGGTTGAGGATTAAATTTCCATATTTATGAATCTATGATTAAAGAAATCGCAAAAGCTTAATATAAGAAAAATTATCAAATTGGTGAATCTAATGTGAAGGTGTATGACGGATGTAAACGTTGATGTGTAACTAATCAATGTCCAATGACATGCAACACAACTAGCGATCACTTTCTCGCTAATTATTAGCAAAGTCTTTTAAATGATTATATTACCGCGAAGGGGATTGGACTTTCTACTACATCTTACATCGTTATAACATTGTAGGTTTAGAAAAGACACACACACACACACAGAGATATATATGACCGTATTCATTATTTCATTAGTTTTATATATACACTAAAAAGTTATATTAAATTCATAAATATTTATTTCAATACTATCTTATAAATCATTTATTTTTATGTATTTTGAAAAAGATTTTCTTATGTGAAATATAAATATTTGTTCACATCAAATCAATATATATTATTAGTTTCAAATAAATGATTTCTAAGGCAGTATTAAAATAAATATATTTATTATTCGAATTTAATACATTTTTTGTCGGTGTAACTATAAATATATCTATAAATAAAATGTGTGACTTTTTGTTATAAAAAATCTTCCTTCAAAAATAGATCGCGTTCGCGTTTTCTGACATAACAGACAACAGTAAGAACTATATTTCATATTTAATAATTCCGGCATTAATACATCTGAGATGTAATTTACATAATAACTCTCTCTTTCTCTCCCTTTTTCTCTCTCTCATTATATATTGCTTGCATTGATTTGATACAAAACAGTAGAATTGCCGCGACGCTCGTATATAGAAGTAAATTAACACGTCTCTGTAAATTACATACAGAGTCTTGTTCCCAGATCTTATGAGTGTATTACAGAAGAAATGCCTTTCTCGCGTCTTACTGGCACAGGATACATCCCACGACGGTGGCAATACGGAAAAGTGCATTTCGTAATGCATACGTGAGAGAATAATTTTCGCCTGCATCGCAACCGGTGCATCATCGCCACCTGCGGAATCTCACTCTGACTTTCTTCCCCAGGGTTAACGTCGTTCCTGAAAAGTGCATGCATCGCGGTTGCCTTTCACCGACGGTATGTCTGCCGGGAGATGCACCGGGTTGCACCCGTTAGATGATCAGAATCAATTATCATCACGGGCTTCTGTCCTTTTTTCCACATCCTATATAGCGACTCGAGAGATTACAGAAACCAGAAAACCCACAATTCCATGTAAGGAGATATAAGTAATATGAGATACATCAGGGTATCTAGTCAAATTTGAAAATAAAATTTAAGGACATTTCCAGGAAATAAAGATGTACAAGAAACTAAAAACTTTATTTTCTTTATCAAGTCCACAATTGCACGTTAATGAAAATTAATATATGCATTATCAATACATTAAATGCAATATTCTTTTATATTATATGCGGAATTGTGGAAACTAGAAAAATAAATTCCCTAAATCTGAATTTTCGAGGTTCTACATATTTTTTGGAGGAATTTTGAAGATTGGAAAATGTTGAATGTGGCATCCTCTAATGTTTTTATTTCGTCGGAAACTAATTTGAATTTAAATGTACGCGCAAAGTCTCTCTCGATTTTCACACATGTGGCGACGAGGAAACGACAAACTATATGAGAGAGTCATTATCCGGGACCCACGATGGGGAATTACTTTGACTTTCTTTCGATATGATGTCTGAAGCGCACAGCTGTCCTTTCGATTTTTTTTGTCTTCACGCAGATAATCGAATCGGTTACTTTCACTATGCCTCGGGAACGATACATGGTTTCTGCCGCTAATAAAACGCGCACGATCATATACGAAGATGCAAATCTCAAGTGCAAGTTATCGAATTTGCCTGACGGCTCGTTAAAGTAGGCGAAAGATAGACGTTGGACAAATGATAGACACGAAGCATAAATATCGGACGAGGGCTCCTCGTAACAGCTACTGGAAGTTCCAGCATAATTTGACACGTAATTTATATAAAGGAACTTTGGAAAAAAAAAAATATAGCAAAAGCAGATGCGCCAAATAGATACATGGAAGTCACTCTGGTAATGTTACTAAACAATTGTTGCGAATTAGTTTCCCCCGTAACTGTGCGATACACATAGGCACGCAACACTATATGTAGGAAGATCTATAAAACTGGCGTCACGGAAGGTTCGCTTTCCTTCCGCATTTATGCACGGTGGTAATCATTGCAAGTCATTTGCACGGTAGAGAGGAGCTATAATGTAAGGTTGAATTCAACATTATACGGATGAGATGGAAGAGACTTCTAACAATTAAAATTCACTTTCGGAGAATCCGAAGAAATTTTCACCAACGAAAAGATCATCCTGGAGAGAGAGACATGTTGGAAATTTTATTTCTATCGAATACATCGATGGAATACTTTTCTTCGAACTACTCTGTGCATAAAGCGCGTAAAACATTAAATTATTATATTTTTATTATTATTATTATTATATTATACAAAAATTTCTCTACATCATCGGTACCATATTATATATTTATTATTTTTATTGTATATAATAAATATATAATAAAATATTTATTATATTACCATATATATATTTTCTCAATATTAAATCAAATATTAATGGCGACTCCATTTTTTAAATTTCAGAGCCTTTGACTTTCTGAGAGATTCATGTAATATATGTGAGCACAAGGATAAATTGTGCCGTTCACTCACAAAAAGAGACTAGATTTCTTCTCTCTCACCAGGAAGTCCGAGAAGAGCGCGCGTTTTACATTATGTGAAATTCATTTAACAGTTTCTGCGGGCGATTCTGCTGGTATGTTGCACAATCGCGATATACAGTCTGCGTCGTTACATACAAATACAAAGGTTCAATGTGTTCGTTATATCATGTGGAACGCGAATTGTACCGCGAAGAGATCGTCGATTACATATATAGGCTTGCCTAGACTTTCAATCTTGACCTGTGACCGATTGCTACAATTTGCGAGGATGATGAGAAGGATGATCGTGAATCGACTTCGTGATTGCGATACACAAACGTACCGCACTTCCGATGCTAATCATTGCAATGACGTATGACGTATGCAAAAGAAAGTTGTGCCTACACGGAGAGAATTTTCTCTTAGAATTTACCCTGCACTGAAAACAAATTATTACATAAATTTGGAACTAATAATAATATTGATTTGACGTAAAAATATATTTATTTATTTCAAATAAATGATTTAATCATGATAATCGTGGGACAATATGATATTGGAAGAATTTTCCAAGAGCTTCTCTGATTGATAATATTTTACCGCAAGAAAAATATTAATACCACAATAAGGTACCAAATATGTTTGACTAATGTTACTATGTATATAGTAAAATTTGCTATGTACATATTAACATTTTTTATTGTGGTAAATACATTGAAAAAAAAATTATTAAATGGATAAATATTTATTCCAATGCCACCTTATAAATAATTTATTTGGAACAAATAAATATTTATCTGTTTTGGAAAGGATTTTCTTATATCAAATAAATATTTTTTTACATCAAATATAAGGCAGTATTAAAATATTGATTCTATTCGATAAATTTTTTTTCAGTGTATTTAATTAGAGAAACTCTTATAAGATTCTTCCAACATTATGTTGTCCCATAATTACCATGATTTTCAAGGTAAATTCTAAGAGAAAATTCTCTCTATGTAGTAAGTACACACGTATGTTTTTCTCGCGCTTTTTTTCTTATTTTCCATAAAAATCCCCTCATCAGCGGGATGAAATAAGATTCGACCAACTAATTATATATTTGTAATTGTATGCGATTAGATTTTGAAGTGACCATAATGCTAGAGAAATGACTATTTTCTTTTTCACTTTGCGCGTGTCTCGTATTTACTATGCGTATATTTAAGTATATAAAACCCGTCCGATTTAATACATAGAACGAGAATATTTTACAATGTAAGATGTTTTGACTTTCCCTCTCTCTTTCTTTTCTCGTCGCTTCTCGAGGTTCCTTCCTCTCGTACTCGAAACGTAAAACAAATATATACAGCAAGACGCGTAAACGAGACACGCTGTTTGAGCAAATGTATTTTCGGCGGATTTTAATGACTTGTTTGTGTGCGCGGACCGGAACGTATTTTCACGAATACATAAGAGAGAGAGGAAAAGGTTCTTATATAAATTCCTGCCTTATAGACAAATTTAAAATCACGTACGCACTTGACATACTTATTTTATTCGCGTACTTTTACGCGACTAGCTGTTATAAAATCGGTTGTCCCAAATAAATATCGCTGTTCTACACAAGGAAAATATATACCATTCTCGATTTCGACAGAGCCTTTTCATGCTTCGCGGATAATTTCCGGAGTATAGCAATAGATCGGAAAACCTGTCGGGAATGTAATGTGTATATACTGTACAAATCGAAGAAGCGAATTTCCGAGAGGCATTGCGTGGAATATCAATCAGCTGGGCGACGTAATATAACGTGTGCTGACAGACGTGAAGACACGCGGTAATTTCTTCTGGCAAACGGCATCGTAATTTTGCAACGATTTATTTTCGCGCGCAGCTTCGCGTATATATGCGTAAGATATAATTATATGCTCGTATGATCAATTTATCCATTTAAGAAAACAGTCATTTCTCTACCATTATGATAACTTAACATCTAATCGCGCATACAAATACAAATATAATTAGTCGATCGAAACTTATTTCCCGCTGATGAAGGAAAATAAAAAAAAAAGCGCAAGAAAACATACATGTTTATTATAATACGCTGTGGAAACATTTATGTGTACTTAGTACACGGACAGAATTTTCTCTTAGAACTTACCCGGAAAATCATGGTAATCATGGGACAATATATGATATTGGAAGAATTTTATGAGTTTCTTTAATTAAATAAACTGCAAAAAATTTATTGAATTCGAATAAATATTTATTTCAATACTGCCTTATATTTGATGTTAAAAAATATTTATTTGATATAAGAAAATCCTTTTTAAAACAGATCAATATTTATTTGTTTCAAATCAATAATTTATAAGGCAGTATTGAAATAAATATTTATCCATTTAATAATTTTTTTTCAGTATATTTACCATAATAAAAAATATTAATTTTACTATGTACCTAGTAAAATTAGTCGAACATATTTTGTATCTTTATTGTGGTATTAATATTCTGATTGCGGTCAAATATTAACAATCAGAGAAACTTACAAAATTCTTCCGATGTCATATTGTCCCACGATTATCATGATTTTCACATAGAAAAAAAATTCATCGAATTCGAATAAATATTGATTTGATTACAAAAGTATCCGGATAATTTTACCCGTCCCTCTCTCTAATCCTTTCGCAATGACATAACAGTTTCATGACTCGATGCTATTACGAGCTTTCCTAATATCGTAAGAGCAAAACGTGGCGATGTACCTATCACGTTTCCGTAACCGAGAAGAGAATGTCTCGCGAGATAAGTACTTCCCGATACTTCCCCGTTTTACATCTTACCGGATGAACGATGGCCGATGTTGTTCCTGAGCACGGAAGTTTAATTTATGTGTGTCGACGATTCAAAAGCCCGATTTCACGGATGGACGGCGCTAACGGCGTCAAATTAATAAACCTCTATACACAATGTTTAAAATGCGCATCTCATCGGCATTTTCTCCCGACGCGACATCGGCGTAACAGGTCGACGTGAATGCATGCTCTTTTTCTTTTTTCTTAATTTATTTTTTGACTACTTTTTCCCAGTCACTGGTCTCGAATGCTTGAACGATGACGGCGGCTCATCGCACTTTCTCCTCCGTAACTATTTTTCGCGGTTGATATATGTGTACTATACATACATACATACATATATATATATATATACACGTGCAACGCTAAATCTTTCCGTGGTTCGAAGCCGGTAAATTAAATATTAATCTTGCTTATTAATCCGCCACGTTAAGAGCAGGTTCCCTCTCTCCGAGTATCTTGTGAAAATCAATTTACACAATGTCTACAATTAATTTGCTTTCTTTTTATCTAAATTTCATTTATCTCGCATCTCTTATTCTTTATATTATATATACCTGTATCTAAATTAATCTCCTAAAAATCAAGTCTACCTTGAATTTAACTTGAAGAATCATTTTTATTCATTTTTTTCTTTAGAGTTAAATTTTTAAAAAAGCTTTCACCATTTTGCATGTGTTATAATCCAAGAGATATATCTTGACATTTTTATCAAGGAAAAGTTCACGTAAGACTGATCAATTTACCATTTAAAATAAAAAAAAAAACAATTCTGTATTTTGTATAATGTTCGATATCGCAAATAGAGATATCAGTTCATCATCTATAGTAAATTAAAGAGATATGAAGACAAGTGTTAAGAAAAAAAGTAGATTATCTGCTGGATAATTTTAGCAACAATTAATTAAAAAAGAAAAAGTAAAATATTGAGCGTAAATTATCACAATCATATTTAACTGATATAGATTAGATGATAACTAACTTTGTTATACACGTATAATATCTAATCTATATTTATTTACGAGAGACATAGACAAAAGTTAATAATTTCAATGACTAATTTCTGAAAAATTTCACACAGAAATGCGAAAAGACGGCGAATGGATACTTCTTTAAATTTTTCGCTATACTGTATTTCGTTTCTATGGAAATATCGATAAAATAAAATAGCAAATAGGCGAGATCACGTATGAAAAATCACGAATATATTTGAAACCAAGGAAAACCCGAGGGTTATATATAAGTAAAATATAAAAATATTTATATTTATATATATATATTTTGTGTAGCAATGTTATTTTCAACGATAATTTTTAAAAGAAGTGTTTGGCAAACGTGAAAAGATGGTGAAGGGCATATTTATATATACTTTGTAGGTATAGCAATGTAATCTCAACGATTAGTTTCCAAAAGATTTTGTCGCAGAACACAAGAAAACGATGGAACGGCTGCTTATCTACATTTTCACTATATTGTGCCTTGTGTCAACAAGTATTGGTAAGACAAATTGTGCATCAGCGATATATTTTGTCATATAAAACAGCTGATTTTGTTAGATATGTCATATTAAAAAAAATTGAAATTTTTTCATGTAAACTGACAATGAGTAATAACAAAAACTAAATTATTCTTTTATTTGCGATTAGATAAAAAAGCATAAAATCGTGTGTTAGTAATTTCAATAATTAGAAAAGAACAGTACTTATTCACATTTTCGTAATATTGTGTTTTATTTCTGCGAAGATCGATAAGATAAAATCAAATCGTGCATTGACGCGATACATTTTGTTATCACATAATATTGTATTGTGCTAATTGGCATGATTAATTAATCACGGCTCATTTTAACTGTCAAATACAGCAGATAAACGAGACGTGAGAGATGTCACGAGTATATTTGAAATAACGGGACGCGAATTATAAACATGCAAAATAAAATTAATATTTCTATTTACTATATATATTTTTTGTGTAGCAATGTCATGTTCAATGAATAATTTTCGAAAGATTTTGCTCCAAAAATATAAAGAGACAATGAAAGACATAAATGCTTTATATGTTAGGCGGATTAAACAAAGCATCCTAAAAAATTAAACGGATGTTTCTTTAACAGACACACACACACACACAAATATTTCTATTCAATTATAATATTTTAAAAATATTTTTTGATATTATATATATTTTTTTTTAATTCTCCATTTTTTAATATATCGGCAATTGTAATTAAAAATCGTTTACATTGTATGTAATTATGTGTACGTATTTGAATTTTCGTCATAATTTTGTCATAATTTTGCATGTTTGATGTAATATCAGCGATAAAATGCTAAATCATTGCATTCCTAGCTTCTATTACACGATGACGCGGAGCTTTGCGAGAGTTTACTTTACGATTTCTTTTAAGACTTGGCAAATTTACCTAAGTCTTCGCTTGGCAAACAGATGCCATTTCAGCTACTCGTCTTTGCGCCGTCGACTTTCGAATCATTGCTCGCAACTAAAATATTTCGTTTTAAACCTCGGTGCAGAGAAGTAATAATTTCTCAAATTAATCTTTTGTATTGTTCTTTATAATAAATCAAAATTTTATGTTGTGCGTCATCGATAATGATATACAAGAATTACAGCAGCAAGTAGAAAAAAATGTATAATACGAACAAAAGCAGAAATTTCCAAAAAAACTTTGTAGTTGTATTTAAATTAAAATGTAAACTAATTTTAACGGAAACTGAAAAAAACATTTGAAGTATTTCTTGTAAACGTCAATAGAAATATGATAAAATAACTTCGTACGCGACACAAAATAAGTATACAACCATCTGTATCAAAATGACTTCTATCTTTGACATCAGTTTTGCAATTATACATGCAACCTCCCTTGAAATTTTATTTTTATAAATTTTTTATTTATTAATTGTTATTTATTTAATGATCAAAAATAAAATTCTTTCTGACTAACAAAGGAAAAAAAGGATTCGGTCCTGGAGAACAAGAATGGGGCTATGTTGAAATACGTCCCAATGCAAAGATGTTCTGGTGGCTTTTTTATACTACAGCAGACCTTAATAAATCATATTACGACAAACCACTAATTATTTGGTTACAAGGTGGACCAGGTAGATCTTCGAGCGGGTATGGAAACTTTTTGGAACTAGGACCTCTTGATATGGATTTGAAACCAAGGAATTACACTTGGGTAATTAATTATTGCAGGATATGCAAAAGTATATTCTGTTGGAATTACATATAATATCTATATTTATATTTGTGTCTAAATATAACTTATGTAGCATTAATAATTGAGACATTATTTATTAAAAAGTATATAGAGTGATCCAGTATTATCGATCTAATAGATAGAAAATATAATAATAAAATTTTCATAAAAAATAATATAATCTATTATAATGAAATAATATCTATATATATATATATATCTATTATAAAAAAATTAATTTATTATAATCTAATAAAAAGAAGGGATAATATTAATAATTTTCATAAAAATTTATAACAAAAATAATAAAAATTAGAATAAAGCTGTGGCCTTTTCAAATCTATTGACTATAAATTCATTAAAATAAGTTTGTAAATAATATTCTTAATATATATTTGCGTCATAGGTCGAAAATTATAATGTACTCTTCATCGATAATCCCGTTGGCAGTGGCTTTAGTTATGCTAACGATTCATCGGCATTCGCGACGACGAACGCTCAGATCGCAAGCGATCTTCTAAAATGTATACAAGTATTCTACAATGAATTGCCACAATTTAGGCCTGTCCCGACGTATATCGCCACTCAATCGTATGGTGGGAAAATGGGCGCGGAGTTTGCGCTTGTCTGGTATCGAGTAAGAAACACAAACTTGTTAATTAAACATATTAATAAATAAAACGATTATACAGTTCTCTTTAAAGAAAGAGCGATGATTTCGAAAGATTTCGGTAAAAAAAAAAGAGAAAGTATAACTTAAAAAAAATTATCAATTATATAAGATTTATATATATTTGTACATATAAACATATGTATATGTGTATATCTTTAAACAATTTTTTTCTGAGACACATATTTGTACGAGATATATTGTAAAAACCAACAGAGATATTTAAAATAAATGTCTCTCGCTCTCTCTCTCTTCCTCTTTCTGTAAACCATAATATTTGTAAATAGTTTTGATAATTGTCATAATAGTAGACATTCAATACAATAAAGTAACAATTTAATAAAATAAATTTGCATTTGTAACACATAATGCAAACTTATTTTTTAGGCTCAAAAACAAGGTACTATTGAAAGTAATCTAAAGGGGATATCACTTGGAAGTTCTTGGATTTCGCCTATCGACACTGTAATGAACTGGGCGCCATTTCTACTAAATACGGTATTAATTAATTATTAATCACCTTTGTGACATGTGTATAAAAGTATGCAATCTATTGCAAAATGTACCGATTTTATATCATATAAAATAATTAGTACCGAAAAAAGAGAAAAACAGACGTCCCAGTAAATTTATTTGCTATCTGCCTTTTATCTTTTTTTTACTGATACTTGATCATTTTTACTTAAAATGTTATTTTTCATTATTTATGCATTCTCACAATTTTGAACATTTGTTACAGGGTATAGTAGATATAGGAGGTTATGCAGAAGTTAACAATGCGGCACAAAAGACAAAAAAGTTTGTTGACGCTGGCGATTGGAAACAGGCAACAAAGTTTTGCGGTTTCACCCAAGCTGTAATTTCGTTAGCATCTTACGGTATTGACGTCTATAATATTCTAGACAAAACAAATTATTCGATGGAAAATAGGAACATTTTCTTCTATGATGAAGGTACATAATCATAATATATTATAAGATAACATAACAGATAATAATTTTAATGTAATAATCATCAAGTATATATCGTTTTTTTTTTATTTAAGACATTATATTGCATCGATATTTTATGCCTAACATGAAAAAACTTGAGGAATTGATGAATGGCCCAGTAAAAGAAGCGCTCGATCTTCAAATTGGCCATGGCAACCAATCTGAAGAAGTTTTCGAACTCTTAAAACCAGAATTTATGAAGCCTGCCGTTGATTTAGGTATCAGACAAATATGTCATATCGTATGATATATATATTTTTTTAAATAAAAATAAGAAGAAAAAGTAGTAATACACTGTCATTGTTTTCACGTAATGTGAAACGAATATCAAAGTTAGAAGCTTTCGGAAAGCAACTTCATAAATCGATGAATTTTTAAGTAAAAGAGAGATAGCTTTCATACATGTATAAACTTAAAATTGTCTCAACAAATTCAGACGCTTCGCTCTAAAATTAAAATTTTCATGAGATGTCAAGATGTATCATTTCGTGTATAATTGTATATTATATTTTATAGTACATTGTAATCTCGAAATTAATTTATTAAATGGAAATATTTTGTTTCAGTGGAAAAACTGCTTAATGAAACCGACTTAAATGTATTCATATACGGTGGACAATTGGATTTACTTGTTGACATTGCAGGTAAATTAGTTTACTTTCTCCTATACCTATGCTTCAACACATAATAAGTAATGCTAATAACTTGATAACACAAATAAAACAATTGTACGAAACAACAAAATTTTGTAAAATAAATCAATTAAAACATTATAGTAATCTTGAATGTAAATGATAAAAAAATATTGAAACAGAAATTGAAATATTTTAATTAAAATTCAAAATGATATCAAGACATAGATATTTCTCAAATAGATATAAACAGAAACTTTTTTATTAAAAATTCTAATTTTAAAAGATATTAATATTTTTTATTTTTTCAAATATATATATATCCTATACTAACATTATTCATTATGTATATGAGTCATTAAGCATATTATTTATTTTATTGTTCTGGTATACTTTGTGGTTACTTTATTATATATTTAGGCATGACTGTTTGGGTCGACAATCTAAATTGGAAAAGTTCTGACATTTGGAAACAGGGAATGATTAGGGAACCGCTCGTCGTTGATGATATTCTCGAGGGCTATTACAAACGTCAAGATAACTTCGCAATATATTGGGTCTTGAGAGCCGGTCATATGGTATGTATATATACATACGAATCACTTTCTCTATTTTTATTCAACTTCCGTATTGTAATATCGTCGCGAGCGATTCTCAAAATTAAATAAGTAAAATTCTCAAACAAAACATGTGCTTTGTATATTGAATGCCTTTATATGTATATTTATGCAAAATGAGAGAGATTTCAATGATCACAGATTTTTATCATGCCATTGTGTCCTATATGTAGAAAACGGTATATACAATATAATTTCGTGAGGTTAATTGAGAAATGCGTAAATTCATCATTAATAATATGATAATTCGTGGAATATTTCTTAGCAAATATATATTTTAATATTCATATTATTCAGATGCTATTAAAATTGTTTTAAATACAGCACATAAAATTTTCGATCAAAAGTATCAATATTTCTATCTGCGATCTATATTTTTATCACCCATAATATATATATTATACAATTAATTTATTTCAAAAAATTCTTTAACAAATATTTCGCGCGTTAAATTTTAGCTGATTTCTCACAAGTGATAAAGTTAAATTCCCGATAAATATGATAAAGTTAAATTCCCGATAAATATATGATAAAGTTAAATTTCCGATAAATATATGTAAAAATAGATAGACTATATAAAATCAACAGATAGACAATATAAAAACGTATTCATAAATGGTACAAAAATACTAAAATAATCACGCGTATGAAGAGATAATTAATTTTACAAGATTAAATAAGATTTATAAATTGAGTTTAGAGGTTTGTTTTCCTTCTGTCTTAATTCATTTTTTATTGCAATTTTATTCACTAGGCGAACACTTGCACTTGGGAAATTCATTAATATATGATCGCGCGTCTACTAATTAGAATTAGAATATCGCAAAACTCGCGCGACACTTGAAAATTATAATCGTAGAGTAATTTTGCTATGTATAATATTTATATAAATAAATAAATATTATATATGCGCGTTAAAATAGAAGAGATAAATTTGCACGTATAATATTCAAAAATATATATAATTAAGTTAGGATTATTTACATGACAGATCAACTTTGATCAAATAAATCTCGCGAAATACGCGACGTTATATTACGATGATGCTAGACGCAGAACTAACTCGTATAACCGTGGTATGGTCAATAATCACCAAAACTCGTGGTTAACATCGTTTTTTTGCTTGTTTATATTCTACGAACCTGTCCCACATTCGCGATGTTTTGTCTTAGCGAAAAATTTTAGAGTAGTATCGATAACTTTTTATGATTTGCGCGATATTAAAAGATATAATAATTAAACATATCTTACGAAAAATGATACGATCGAAATAAAATATTGTGTACGCGATACTTTCATCACGTAAATTTCACGAAAGACTGATTAATTATTAATAAATAATCGATTTAAATTAATAAACAAATACGTACATGTATAATCATGTTTTCATGAATCGATTGCTCCAATAATTTACGTATTAATCCACGTTTTTGGTAATTGCCAGCAAATGTGTGCAATTAGAATCGATGAAAAAAAGTTCAAACATTAAAGAAAAAGTAATAGAAAAAGTAACTGTAATTTTAAAAATATCGAAATAATTTATCGTCGCCATCCCCTACCGCGATTCGCATTCGCGAAATGAATGAATCGCGCGAAAAACCTGTCTTGATAAAGCATTGTCTCTTTGATACGCTTATAAGTCATTTGAGTCGCTAATTGTAACGATAAGATACGGAATTGATCGAAGAGAGATTTATAATGCGACGCACGAAAAGCGACTCGCACCTTCTCGCTCGAATGTCGCCGTATGAATGATAACAAGTTCGTCACCGCTGTCGATTATTGTAGTAGGACTGTTTACAAACGGTAACACGCTATATATAACGAAATTTAGTACACGTAAAATTGATGTGTGTCGATCGGTTTATCGTTACACTGAAAAAATAATTTAGTTAATTTTTATAAGTATTTAGTTCAATACGTTCAAACAAATCATTTATTTGAAACTATAATAATTTATTTGATATAAAAAAATTCTTTTCAAAATAAATATTTATTTGTTTCAAATAAATGATTTATTTGAACATATATTAAACTAAATATTTGTTAATTTAACAAGTATTTTTTCAGTGTACTTTTATAAATTTTTATTATACTTTATGTTTAAATAATATATAATTATATATTTTACTTAAGTATTTTTATGGGAAGTGTATATGGATTAATATAATTATAGAACCGAGATCAATTTTCTGATAAAGAATTTTTCAAAACACAATATGACGTATATTAATAAACATACTAATTATATGATAATAATTAAAGTAATGAAAAGTAGAAAAAATGTAATACAAAAATAGCTAAAAAATAAGATATAAATTAAAATACATGTAAGTTATTTTAACAGAGCTAATTTTTCTTGAATTAGTTTTTTTTATCTTTAATTACTTTAATTGTATTATTATCTTTATCAATATACAATTAATCTTTAAAATTTTTATTCAGAAAATTTATTTTATGTTAATTATACAATTATATTTTAAAGTACATATACATGTACAAATACACTTAAGTAAAATACATAATCGTATTGAATACTTTATTGGATAAAATAATTTCAATTGAAATTTAATCGAAATATAGCGTGTGTGAGGATATAAAAAATTAAATTTTATAGTATATATACACGTAACTTTCTTTTATTCTCCATTAAAACAATTTGACACTTTTATAAGAAAAGTAGATTTAATCAATAAAATATGTATCTTTTTTTTTATTTAACACGTAAATCATCCTATTTTCAAAAAGATAATTTTCTATCTAGTTATAATGTATCTATATTATTTTTGTTATTGATGTGGAAACGTCACTTCTCGATTTCTAACTTCATTTCTCGATTTAAATATTCATTTATGTATCCAATGTATTTTAATGTTTGTAATATTAATTACACAGGTTCCAAAAGATAATCCAGCAGCAATGAAGACAATACTAGAAAATCTGACAAGCCCCCCAAAGGTGTGAACAAAAATAAAACTTTTTAGCTTTTATATTTGTAAATATAAAAACTAAATATGTATAATTTAGATGACTCATATTACTAAAACTGTTTTATAGATTTTCTTATTTAAGAAATGGAAGACAATTAAAATAATTTTATTATTAAAGAATAATTCTGACTATATTATTATATGTTAAATTAAAACTATCATAATAATTTATATTTTGTATGCTCTTTAGTATACAATCATCCTGTTTTATTATCCTGATTTTTTCTTAACTTTTTATCTTAAACAAATTATTAATAAAAATAATTAACCTTCTAGATAGGGCATATTAAAGTAAAGAGATGTATTCAATCATGTAATTTAAGCAATAAATGATCTTTGTATTAAACTATACATACAATTTGCTACTTTTTAAATCTCCTCCCCATGTTTTTACATTTTAAGCGAAATAGACGACAATTAAAATAATCAAACAGTTTAATTAAAACAATCATATAATTTATATTATATGTAATTTATATTTTGTATACTACTTCAGTATACAATCATCCAGATTTTTTCTTATCTTAAACAAATGATTAATAAAATTAATTTACCTTCTAGATAGGGCATATTAAATAGAGAGATGTATTCAATCATGTAATTGAAGCAATTAATGATCTTTGCATTAAACTATACGTACAATTTGCTACTTTTTGAATCTCCTCCCCATATGTCTTGATACATCTTAGGCGCAATATCGGTTGGGGAGAAAGAAACTTCCGAGAAACCATACGGCTTCGATATATAATTACCGCAACGCTCTGTTTATATATCGTCGCGGTTACTGCCGACGTGGGTGTTGAACCGGCATATGTGTAAACAGCAATAAAACACGTAGTGCGGTCCCGGACTAGGTAACCGCCTCCCTATACGAGAACGTAAACGGGTGTTCCCCGGAAAGGCATCGACATAGAGGCGGGGTTGGACCGACTTTCGGATTCTCGTACGTCAAATTAAACATCCTTCTCGTATTCGAGAAACTGGATGCACGAGTGCCGAAGTCGCAACGAGTCTATGCCCTAATCGGCATCGGCCCTAATTACATCAGTGTAATTCATTCACTCTTTCTTTTCCAATACAATATATAGAGAATATATATACTATAGAATTTTACAGAGTATTCAATTTAAAGTTTTTATTAATACCTCGTTATTATATATATTTTGACGATTATTAAAATAACTGTATCAGGTGGAATTCTCCAAGAGTGTCATTAAAAGAGACGAACAGGATTTAATTCTCGATCTGGATGCTGGGAAGACTTCACCAAGATGCAACCAATAAGTGATTATCCCAGTCAAGTTCAACGCTTCCTCGAGGATGCGACGAATCATGTATACGATTTACATCGCTGTCAGGAATATTGGTGGATGTTTCCGAGCGAAACGTTGTACGAGATGTGCGCGAAACGTATTTACGGATTCACCAACGTCGTCCCGGAAATGTTGGGCGCCGACGTTTCCGGCTCGATCTTCGATCATCAAGCATCAAGCCTGTCCTGGCATCCAACATCCGTAATTAATTACAAGAGCCCGCATTACGAAAAACCCCCGTATTCTTACATCGCCCTAATAACGATGGCGATCGACTCGTCGCCGAAACGTCGACTCACGCTCGCCGGAATTTACAAGTTCATCATGGACAAGTTTCCTTATTACCGGGAGAATCGACAAGGTTGGCAGAACAGCATAAGGCACAATCTCAGCCTGAACGATTGTTTCGTGAAGATTCCGCGGAACAAGACAAGCCTAAACACTGACGAGGAGGATCATATGGTAGGAAAGGGAAGCTACTGGACTCTGGATCCATCCGCCAGTGATATGTTCGAATACGGCAATTACAGACGGAGAAGAACGAGAAGGCAGCGGGCCTTTGCTCGAGATGAGAAGCAGAAATTCACGGGATTATCGGTACGCAGAATTTTCAGAGTTTGCGAAATTACATTGCGCGCGATATAGTTCAACTTCTTTCAAATACAAAGGATTTTTTCCAGGGGGGACGTGATTAAAATTTTTTTTATTTTTTCTTTCTTCATTTTTTTTTATTTTCAGTTTTTTTATCTTAAATATTTTCTTTCTTAATTTTTTTTATTTTCAGTTTTTTTAATCTTAAATATGCAAATAAATTCAGTGTTTATTCAAAAAGAAAGCAAATGTTTAATTTTTTTACTGATTCCAAGAATCTGCGAACGCTCATGTACATATATCTACATATATGTACATGAATAAATAATTGATAAATTTTTCAATTATCTTCTCTCTTTCTCTCTCTCTAGCTGTTTGAGATTCTTATCTACTAAATGCCATGTGTTCTTCGAAACTTGAAATCAAATTTCTGACTAGCAAATGATATCGATATACTATATGTATTGAAATCATTAATAAAAATATACATTTTATAAATTTTAATAACACGAAATGTTCATCTTACGATACTGAAATATGAGTTTAATTTACAGGCCGAATTTTTACCCAACTTGACAAAATGCCAAGAGAAACTTCAGCAACGAAGTAAAATTAATGAGATAAATGAAGAAAACGCCATGGTAAAAGATACCGCAGCCGAATATACGAAGTCTCCAGGGCACATTGCCAAAACAATGACATTTAGCATCGACAATATTCTACAAAAATTTACAAGACAGTCGCAAACATAGTTTTACGACATGTATCTTTTATTTTAAAAAATGTGGCTCCGATTAAATTAATATAATATAATATTAATGATACTCGATTTCACACACACGCACATTCACGTACGCAATCAATAAATTGTAAAAAAATACTTCATTTTAGAAAAATAAAATCTTGCTGTAAGAAAAGCAAATCTGTATAAAGTTTACTTCTGTTAGTGTTCGAGATCATAAACAGAAATCAGTTCATCGTCTATCGCATATTAAAGATATGAAGACAAGTGTTAAAAAGATAAAAAATCTGCTGGATAACTTTAGCCGCAATAATTAATTAGAAAGGAAAAAGTATTATATTGAGAAAGTAAAATAAATAAATATATATATATATATATATATATGTATATATATATATATCAATCTTATTTAACTGATATGATTATATGATGGATGACTATGTGTATATCTAATCTATATTTGCCATCTAGATAAAAAAAAGATGCAGATAAAAGAACATAAAATCATACGTTAATATAAACTCACGATTAGTTTTCGAAAGATTTCGCCGCAGAAACGCGAAAGGACAATGAAAGGATTACTTATTTACATTTTCGCTATATTGTGTTTAGTTTCTAAAAGTATCGGTAAGATAAAATTATTTAAATCCTGCATGATAAATTTTTAATCTTATAAAAATAAAAATAATAAATTATTATATTAACAATTTATAATATATAAAAAGCAAACATGTAGACGAGATTTAACGTGACATTAAATAATAATAATTAAACATAAATGTCGACGAGTATATAAAATAAAAGAGCACGGTTAATAAAAAGAATAAATATTTGTTTTGTGTAGCAATGTTATTTCAATGATTAGTTTTCAAAATATCTCGCCGTGTCACCATAAGAAGATAGTAAAAGATATTTTATAAAGCCCTTCTACGCATAGCACTGTAATTCGAACAATTAGTTTCTGAAAGATTTCGTAGCAGAAAGACGCGAGAAAGCAATGAAGCGTTTTGTTTGCATTTTCGCTATATTGTGCTTTGTTCCTGACAGTATTGGTAAGATAAAATTCAGCATCGGCGAGACAGATTTATCATTCATTATCGTATACAATTAATTTTAACTAGATGACAGATAAGAAAAAATATGTGTAAAAATGTCACAATTATATTTGAAATAATGTGCGCGAATTATATAAGATGTCTTCCATTAAATTAGATAAATTTCTATCTTTAAAACATCTTACATATATATTTCTTTTTATTATAATTTTTTAATTTAAGATACTTTAAAAAATGAGAGTGATATTACTGTGTTAAAATAAATTATGTAAAGTAATTTAATGGAAATTAAAAAAAAAACGACTAAAGTATTTTATAAAGTATTTTGTAAACATTAATAAAATATGATGAAATGACTTTTGTATATACACAGTGTAAACAAATTATCTATATTAACATATAATAACGAAAATCACCTCTATCTTTGACATAATTTTGATTAATTTCCGATACCAATTATACGTATAATTATTATCCAAAACTTTTTAATTTATTAAAAAAAAAATTATTAAAAATAAAATTTTTTAATCCACCAAGGGAGAAAAGGATTCGGTCCTGGAGAACAAGAATGGGGCTATGTTGAAGTACGTCCCTTTGCAAAGATGTTCTGGTGGCTTTACTTTACTACGGCAGACGTTAAATCATATTACGACAAACCACTAATTATCTGGTTACAAGGTGGACCAGGTGCATCTTCGACCGCGTATGGAAATTTCGAGGAACTAGGACCTCTTGATGTGGATTTAAATCCAAGGAATTACACTTGGGTAATTAATTACGCGTGAAATACAAAAACATAGGGTATCATTTTGTATCACGTATAATCTGCATTTATAGTCGTGTGTATATATAACTTTTAAATTATTAATAATTGAGAAACCTATTTATTAAAGTTAAAGTGATCCGATATTGTAAATCTAATTAAAAAAAGGGAAGGATAACAATTTTCTTAGAAAAATTAATAACAAAAACGAAGAATAACTCGATAAAATAAATTGCGGTTCTTTCAAATCTATAATTGATTATAACTCTATTGAAATAAGCTTGTAAATAGTCTTTAATATAGTTTCTTTTGTGTCAATAGGTCAAAAATTACAATGTGCTTTTCATTGATAATCCCGTTGGCAGTGGCTTTAGTTATGTTACTGGTACAGACGGATTCGTGAAAACAAATGCTCAGATCGCGAGTGATCTTGTAGAATGTATGCGAGGATTTTACGATAAATTACCGAAATTTAAGCCTGTCCCGACGTATATCACTACTGAATCATATGGCGGCAAAATGGGCGCGGAGTTTGCGCTTGTCTGGTATCGAGTAAGAAACAAACATGCTAATTAAAATAAGTATAGTAAATAAAAAATTTGTATCAATTATATAAGATGTTAATATATTTAAAATAAATAATTTCTTTCTGAGATGCATTTATATATATATATATTTTTTTTCATGTATTGATTTTTTAATACATATGTATTAAAAAATCAACAGATATTTAAAATGATCAATCACAAGGATTTACTAAATAAACATTTTTCATGTGTAAAATTTGTGTTCTTTAGGCTCAAAAAGCTGGCAATATTGAAAGTAATCTACTAGGCGTTGCACTTGGAGATGCTTGGATTTCTCCTATCGATTCTGTAATGACATGGGCGCCATATTTACTTAGCACGGTAATATATTTAATTATTCGTCTTTGTGGGATCTGTGCAAAATCTATTGTAAAGTGCAATTTTAGACGATATTATATAAAAACAATTATATTATTTTTTATCGATTATTACCGAAAAACTAAAACACGCCGCGATAACAAATTTTACCGGATTTCTGTCATTTTTCTTTTACAAAATTCTTCATTATTTATATATTGTTATAAAATTCTTGGATACTTTTCACAGGGTATGGTCGATACACAAGGTTTTGAACTAATTGATGATGCCGCAAAAATGACAAAAGATAAAGTTGAAACTGATAAGTGGAGACTGGCAACTACGTATTGGGCTCATACTCAAAATATCGTTTTGCAAACAACTTATAACGTTGATTTCTACAATATTCTGGAAAGAAAACAATATTTGCGCCATCATTTCTCGCCACAAACCGTATTGTCCCTTGATGGAGGTACACAATCATGTTAGATAATATATGTAATAGATAGTAATAAATGTAATAATTATTATCACGTATATATTGTTTTTTCGACAAATTGCAGAAGGTATATATCGACATTTTGTTCAACGTAAAACTCAATCACTTGATGATTTAATGAACGGTCCAGTAAGAAAAGCGCTCAATCTTACAACCTATCATGGCAACCAATCTGACAAAGTTTTCGACAAGTTATCAGAAGATTTCATGAAGCCTGTTACTAATATAGGTATCGATTCAACATGTCAAATATTAGTATTATTAAAACAAAAAGAGTAGTGTGCTTAATGCAATGCATTTTCATTATGCTTTCAAGTTAAAGCGGTATAAAAGCCAGAACTTGTCAGCTTCTGGAAAATCAATTTTCATAAGTTATAAATAAATTATATATAAATTTATAAGACAAGAGGGGATAGCTTACGTATGTGCGTAAAGTTAATGTCGCGACACATTTTGCTCTGAAACTGAATTTTTCGCGAAATGTCAAAATATATCATTTCTCATATAATGACTACGATTTATATATCTTATATTAAAACCTCGAAATTCACTACATGCAAATATATTTTGTTTCAGTGGAACTATTGCTTAATGAGACCAACTTGAACGTATTCGTATACAATGGGCAATTGGACTTAATTGTCGACACTCCGGGTAAGTTAATTTGTTTTCCTCCTATATTATATAATATATAATGAATAATGCTAATAGCGTTTACACAAATAAAAAATGGATAATAAACAAATGTAAATATATATTGAAATTTAAAGTAAAATATTTCTATTAAAATCCAAAATAATATTAAAAATAGATGATATATCTTAAATAGGCAAGTAAGTTAATAAAAATTCTTGAATTCTTTCATATTTTGTCAACTTACTTTTCAACAAGCATTTATTATAAATTATTCAAGTTTACGAAGATATTAATTTCTCGAATTTTTTAAAATCGTGTTATTCTCTTGTCCTTTTTCAGTTTGTAATTTTATGTACAATATCTTTCCAATTGCATCATCAATAAAGAATTATTATGTATATAACACTTGCTAACATTATTCAATATATGAATTTTTACACATATTATTTTTTACTGTTCTATAATTCGTGGTTACTTTATATTTTAGGCACCCTCCTTTGGGTTGAAAAACTGAAATGGAAAGACGCTGATACTTGGAATTATATCTCAATCAGACAACCTCTCGTTATTAAAGATAATATCGTCGAGGGCTATGTCAAAACTACACAAAACTTTGCAATGTATTGGATCAACAGAGCCGGGCATATGGTAAGTATATAAGAATCATTTTTTCTCTTTTTATTCACTTCCGTATCTGTTGTATCGCGAGCGACCCTGAAGATTAATTTATAATTAATAAGTAAAATTAATTCATATTTAATAAATAAAAATTTAGCAGTTTATCGTCGCACGCTTATGCATATAAGAATAGAAAGTTTAATCGATCAAATTACATTAAAATAATATATTTTCAATCATTCTTTAAATTTTCGTAAACTGTAGCTTTTTTATTTAGATAACTTTCTATCTAACTATAATCAATCTATCATTATTTTTTACATATTTGATAGTGAAACATTATATAGAGCATTTATAGATTTAAATATCATTTATGTTTCTAATGTATTTTATTATGTAATATTACGTAGGTTCCAAGAGACAATCCAGTAGCAATGGAGACAATACTACAGGATTTGACAAGCCTAAATAAGAACTAAAGCAAAATTTAGCTTTAAATTAGTAAATATAGAAACTAAATTTGCATTATTTAAATAACGTCGTGCTTAAATTACTGAAATTATTAAATCCATTTTCTTATATTACTCTCATCTATCATCTTTAATTTTTAAAGTGTCCGAAGTTATTTAAAAGTATTATATTAAAAGATATTAAGATCCAAACTCTGAAAAAAGCTATTGATTTCAAATAAATATCTATCCCAATAGTGCCATTAACACCATTTGTTTGAAACTAATAATATTAATTTGCCCTGAAAAAATACTTACTTGATATAAAAACCCTTTTTAAAACCAGATTTATTTGCTTCAAACAAATGGTTAATCATATATAATTTATATAAATAAGTTATTATATATTACATTAAGAAAATTGTTGATAAAAATAAATAAGTCATATTCGATATAGCATGTATATCAAACTGATTAAAAAAATTATTTAATCTAAATAAAGGATCTTAAATTATATGGATGGTTTGTGCTTTATTTTTAATAACGTCTCCGCAAATCTCCGCAATAGTTAATCAAACAGGATGATCTACAATTTTTCGATTTTTCTCAACTGATAAACACAAGAAGACAATATAAAGGGCATATTTATAAGCTTCATGTGTATAGCATTAATCCGAACGATTAGTTTCTGAAAGAATTCGTGGCAGGAAGGCGAAAAAGCAATGAAGCGGCTCATTTGCATTTTCATTATACTGTATTTTGTTTCCGGCAGTATTGGTAAGATACAATACAAATTCAACATCAATGTGATAGATCTTATCATTCATTATCGTGTTAGATAATATATAAATCAAATTATTAGAAAAAGATAATCAGAATGAAATAAACCAAAAGTCGAATGCTCATTTTACATTTATCTAGCATAATTCTTATATCAATCTTGTACCATTTATTTATAATAAATCATAATTTTATATATACGCTTGTCATTCGATACATGATACAAAAGAAATGATACAAGAATTGCAACAAGAAGTAAAAAAATGCATGATACAAAGAAAAAGAATTTATAAGAAATTCGCACTGTGTTAAAATAAATTGTAAAATAATTTAACAGAAATTTAAAAGATTTGAAATATTTCTTCCAAACATTAAATACAATAAAATGATTTTTGTATGCATCACACAAAATAAACAAGTTATCTATTATATCATCACAATTACGAAAGTCACCTCTATTTTTGACATAAGCAATTTCCGATATCAGTTATACATATAATTGTTACCCACAATTTTTTAATTTATTCAAGATGATTAAAATTACATTTTTTTTAATCAATAAAGGGAGAAAAGGATTCGGTCCTGAAGAACAAGAATGGGGCTATGTTAAAGTGCGTCTCAATGCTCATATGTTTTGGTGGCTTTATTATACTACAGCAGATGTTAAATCATATTACGACAAACCACTAATTATTTGGTTACAAGGTGGACCAGGTGGATCTTCGACCGCGTATGGAAATTTTATGGAACTAGGACCTTATGATGTGAAATTAAATCCAAGGAATTACACTTGGGTAATTAATGCGTGATATACGAAAGCTAAATTATCATTCTGTCGGAATCACATGTAATTTATATTTATTGCCGTGTGTATATAATTTAATTATAAATTACTATAATAATTGAGACTCTATTATTAAAATATAAAAAATAGTGCGATATAGTCAATATAATAGAAAAAGTGTAGAACAAAAAGATTTTCAAAAATTAATAATATAAACAGAATAATAAAATAGAGAAAACTGTGGCTTTTTGAAATCTATATTGACTATAACATTTATTAAAATAAGCTTGTTGATAATTCCTAATATATATATATATATTTATTTGATAATTCCTAATATATATATTTATATTTGAGAAATATATATATTTATATTATAGGTCAAAAACTACAATGTACTCTTCATCGATAATCCTGTTGGCACTGGCTTTAGTTATGTTACTAGTGAAAATGCATTCGCGAGTACAAATACTGACATCGCATACGATCTTGTAAAAATTACCGAAATTTAAGCCTGTCCCGACATATATCACCACTGAATCATATGGCGGAAAAATGGGCGCGGAATTTGCGCTTGTCTGGTATCGAGTAAGAAACAAACATGCTAATTAAAATAAGTATAGTAAATAAAAAATTAGTATCAATTATATAAGATGGGCGTAGAATTTGCGTTTTTCTGGTATCACGTAAGAAACACAAACTTGCTAATTAAACATATTAATAAATATACCGATTATACGATTTCATTAAAAAAATATCGATGATTTTAAAATCTCGAAAATAAAGGAGAGAATGAGAGTAAAGTAAAAAAAAATTATATCATCTATATAAAATTTAAATATAATATATATGTACATGTGTGTATTTAAAGCAAACATTTTCTCCTTTGAGATGCATCTTTATATTATAAAAACCAATAGAGATATTTAAGATAATCAAAAAATATTAACTCTCCTTCTCTCTCTCTCTTTTTCTGTCAGTCGTAATATTTGTAAATAATGTAAGTAATTGTCACTAATAATAGTATTCGACAAATAGACAACTAAATAAAAATTTTTCATGTGTCAACGCAAAAACTTGTGTTCCTTAGGCTCAAAAAGCTGGCAATATTGAAAGTAATCTACAAGGCGTTGCACTTGGAGATGCTTGGATTTCTCCTACCGATTCTGTAAAATCGTGGGGACTCTTTCTACTCAACATGGTATTATTTATTTAATTATTCATCGCCTTTATAGCATCTACACGAAATTTATTGTTAAAAAACCAATTTTATAGTATATAAAAATCATCTATAAGTAATGATATCACGAAAGAAAAGAAAAACTCACACATTCCCTGATAATAAAATTATTTATTAAGATTCTCTGTTATTTTTCCTTCTTTTCTTAGATCTCATTAGTTTTATGTAAAATTCATTCTCCATTATTTTTGCATTGTTATAAAATTCTTGATTTTTTTCGTAGGGTATAATTGATACGCGTGATTTTCAACAAATTGACGAGATGGCAAAAATGACAGAAAAAAAAGTTGAAGATGGTCGCTGGAAAGAGGCAACTCAATATTGTGCTATAACTGAAAGAATAATTGAAAAAGTAACTTACAACATTGATTTCTACAATATTTTAGAAAAAAAACAATTTTTAGTCAATCAGTTAACGCCAGAAAACAAGACATTCATGACGAAAGTATTCACTGATGAAGGTATAAAATCATGAATAATATAACAATATTAGATTACAATTAGTAAAATGATATTTAATACGTGGCTTTTTAAGCATTTGCAGATATATATACATTTCTTGCTAAACGTCATGTCAGGCTTTATTCTCATTATTCACTTGATGAGATAATGAATAAACTAGTAAAAGAAGCGCTTGGCCTTAAAGTCAGTCATGGGCATCAATCTAGCAGCGTTATGTATCACTTAATAGAAGATTTTATGAAGCCTGTTACTCATATAGGTATTATTCAAATATGCCAGATATGTGTATTATTAATATGTATTACAAAAAAATTAGTTGGCTTAATAATGTATTGCCATTGCTTTCAAGTAAAACGGACATAAAAACTAAAATTTGTAAACTTCCGAAAAGCACTGTTAAATCAATTTTTATAAATTTTATAAATTGATAAAACAAGAAAGAAATGATTCGTAAATAATTTGTCACAACACATACATTCAGATGCTTTACTCTAAAACTGAATCTTTCGCGAGATGTCAAGATGTTTTATTTCTTGTATAATAACTATGATTTATAAATATTTTTTATACTTTAAAATTATAAAAATAAATTAACTCTATAAATGCTAATATATTTTTTATGTTTCAGTACAACTATTGCTTAAGACTGACTTGAAGATATACGTATATAATGGACTCTTGGACTTAATTGTTGACGCACCAGGTAAGTTCACTTGTTTCTCTTAACGTTAACATAAATTAAAAAATTGTAACTTTGAATATAAATAATACCAATATATTGAAATATTTCCATTAAAGTCCAAAATAATATCAAGTATAGATATATCTCAAATAGCCAAGAAAACATATACTCTCTAAATTTCTTGAAATTTCACTTCAAAAGAGTGAAATCTCAGTTTCAAAAGAGTGAGATTCCACTCTTTTGGGATGAGATTCTACTCTTTTGGAGTGAAATTCTATTCCAAGAAATTTAGAGAATATATTCTTAAATGTTTTCTTTATATTATGATAACGTACACACATTTGTATATATTGTATATTAAAAATTTTTCGCGATTTTTTCGAAATTTGGCGGAAAACAAAATCTTGTAAGAGAAAATGTTATTCAACTTTTCCAATTTTTTTCTTTATGTGAATTATCATCTTATTACATTGCCAATAATGAATCTGTATATCCCATGCTAATGATCTTACTAACATAATTCACTGACAATAAGTTAAAAAAAAAATTATCACATATATTATTGTTTTTTCTTCTCGCATAATTAGCTATTATTTTATTATATTTTAGGTACCTATTTATGGGTCCAAAAGCTAAAATGGAAAGGAGCTGACACTTGGAAATATTCGACTAGGAAACCGCTCGTCGTTAAAGGTGTCGTCGAGGGTTATGTCAAAGCTACAGATAATTTCGCAATGTATTGGGTCTACAGGGCTGGACATATGGTATGTATATGTATACGTACGAATCACTTTCTCTTTTTCCATTCAACTTCCGTATTTATTCACTGCAAAAATAATTTTGTTGTATTAACATAAATTCTGTTCAAAAATCGACGAGACATAATTACTGGTTCAAGCGACCAGAATTCTTTTTAATGCAACACGCAACTGATTTGTTGTGCAAACAAGATGCTTGTTGCATTAAAAGGAATTCTGGTCGATTCAACCAGTAATTCTGTTTCGTCTATTTTCGAACAGAATTTTTGTTAACGTAACAAAATTTTTTCCAGTGTTATAATATTGTCGCGAGCAAGCCTCAAAATTAATTTGTAGTAAGTAAAATTCTAAATCAAACGTGTGTGCTTTATGTTCTAGAGTCGAAAATTTTTTCTCGTTCTGATTTTACGCGATATTAAACGAGTCGAGCAAAGTTAATAAATTAAACGTCTTTTGAAAATGATACGATCGAAAAAAATATTATATACTTTCTCTTTTTACTCGCGCGATATACTTTCGTCACTTAAATTCCACGAAATACTAATTAATCTTTATCGACGTATGTATATATCATGCTTGTTTGTATCGTTTGCTCCGATGATTTATCGATAATTGCTTGCAATTGTATATAATTAAATTCGATAAAAAGTTTGTAGATGCAAGATGTATTTGAGTTTAAGCATTAAGAAACAAGTATGTAAGTACTGACTTATAAATATCGGAATAATATATCATCGTCATCCTCTATCGTGTTTCGGCTTCGAAATCGCGAAATAAATGAATCAAGCAGAAATACTTTCTTCGAAAAAGCGTTCTAATTACAATCTTATGAATTGTTTCTTGTCGCTAATTTGAATAACAGGATAAGGAATTTCTTAATGAATATAATGCAACGCACGAAACAGGCCTTCTCGCTCGAATGTCGTCGTGTGAATGATAACAAGTTTGTCACCATTCGCTGACTATTGTAATGCAAAGAGCTATTATTCACAAATGTTAGCATGCTATACATCAGAAAAATTTAATACAAATACAACAGACGATAATATAAATTTTATACAACTGATGTATGGTTATCGCTACTTTAACCAATCTATCATCACTTTCACGTACTTACTTTCATTATCATGTTTTAATATTAAAATTGCTTTATTCAATATACATATAATTATATATTTTACGTAAATATTTTTGTGGAAGATGTGTACGTATTATAATAATTATATAGATATATTTTCCAATAAAAAAATTGTCAGAGCATAATACGTATCAATAAGATAATATAATTAAAGTATCTAATGGGAATTCGAAAAAAATTAATGCAAAAGAGCTCGTGGAAAAAAAGAATATCATTTTATAACTAATTAAGAATCTTTAATAAAAAATTATTTTAAAAATTAAAATAAATATTATGAAAGTATATAAATTATTTTATAGTAGATCTAATTTTACTTTGGTATAAAATATTTTATTTTTAACTGCTTCAATTATATCTTTATTGACACATACATTATTCTTCATGAAATTGTTGATCGGAAAATACATATATCTTATGCAATTACACAATTATATTTAAAAATACGTACATATACAAATACACTTAAGTAAAATATACAAACATATTGTACTTTATCAAATAAAACAATTTTACACATATAATGAAACGCGCACCCGTGCATGATAATAATAATATATAAAAGAATTAAATTTTATAATACTTAAACATATTTCTTTTATTCTTAATTAGAGCAAATTATTTTATCATCACTTTAATAAAAATAACATGATTAATCAAATATATAAAATTATATTTAAATAATATTATCTTTTTAACCAAGTTATATAGACGCATAGACTATATAGGTATATCTTTTTAAGAAGATAATTTCCTTTTTCAGACGTGAAGAGATTGTTTTTTTTTTATACAAATCATTTTCTAGTTATAATTATAGTCAATTTATGGTTATTTTTATGTATTTTATATTGAAAAATGACCCCATATCATATATGTATCTATAATATATAATAATGTGTAATTAATTACGCAGGTTCCAGTGGACAATCCAGCAGCTATGGAGCGAATACTAAAGGACCTAGTAAAGCCACGGATCAGAACCAAAACCGAATTATAAAAACTAAATATGTTATTTACGTGATATTAATATCGCGTAAATAAAAAGAAGCAAGTTTATTCAAAGTTAATCTACACATTGAAAAAAAATTATTAACTTGATTAAACCTTTCAACTAAATATTATTTTGTTAATTGAACATATAAAAATACACAAATGAAATACAACATATTAAATCTAACAAAACGTATATTTAACTTAAATATTAATATAATATGTATGTTCAATTAACAAAATAGTAATTTAGTTAAAAAGTTTAATCAGATATTGCAATAGCTTTAATTTACAATACATTATTGGCATAAAGTAAAATAATTTTCAGTGCAGACTCAAAGCAAGCACGTTATTACAATTTAATGAGCGCATTATTTTAGTATATAGCATTATTCGTTCTTGGACTATGTATTCGGAAATTATTCTAAAAAGCAACGTCACCGAATTTTTTAATTTTTTCAAAGATCCAAGGATATTTCTTTTCATGAACAAGCAACAGACATAAAAAAAATTATTTTAAGATAAATTAATAAGTAATTCGTATGAAATGAATCTTTTGCTAGATTTATTTTACATGTTTGCGATCTATTTGTTATTCACATACAATGACACTCGAGCGATAAGATAACAATGCGAACTAATCCATTATTAATTTATGCGAACCACGTCGCATTATGTTCTTTAAATTCCGCATTCTGTCGTTATAATTAGCAGCAAAAATGATTTATAAACGTATATAGCAATGACAACTGCTACACGTTTTATCTGTAAACTGTACATCTTTAGCAAATTATTAAAGAAAATATTTCGGTAAAGTATGCACACAGAGTATCTCAAAATGATTATTTTAGGATATGATTGTGCACATAATTTTAAGCTTAAGCAAATAAATAGAATAAACATTCATATTTATATATATTTTACCTGTATAAGTCGTTTATTTCAAATGTACTTCTGATATCTCGCGTATAATCATACTAATCTGGTATATTCAAAAGTCAAAAGTAGCTGTTAGTATAACAATAAAGAATATCAAAATCTATCGCATTGTTGTATGATTTTAGTTCTATTTTACTGATGTTTTAATTGTTTTGAATTTTACATAGCAATATTATTTCTAAGATTAACTTTCGAAAGATCTCGCCACGCAAACACGAGAAGACAATAAAGGGTATGTTTATATATACGCTTTTTGTGTATAGCAATATAATCGCAACGATTAGTTTCCAAAAGATTTTGCCGCAGAAACACGACAAGATGATGAAGCGGCTACTTATTTGTATTTTTGCTATATTCTGCTTTATTCCTAGGAGTACTGGTAAGATAAAATACAAATTTTACTTTGGGATAATAAATTTTGTTATCACATAATATTATATAGCTGATCATGATTGTTAAATAGGAGAGACAAAAAACTACATATAAAATGTTACGATTGAAACTGGCGGATGTATACTTTAAAATACATCCTCTATATATATATTTCATATTATAATTTTTTCATATAAAATACTTAAAAAAAGATATTACATATATTTTGCTTCAATGCTTCAAATCTACTTTCAATAGTATTAGTCATTGTTAGTAGATAATATTTAAATTAAATTATTGGATAAAAATAATTAGAGTGGATTGATCCGAAAGTCATTCTATGTTCCAATTTAAGTCCTGTAGAATTTTTTCATAATAAATAATAGTTTTCCGAATTCGCGCCTCATCAAAGATACCATAAATGATACATAAATTACAACAGCAAGTAAAAAATACATATAATATTATACGAGCAAAAGAATTTTTATCAAATTCGCAACGGTAACTTAAAATAAATTATAAAATAATTTTAATACAAATTAAAGACGAACATTTGAAGTATTTCTTGTAAAAATAAAAAAATATGATAAAATAACTTCTCGTAACTTCACAAAACAAAGTAAGCAAGTCATCTATATCTATGAAAATCTATGAAAATTTTTAATAATTAAAAAGAAAACTTCTTTCAATCAACAAAGGGAGAAAAGGATTCGGTCCTGGAGAACAAGAATGGGGCTATGTTGAAGTACGTCCCAATGCTCATATGTTTTGGTGGCTTTATTATACTACAGCAGACGTTAAATCATATTACGATAAACCGCTAATAATTTGGTTACAAGGTGGACCAGGAGGATCTTCGACCGCATATGGAAATTTCGAAGAACTAGGACCTCTCGATCTAAATTTAAATCCAAGGAATTACACTTGGGTAATGAATTATGCGTAAAAAAAATTAAAGTATAGAATATTATTATCTCGAGACGTATAATATATATTTATTGTCGTGTGTGTATATAACTTATAAATTATTAATGATTGGGACTCTACTTATTAAAATATAAAAAGTACGGTAGTATTAATTAATATAATAAAAAAATAACGTTTTTCATGAAAATTAAAAAAAACAGAATAATAAAATTTAAAAATTTGATTTTTTAAATTTATATAAATTTATTAAAATAAGCTCGAAAACAGTCCTTGATATACATATGTATATTTATATCGTAGATCAAAAGTTACAATGTACTCTTCATCGATAACCCTGTTGGCACTGGCTTTAGTTACGTTAATGATCAAACGGTATACACGACGACAAATGCTCAGATTGCTCGCGATCTTATAGAATGTATTCGAGGATTTTACAAACAATTACCGAGATTTAAGTTTGTCCCAACATATATCATTTCTGAATCGTATGGTGGAAAAATGGGAGCGGAGTTTGCATTAGTCTGGGCTCGAGTAAGAAATACAAACATACTATACTTATATATAATAAGTAATAAATAAAAGAATTATACAGTTCAATGTGTGTGTGTGTATGTGTCTGCAATCTTTTTAATCTTTTTGTGAGACGCGTATTTATATTATAAAAACAACAGAGATGTTTAAGATAATCATGAGACATTCTCTCTTTTTTTTCTGAGTCATATTATTTGTAAATAACTTTAATAATTGTCCCTAATCGTATTTAATATTCGTATTTAATAAACAAACAACGATTTATTAAATAAAAATTGATCAACGCAAAATTATATTCCTTAGGCTCAAAAAGTTGGTAATATTAAAAGTAATCTAAAAGGGGTCGTACTTGGAGGTGCTTGGATTTCTCCTATCGACTCTGTAACGACATTGGCGCCATTTTTATGCAACGTGGTAGTATTTAATCATTCATCATTTTTGTATTATCTTTAATCTAATATAAAGTGTTGATTTTATACGATATTATATAAAAGAATCGACAAATAATGATATCATCGAAAAAGAGAATAAAACACATATACGCTTCGATTATATTTACTGGATTTCTCTATCATTTGCTTTTACAAAATTTATTTACAATATTCTTCATTATTCATGCATTGTTATATTCTTAAATATTTTTTTCAGGGTATGATGGATTTGCAAATTTTTAAAAATATTACTTCTGTGGCAAAACTTACAAAAGCTAAAGTTAAATCTGGCGAGTGGGAAATGGCAACTAAATTGTGGTCTTATATTCAAAAAATCATTGCAATAAAAACTTACGTTAACTTTTACAATATTGTGGAAGAAAAGAAATATGGGGATTATTCGCATCTTTTACCACAAAGCCAATCATCCTTTAATAGAGGTGTACACTCATGATTAATGACATATAATAATATAGATAGTAATAAATATAATAATCAGTATAACATATATATGTATATTGTATTTTTAACAAATTCTAGATTTATCTAAACATCGTATTCAAAATCGGGGTAAATTACTTTATACTTTAATGAATGGCCAAGTAAGAGAGGCACTCGGTCTTAATGTCATTCATGGCCATAATGAAAAAATTTTCTACTATTTAAGAGAAGATTTTATGAAACCCGTTACTAATATAGGTATGAGTCAAATATATGTATTAAATAAAACAAAAATAGTAGTGTGGCTTAATAATGCATTGTCATTGTTTTCAAGTAAAACGAATAAAAATAATATTTATTAAAGCTTCCGATTAGCTGTTTGTATCAATTTTTCATGAGTTATAAGAATTTGTAAAAAAAGAGAAATAACTTGTATAAATTTCAATCTATCACAACACATCTAATCAGATACTTTGTTTTGAAACTAAATCTTTCGCGAAAGAGATGTTAAGATGTTTCATTTCTTGTATGACTTGTGTGCAATTTTTAAATTTTATATTATATTAAAACCCTAAAATTTTAACTAACTAAATACAAATATATTTTGTTTCAGTGGAATTATTACTCAATGAAACCAACTTGAAAGTATTTGTGTACAATGGAAATTTGGATGCAGTTGTCACCACAAAAAGTAAGTTAATTTGTTTTCTCTTATGCGCTGTAACACATAAGGAGTAACGTTAATAACGTTAACGTATATAAAAAAATTGATAATCAAATTTTGTAAGATAAATTTAAACAATAACAAATCACTGTTTATATCTTGTGCTAACGCTCTTATTAACACTAAAGATTTAGTAACTATTATCAAATATGATAATAATTATCAAATATTCAATTTAAATTTACAACTAAATATATTTGATAACTATTACTAATCAGTTTTTTCAGTGTATTCATATGAGTTATTACACATATTATTATTATTTTTTCTACTGCATAATTAGAGATTATTTTATTATATTTAAGGCACCTATACTTGGATCGAAAAACTAAAATGGAAAAAAGCTGACACCTGGAAATATGATTCGATTAAGGTACCGCTTGTCGTTGAAGGTATCATCGAGGGCTATGTCAAAGCTACAGATAATTTCGCAATGTATTTGGTCTACAGAGCCGGACACCATGTATGTATCTACATAGAAATGTCATTATTTCTTTTTTTATTCCACTTCCTTATTTATTGTAATATCGTTACAAGCAATCCTCAAAATGAATTCGTAATCTAAATAAAATTCGAAATCAAGCAATGACACTGTTAAAAAAATAACTTTTTTGAACCCCAGAACGAGATTAGTCGTTTTTTGGATATTAAACAAGGATCTGGTTTCCAAACATCATATCAAAATTTTGAAAAATTTGCAATTAAAGTTACAAAATTATTTTCTCGGTTATTTTCACGAACTTTGTTATATTATAATTACAATATGTAACGTGCTAGAATATTGCAAACAAAATAAATTTTTTGTTAGGATTTTCAAAAGGAATTTTTGGTATTGATTATGGTTAATAAGATTTCAATGGTTAAATATGAGATTTATTGTAAATGTTAACTGTGATTTGCTATTAGGTCAATGACAATTTATCAAACAGATTTCTATTATGTTTATTTAAACTCAAGGGGTTTTAAGGTCTGGATTTATAATGTGTAATATTAAAAAACATTTTTTAAATTTTGAGTCCGCTATATTAAGTCTACTATTTAATAATTTTGATATTAAAATTGTATTCCGTGACCTTAAAAATTTTTTAATTTAAATAAACATAATTGAAAGCTACTTATTTGATAAATCGTCAATGACCTAAGTTACAGCTAATTTCTGCAATACATCTCATTTAACAATGGATCTTATTGACATTTTTTGAATTCTTAATTGGAGAAAAATTATATCATCACGCTTCAGTAGAAATAACAGATTTAATCAATAAAATTACGATTAAACAATATTATCCTTTTTAACTTAGTTATAGATGCGTATACACCATGCATTTTTTAAGAAGATAATTTTCTCTTTTGAATATGTGTCTTTGAGATGTGTCTTTTTATAAAAAAAAAAAAAACATTATCCATTTAGTTATTTTCAGTTTATGGTTTCTTTTATGTACTTGATATCGACACAGCACCACATTTATTGATTTAAATATTATTTATGTATTTGTAATGTGTAACAATACACAGGTTCCAAAAGACAATCCTGCAGCTATGGCGCTAATACTACAGGATCTAATAAAGGAGTGAACAAAAAACCAAACTAGTTTTTAATTTTTAAAAAACTAAATGTGTATTATATTTACGGGACGTTACACTCAAATTACTGATAAAATTTTTCATCTATTTTTTTTACTTTTAAGAAAAAGAAGCAAACAATCAAAATAATCATAAATATTAAAATTAGTAGAAAATAATTCCGACTATTTGTCATATGTTACATTAATACTGATGTATAATTAATACTATATGTATATATAATATAGTACATATTAGACACAATATACATATATATATAACAATATATATTATATATATATACGTTATATACATATATACATATGTATGTTATATATATGTATATATGTACATACATACATATTTAATATATATTACTATACACATATATATATATATATGTTATATACATATATATATTATTATATTACATACATATGTATTTTTTAAGGAGGACAATTAAAATTTTATAGTTTTGACTGTTGCTTGACTTTTTGTAAATATTATTCAAAGTTGATCTACAGAAGGCGATTTAAAAAAAAAACACATATAGGATATTACAAAACATCCGACTTATAAATATCTTGTCATTTGCGTGACGTGTTTGATAATAGTCGACCATAAATAACTATCACTTCAGAAGAAACGAGAAAGATATATATATATATATATATATATATATATATATATATATATATATATTACTTTCTACGTGTTTGTACTGACTACACACACAACATATACACAAATTCTTAATACAGTTTAATACTTATTCGTAACTTCAAATTTTATTATAACTCTCTATCTTTACTTTGCAATAAACATATGTGTATTACATTATGTTTAACATCTTGACTGTGTAAACATATTAATAATTGACATTTGCGAGGAAAAACTTGCAAGATTTTGTCTTCAGTATTATAATCTTATATCTTGACTGTGTAAACATATTAATGATTGACACTTGCGAGGAAAAACTTGCAAGATTTTGTCTTCAGTATTATAATATGATATATATATATATATATATATATATATATAATATAGTAGTTAGAGTCTATTGTAGTAGCTTTAATATATGATTTATTGGCAAAAAGTAAATAATTTTTGATATAAATGTGATATATGTTCGGGGATTATCTTAAGATGCGACAAATACCATTTATAGTTTTCGAATTGTCCCAAAGATCCGAAAATATTTTTTTCATAAGCAAGCAACTGACACGACAAAAAAATGTTTGTTTCTTTTTTATACCAGATAAGTTAATAAATAAAAGAGATGAATTCTATATATTATATTCTATATATTCTATATATTAATTAATATATTTATTATATTATTTGTGGTAGATCTACTTGTGATCTAGCGACGACACTCGATCGAGAAGATAAAAATGCAAACATTATATATATGCGTCATTATGTTCTTTAATTAATTCTATGTATATTCTATCATTACAATTATAGCCTTATAAAAACAATTTATAAACATATCATAGCGACAACGTATTTAGACATTTTTCAAAGCAAATTGTTGATGAAAATAATTCACACCCGATAAAGTGTGTATATTATTGTATATATTAAACTGATTAAAGGACCAGTTGTTTCAACTTCTTGGTAAATTTTATCCGACAGATAGCATATGTTCGTCTTTTTTTTAACTTATTTGAAAAAAGACGAAGATATGTTATCTGTCAGATTAAATTTACTAAGAGATTGGAACAACCGGCCCTAAGTGATATACTTAATAAACAAATAATCCTCAATTATATAAACTATTGGTGCTACGTTTTTAATCTCTTGCGCATATATGTATATGTATAACTCTGCATCGTAAGCAATATCGTTTAAAAAGGAAGAAACTTTTGAGAAACGTAAAGTTTCGATATAATTACTGCAATGCATTGTTTATATACATATGTATATAAGCGCAATCTAGGGATCTTTCTATCAAATCATTATCCTATCAAAATCCTACGTTGTGAGATGCATATTCTATTGACAGCGATGGTAATCGATTCACCAGCAAAGAGTTTACTAAAGCTCGCCAAAATTTACAAGTTTATCACAAATTCCTTTATTAAGAGCTTCGTGAAGATTTCGTGAAACAAAACGAGTATAAATGATGACGATCATGTAGGAATGAAAAGCTGTGGATGATCTATTCGCCAATGAGATTTCCGAAATGACAAATTACAGACAAAGAAAAACGAGATACAGACCTTTTTTCAAAAGATATAAAAGATCTGAGATTGTTGATATGAAGAAATTAAATGGTAAGATAAAACTCAAATCGTATATCAACGCGATAGATTTTATTTTATATTATTGTATTAATGATTGATTTTTGCTGCTAGATATGATAAGTAGATTATGGAGATTATGAGCGAGATATCAAAAGTACATTTGAAAGAAGCAAATTATAAACATGTAAAATAAAATAAATATTTTATATATTTTAGGTAGCAATGTTATGTCAAGTATTAGTTTTAGAAAGATCTTTCCGCGCAAACATGATAAGAAAACAATAAAGGGCATATTTATATATACACTTTCTGTGTATAGCAATGTAATCTTAATAACGATTAGTTTCAAAAAGATTTCGCCGAAGAAACACAAGACGATGAAGGGTCTACTTATTTGCATTTTTACTATATTGTGCTTTGTTTCTGGAAGTATTGGTAAGCTAAATTTATCTCCGGATAACAGATATTTTGTTATCACACAATTTCGTACAGCTAATTATGATTTTTAGATATATAATAGATAAAAAAAAGTACATGTGAAATAATCAACTACTATGACAATTTTTGACATAATTTTGCGGTTTCCGATACCAATTACGAGTAACTGTTACTCGCAATTTTTAATTTATTAATATAATTATTAAGAATAAAACTTCTTTTAATCAACAAAGGGAGAAAAGGATTCGGTCCTGGAGAACAAGAATGGGGCTATGTTGAAGTACGTCCCGATGCTCATATGTTTTGGTGGCTTTATTATACTACAGCAGACGTTAAATCATATTACGAAAAACCGTTAATAATTTGGTTACAAGGTGGACCAGGCGGATCATCGACCGCATATGGAAATTTTGAAGAACTAGGATCCCTTGATGTGAATTTAAAACCAAGGAATTACACTTGGGTAATTAATTATGCGTGATATACAAAAGAATTTAGAATGTTATTCTGTCGGAATTACATATAATCTATATTTATTGTCATGTGTATTTTTCTATTATATTTTTTAATATAATAGAAAAACGTAGAAAAAAATTATTTTCATAAAAAAGTAATAACGAAAGCACAGAATAATAAAATGGGAAAAACTGCGGCTTTTTTAAATATATTAACCATAAATTCATTTAAAAAAATAAGCTCATAAACAGTCCTTATATCGATATATATTTGTGTTACAGGTCAAAAATTACAATGTACTCTTTATCGATAATCCTGTTGGCACTGGCTTCAGTTACGTTAATAGTTCATCAGCATTCGCGACGACAAACACTGAGATCGCGTGTGATCTTTTAGAATGTATTCGAGGATTTTACGATAAATTACCGAAATTTAAGTCTGTCCCGACGTATATCATCACTGAATCGTATGGTGGAAAAATGGGTGCGGAATTTGCGTTTATCTGGGCTCAAGTAAGAAACACAAACATAATTTAAAAACTTAATAAATAAAAGAATTATGCAGTTAAGTATATATGTGTATGTCTTTAATCGTTTTAATCTTTTGCTGAGACGTATTTTTATATTATAAAGACAACAAAGATATTTAAGATAATCATGAAACGTGAAACACTTCCTCATTTTCTCTCTTTCTTTTATATAAGCCATATTATTTATAAATAACTTTAGTAATTGTCACTAATAATTGTATTCAATAAACAGACAATAATTTATTAAATAAAAGATTATGATGTGTCAACGCAAACTTGTGTTTCTTAGGCCCAAAAAACTGGCAATATCGAAAGTAATTTACAAGGCGTTGCACTTGGAGATGCTTGGATTTCTCCTATCGATTGTGTCATGACATGGGCGCAATTTCTACTAAACATGGTAATATTTAATTATGCATCGTCTTTGTGGTATTTTTACGAAATTTATTGTAAAGTGCTGCTTTTATAGAATATTATATTTAAAAAACCAATAAGTAATGATATCACTGAAAAGAGAGTAAAATTCTATCATTTTTTTACAAAATTTATTCACAAAATTTTCAATTATTAATGCATTGTTTTAAAATTTTTGGATATATTTTACAGGGTATGATTGATACGCATGATTTTAAAGACATTGACACTGCAGCAAAAAAGACAAAAGAAATAATTAAAATGGGCGAATGGAAAATGGCAACTAAACATTGTGGTATCACTCAACAAATAATTTTAAATACAACTTACAATATTGACTTTTACAATATTTTGGAAAAAAGACAATTTATATCCTATGATATATCACTATATCCTATGTGGTCCTTTGTTGCTGGTATACACTTATAATTATGATAGATATAACATTAATAGATTCATTAATTAATATATGTAATAATCATTATCACATATTGTTTTTTTTAACAAATTGCAGACTTATTTATATATGGACCTTTTATTCCACATCAGAAAAATTTACTTGATAATTTAATGAATGGCTCAGTAAAAAAAACGCTCGATCTTAAAGTCAGGCATGGCCACCAAAGTGTAGAAGTTATCAACTATTTAAAAGAAGATTTTATGAAGCCTGTTACCAATATAAGTATAAATCAAATATATATATATATATATATATGTATTAATAAAACAAAAATAGTAATGTAGCTTAATAAATGCATTGTCATTGCTTTCAAGTAAAATGAATATAAAAAGTAGAGTTTATAAGCTTTCAGTTAGCTGTTGTGTCAATTTTCATGAGTTATATTTATAAAAAGAGAGAAATAGAGAGCTTGTATGTTAAATCTGTCACATACAATCAGATATTTTGCTCTGAAATTGAATCTTTCGCGAGATTTTTTGTATAACTATGATTTATTGTATATTTTATTAAAATCTCGAAATTAATTGATTAAATGCAAATATATTTTGTTTCAGTGGAACTATTACTTAATGAAACCAACTTGAAAGTATTTGTATACAATGGTAACTTGGACTTAGTTGTCACCACATTAAGTAAGTTAATTTGTTTTCTCTTATGCGTTACGACACATAATAAAGAACGCTAATAACATTTATATATGTAAAATTCAAAAATTATAAATTAAATTAAAACTGTCTGTCTGTTTTGTCTTAATTTATTTTACAAAACTTTAATTAAGACATTAAAAATATTATGTCAATATTGATTGTAAATAATCCAAATTATTATTGAAATATTTTTATTAAAATCCAAAATAATATCAAGAATAAATATATTATATATGTCAAATAGCCAAGTAAACAGAAATTATTAATTTATTAATAATTATTTATTTATTTATTATTTATTAATTTATTTATTTTTTTATTTTTTTTTCTTTGTATTTTGATAATGTATGTACATTTAAACAATTTATTAAAAGTTATTCAAGTTTTAAAATATATTAATTTTTCAATTTTTTCAAACTTGATGTTGTAGAAAATCAAACTTGACAAGATAAAATGTTATTCTATTTTTCCTTTTTTATGTAGAATTATCATCTTTCCAATTACATCGCCAATAATGAATCACTCTGTATATCTTGTACTCTTATACTGACACTATTCATTTTGAGTTACTAAACATATTATTTTTTAAATTCTCGCATAATCAATAGTTAATTTATTATATTTTAGGTACTCTGCTTTGGATCGAAAAACTAAAATGGAAAGAAGCTGATGCCTGGAAATATTCGATTAGGGAACCGATCGTTAATAAAGATAATGTCGTCAAGGGCTATGTCAAAGCTAGAGGTAACTTCGCAATGTATTGGGTCAATAGAGCCGGACATATGGTAGGTGTACATAGAAATAACTTTTTGTCTTCTTTTCAGCTTTTTGTCTTATTCAGCTTCCTTATTCATTATAATATCATAAGAAGTAATCCTCAAAATTATTTTGTAATAATTAAAATTCTAAATTTGAACGATAATTCTAAGCAAAATTCAATACAATATTACAAATTTCACATACAATCAATGTGATAATCTCTACTTTATTCGTTTTATTGTTAGTTTCACGTATTTGTATTTTCATGTTTTAATATTAAAATTGCTTTACCCAATATACATGTAATTGTATATTTTACTTAAGTATTTATATAAGAGGTGTATGTATTAATATAATTATGGAATCACTAAGATATATTTTCCAATAAAAAATTTCTCAAAGCATATAATACGTATTAATAAGATAATATATAATTAAAATAATTAAAAATAGAAAAAAATTAATGCAAAAAAGCTCATGAAAGAAAAAAGAATATCGTTTTATAATTAATAAGAATCTTTTACAAAAAATGATTAAAGATCAAAATACGATTAACACACAAAATTTATTTTATACCAGATCTAATTTTATTTTGTATAAAATATTTAATTTTTAATTAATTATATCATTTTAATCGATACGTATTATTCTTTGTAAACATGTTGATCAGAAAATACACCTTGTACAATTACATAATTATAGTTTAAAATACATATACAAATATATTTAAGTCAAATATATAAAGTACTTGTATTTTATCAAAACAATTTTAATATACATATAATAAAACATACGCAGGTTCCAAAGAATAATCCAGCAGTTATGGAGCTAATACTACAGGCTCTAACAAGCTACACAAAGGAGTGAAGAAAAGCAGAAACTTTTGAATTTGTAAAAAACTATGCATCAAATACGTTATTTATTGACGATATACTTAAGTTATTGAAATTGTATACTTTTTTATTTTTAAGAGGAAGAAGTAAATAATCAAAATAATCATAAATATTAAATTGTTCGAAAATAATTCTGTAGTCATCATATATTAAATTCATACTGTTATAATTAATATTGTATATAATATTATACATGTACAATACATGTACATGTACAATGTACATGTACATGTACATGTACAATATAAACATATATTAAATATTTATTATTTATGTTAATTATATTTTATATTTAGTCTACATGTACATATATTGTAAGTATATATTATTATTATTATTATTATATATAATATATAATTTATTAAATTAGAATTTATATTTTTGCTTCATTGTCAGTATATGAATATATATCAATCATTCGTGTGTGTGTGTGTGTATATGCTTCAGTATATGCATATATATCAATCATTCGTGTGATTCAGTATATGCATATATATCAATCATTCGTGTGATTCCGTTTCTTTTTTTTATATATTTTATCGTGCATGTATTTTATTCAATAATGATTAGATACATAGAAAGAAAATCCACATACTGGAAGAATTTACTTAATGAGCAATATAGTTAAAGATTGAAAATTTAAAGTTCTGGCTGGTTACTTAACTTTTTGTAAACAAATTATTTAAAATTGATTTACAAAAGGCAAATCTTTTAAAACGTTCATATCGGACATTATCAAAACATCCAATTAAATATCTTGTCATTTGTGTGATTCACACATTTGATAATAACGTCGACTTTAAATGATTATCACTTTATGTATCAGAAATAAGAGAGAAAGAAATATAGTACTTTCTACGCGTGTCTGTACACTAAAAAAATTTATTGAATTCGAATAAGTATTTGTTTCAATACTGCCAAATAAATCATTGATTTGAAACTAATAATATTGATTCGATGTGAAAAATATTTATTTTATATAAGAAAATCGTTTCAAAACAAATAAATATTTATTTGTTTCAAATAAATAATTTATTAGGCATTATTGAAATAAATATTTATAAATTTAATAATTTTTTTTAGTGTACGAATAATATTTCTTTTACTTTTCTTGTATAATCTTTACTAGTTTTACATAATTCACAATTACTTTATTATATTTTAAATACTGATGTCTGGATCGATAAAATGAAAAGAAGCTGACACTTGGAAAAAAATACGATGAGGGAACCGTTCATCGTTGAGGGTGGTATCATAGAGGGATCTATTTTAAAGCTCAAAATAACCTCAGGATTTAGTGGGTTCTGAAAACCGGACATATGGGATATACATATACATACTAGTCATTTTCTCCCTTTCTATTCCATATATATATTTATTGTAATATCGTCGCGAGCAACCCTTAAAATTAATTCCTAACGAGTAAAATTCTAAATTGAATAACATACACAATCGTAAGGCACACATTATAGGATAAAATAATTTTAATATATATGAAAATGCGCGTGTACGTGGTAATTTGAAAGAATATAGTAAGTTCACATAATTTAATTTTAATTGAAGCAGTTTATCACATTTTAATAGAAATAGCAAGTTTGATCAATACAATTATGTGAAAATAATATCGTTTTTAATCATTTTTTAGGCGTTTATATCTTTTTCTAAAAAGATAATTTTTTATTTAGTTAATATAACTGATCTGTTATTATATTTTATATACTTGATGCATCTCTTATCTCCTCACTTAAAATTAGATATCATTTTCCATTTATAATTGTCATCATATATATTTATAATTGTAATATAAATGTGTGTGTAATATTACTTACATAGTTTCTGCAAGACAATCCAACAGTTATGGAGCTAATAATACAAGAGCTGGCAAGCCATTCAAAGTGAAAAAAAGAACAAAAACTAGCTTTTATATTTGTAAATATAATAAGATAATGTATATAATTGAAGTGACAGCACACTCAAATTACTGAAATTATTTTATCTGTTTTCTATTTTTAAGAAAAATAAGCAAACAATAAAAATAATTATAAATATTTGTTATTTTGTTATATAGGAAACAATTCTGACTATATATCATATGTTAAATTAAAACTATTGTATTTTTTTTATTGTCAAATAATTTATATTATATGTAATATATGTTTTGTACTTCAATATTCATTTATGCCTGATTCGCAATTCTTTTAAACAGTTTAAATTAAACAAATTATTAATATGAAAATTATTCATATTTGATAAGGCATGTATATTCAATAATGTGTATAATATATTACTTTTTTAATATCATCTGTATATCTATGTTTCTACATTGCATTGTAAATAATGTCGTTTATAGAAAGAAACTTCAGTAATACTGAAGAACAGCTCCATCATCTCCGATTTTGTCAAAACTTTACAATATTGTATACTTTGTACGTAAAACATAAATCTATAAATTAAAATTGTTGCTCTTAAGTAGAAAAAGTTACAGAAAAGAAGCAGATTTTAATTTACAGATTCGTATTTCACACACAAAAATACACGATATTATAAAGACAAAATAGGATAGGATTTTCACAAACTATCACCCAAAATTTAAATAAAAATTGATGAGACTCACCAATACGATGCACAGCAACAAAGTTATAAACTGTAAAATATCAATGCATGGAAATTATTATAGTAAAATTTAAAATAACTGATATTGAAAAATAAAATTATTATTAATAGTAAGAATAGTAATAATAAATAAAAATTACCATATAGTTGCTCCACAATTGCCTGATGCCCATCCTGGACCTTCATTCCTCCTTGTTCCCTTTTATAGACTGTAAATTGAGAATATATACATAAATATAAATATATTGAAACTATATATAGTATAGTAATAAATAATAAAGTAAATAAAATTATTCACCAATATTATTATTCTGTCGTTGCTCCATACTTCCTCCTCGTGGAAGCTCCAAAACACTTGCACTCGCGTCACTTTTTTCGCCGATTATTTATCATCGAACGCGTATTTCGGAGACGTCGCGAAAATCTTAAGAGAAAAAATAGGTAAGATGGCGGAGCGTTGTCGTAGTCGACCTGCAATTTTTACGACGAGAATACAAACCTAGTTCATCGTGTACCGACACTTCCACATCACGATACGAGAGTACGACCGAAAACGCGTAATCGCCCGCTTGGAATACACTCGACAGCGTCGAAAAACTTCGGAAATTTTCGCGTCGAAAGCGACCGGTAATTCTCGCGATCTTCCCGGACGCGCGAACTTCAGCAGCTTGAAGTTGCTGCTGTGACGTCACGCCTTCGCCGAACGTCGAGACGAGACTCGCGATTCGCGGTCGATTTCGCGCGTGCGATCGCGATACGTCGTCGCAATTCATACAACAATTAATTACGTGAACACACTAATTAATAGTCACACACATATATTTTATTCGCGGATCGGCGACAAAAGCGCGGATGTTGATCGCGAATAACCCGAAAGTGCCATCAGAGGACGACAGAATCTAGATTGTGTTCGAAAATATATTCACCAAAGTGCAGAATTTGACCGACCAATCAAAGCCCGAGAATCTATTTGTCCTGATTCTTGATTGGTCAGTTCAGCGCTTCATCTCAGGAATATATTTTCGAACACAATCTAAAATGCATATATCGACTATCGACTATCGATTATCGACTACGTAATCGCGCGTATAATTCTAATGATATTGTAGAATGACGGCTTATCTAATCTTCCTGTCTGTGTGTGAAAAATGAATAGAATAGGATGACTATTGTGATTTTTTATATATATTAATTTTTTTTAACCGATAAATGTTATCGGTATTTGCAATGGTCTGAAGCAGCAGACCGTGAATAAAAAGGAAACTTATTGGTTATGTTGACATTCGACATGGCAACCGGCGATGATCGACGTGTCGCTTTAATTACTGGCATTACAGGACAAGTAAGTAGTTAATCAAATATATATTTAATTCAGCACATGTACGACCTTCCAATTTTTTTATATAATATTACATTTAAAAAAAAATCTTATCTAAAATATTTTCTTCATCAAACATATTTATTACTACTTTTATACTTATCTTATATTTTGAGGTATATAACAGTATAATTTAAATTTTGTTTGATTTTAATCTTATTTAATTTATTATTGCAGGATGGCTCTTATTTGGCAGAAAATTTACTGGAGAAGGGATACGATGTGCATGGTATTATCAGGCGAGCTAGTTCATTTAATACTGCTCGCATTCAGCATCTCTATGCTGACCCAAAATGCCATCGTCAAGGTAAAATGAAGTTGCATTATGGCGATATGACTGATTCCAGTAGTTTAATTAAAATCATTAGTGCGGTACAGCCAACAGAAATTTATAATCTTGCAGCACAAAGTCATGTTATGGTTTGTATATTTGATCAACTACATATATAATATTTATATAAATTAAAACTGAATTTTTTTATCTTTATATTTATTTATATATTATAGGTGAGTTTCGAAGTGAGTGAATATACTGCAGAAGTAGATGCAGTAGGAACTGTACGATTATTAGATGCAATACGTACATGTGGTTTAGAGAAATCTGTAAAATTTTATCATGCATCAACTTCTGAACTGTATGGTAAAGCGGTGGAAGTTCCACAAAATGAGAAAACACCATTTTATCCACGTTCTCCATATGGTAATTGAAAGGTGGAAAGACAAGCATATCCAAACATACATACACATACTTATATAGACATATATTTCCAAATTTTAGCTTGTGCAAAGTTATACAGTTTTTGGATTGTTGTAAATTATAGAGAAGCCTATAACATGTTTGCATGTAATGGCATATTATTCAATCATGAAAGCCCACGAAGAGGTGAAACCTTTGTCACAAGAAAAGTGACCAGATCGATAGCAAAAATACATTTAGGTCTACAAGATGTGCTTGAATTAGGAAACTTAGACGCAAAGCGAGATTGGGGCCATGCCAAGGATTATGTAGAAGTTAATATAGTAGCACTTTACGACGAATAATTTAAGTTTCTAAATATATATAATTTATAATATGCATTTGTATGTACAGGCAATGTGGTTAATGCTTCAACAAACAGAACCAGATGACTATGTCATAGCAACGGGAGAAACGCATAGTGTAAGAGAATTTGTAGAAATAGCATTCCAATACGTAGGTCGTATAATTAAGTGGGAAGGCGAAGGCATAAATGAGACGGGGCAAGATGCAAAAACCGGTCAAGTATTAGTTCGTATAAATCCAAAATATTTCCGTCCAACTGAAGTGGTAAGATATTACATTCGTTATATAAATTATGTGAAGTAAAAAAATAAATTTCGTAGCATATGGATTATATACATTTAATTGTTTTCTTTATTTTCTTCTGTTTTTGAATAGGACATACTTTTGGGTGATGCATCAAAAGCAAGAAACAAATTCGGATGGAAATCAACAATCACATTTGAGGTAATTTTTTCTATTGCTTTTGCACATCTAATCCTTTGTCTCCCAAAAAATCATATATAGCAACAAACTTATAATTAAATTCAGGATTAAAATTTTTCAATAATTTTGTTTTTATTATATTAAGTATAACTATATTTAATTAATCACCTTCAGCTTAAAAAGAAAAAAAATAATAGAACTCAAAGAATTAATGTTTTATACATATATGTATTATATATAAATTTTATCTTAAATTATATAATACATATACATATATATGTTGCAGGAACTTGTAAAAGATATGATGGATTCTGATTTGGAATTAATGTCAAAAAACCCAAATGCTTAATAATCTTTTATTTAAATTGTGATATGGAAAAATGCATTTTTTCAATATATTTTATTTCTATATAAAATGGTAATATTTAAAATTTGTTTTTTGATAAATATTATAAATATTTTAATCATATTTTTTAAATTTCTTTTACGGGTAGGCAAATTCTTTTTCCTAATAACATAATTTTATGATAATATAAACGTACATAATGTGAAATAATCAAGAATATAATTGTATAAGTATTAAATATATACAAAGAAAGGAAGAGAGGCTGATATAAAGAGCTGATGATTTTTGAATAAAATAAAATATAAAATATAATCTTTTTTACTTAAAGATTTAAAAAAACATATATTTCTGATAAGTATAATATAAATTATTTTAAAACCTAACAATTTTTCCTTCCAATTTACGACTGACCTTATTACAGTTTACTTTAGAATTTTCCCTGAATCTTTTTTTCTTATTTCTGCATACGTACAGATTGAAAATGTGTTCTTTTATTTAGTGGTTTTTCATTTTATGAATGAACACATGTAAAAAAATAACAATGTATGCATTTTATATTTTATATCTAAAAACAAGAGATTTATTTTGTGAAGAATATATATATAAATAATTTAAATAAAATGTGAATATATTTATGTATAATAACTTTTGTAAAAAAAAATAAATACTTAAATACATATTATTTGATTTTTAAAAGTGTTTTATCTCTACGATGGATTTAAAATATGCAATACTTTATTTTATATAAAAAATAATTTACTCAAATTTTTTCTAATTATTTCACATTATGCGATCTTTATTAAAGAGTAAAAAAATTGTTTTAAATTAAAATATATTTTTCGAATTGTTATCTATCATTTTTTCTCTAAAAAATGAATTAAATCGTTGAAGACACGAACCGAGAGAGAAAGAGACTTCTGATCAGTTCTCCCTCCTCTTCTACTTGATCCTCATCACCGAAGCATGTACATACGTGTCTTTATTCTTACTACGTCTATGGATAATAGAAACGGAGCGGAGATCTCGTATATATATTTGTCTCTTCCCTCGTCCCTTCTTTTCTATTTTCCTGTCGTTTGTAGGATTGTAAACAATTCGATCGGAGGAAGGATTGAGAAGAATGAGACTGTCGTGGACCAAGGGGAGATACGCGTTCTGTTTGCTGATTCTGCAAATAAAATTGACGAACTCGCGGACGTCCTGGCGCTTAAACGGCGCTGACAAAGTTGTGAAAACGACCGACTTTGTGAGCGCGATCGAGGACGATCCGATTTTTGATATCCTCGCGAACAGCGTTGTTATTAGCAATGGCCAAACCTGGAGTAGGACTGCGACATTGGACAAGCACGAGAAAGTACAATTGTATTGTCAGGAGTGCAAAGGTTTCGCTAGTCAGGAAAGGTAAAGTCGACCGTATAATTATTGTGTCAGATGTTGCATAGTTAGGTTATAAAATTGTATTTTTTTCAAACTGCATTATTTACTTATTTATTTTTTCAATTTTCTCTCTTTCTGCTGCATTATATTCTGTTTCGATAGTATGAAATATTGTATGGCTTAGTATTTTGTAGCCTCAAGTTGTAGATATTATTTTGATGATTCAAGAAAGAAGCTAAAATTCTCTTGGTCTTCCTGTTTGAATCATTATAAATTTTATTTGTTTGAAACTTTTTCCTTCCCCTTTGTATTATACACGAGCAATACTATTTTGTATGACATAATTTTTTTTTCTTCCTGTAGTTAGCGTTTTATGTGTGGCTTGCTGTTCATTCAGTGTTAAAACAGCCCTAACTTTCGTCCCCTTGGCAGACGACTCTCGTCATACGTGTTGAAGGACACAAAAAATATCAATGAGTCCTTTCCTCTGTCTTCGCAAGTGTCAAACGAGCAAGTGACATGCACCTCTGGTCAACAATGTGATAATATAATATTGGATTGTGGCAAGCCAGTGAACTTTACCTATTATGACAATCTGATTGGTGTGGCAAATAGGAACAAGCACCCATTGGTACCAGAACCTAATGTGGCACTTATGTTCAAGAAAAACGGCGGTAAAACTGTCGATGTTGATATTGACTTGCTAGAGAAACGCTTGAAGAAAGCAAAGCGAGAGGTATTTATTTCTAAATCTTAACTAGAAATCTTATTGGATATTATTTGCATCAGTTCTAAGTAATAGCAGAAAAATTGTGCACTTGATTTGCATTTTCTTTTCTTTCATCAAACATTTTTCACAAGAAATATAATTGTAATATAAAAACATATCTTTGTGAAATAATATATTATCATGTATATATATTGAGCATGAATTTTTCTGATTTGTTTTTAAAAAGAACTTTTTTTTCCAGAAACCAAAATCTGTCCAATTATATAATCAGATAGGAAATTTTTGGCGTATTAAAGGCGATGCACAAAGATCAATTGAATGCTTTCGTAGAGCACTTGCTGTGTCGCCGCATAATGCAGAAGTGCTCTTGAACTTGGCTAGAGTATTACTAGTACAACATTACTTGGATGATGCGACGTACTTAGCCAGGCGATCCTTAGAATTGCAACCTCCAGATCGCAATGCATGGGAACAATATCTTACACTCGGACAAATATTCAAAGTACATAGAATAATTTAATAGCAATTAACTGTAATAGTCAAGTATATTGATATTGATATATTTGTATTGAAATTTCAAAACAGTAGTGAGATCTTTGATATAGATAATTTATTTGATATAATTTAGTGATAATAAGAAGGATATATAGAAATTATAAAAAGTATGGATTATTATATTAATATTTATATAAATTAACTAATTAAATTTCAACTGATTTTCTTGAAAATTCGTACACAAGTTAATTTTAATCGTTTATTTCTTTTTACATGTTTACTTATCTATTATACAAAATTCAGTACATTTCTTTTTCTAATTTTAATTCAGTACATCTTTTTTCCTTGTTATTTCGATAAATAATTTAATGCTAAAGGAAATATAAAAATAGAATTGATAATTATATTTCCACTAAATTTTCAAAAAAAAATATTCCAATAGAATTCAATACTGTTAAATACGTTTTTATCTTTTATATCATTTTGCAGGCATATGGACACTTTCAAGAAGCAGCTGTTCATTTGCGTCACGCACTGGAATTAAAACCAGATCTTTCTGACGCTGCCGACGCGTTAAAGGAAGTCGAGTCATTGCCGGCTGCAAGTATACATATCTATACGTTGCTGATTATCATCTGTTTGGTATGTAAATTAATTAAATGCATATACCTACAAATTATGTTCAGCCTTTATCAACTAATAAATAAAGTGTCTATTAATATTTTTTCGAAATTAAAAATAGAGTTCCTTTTTCTCTCATTTTTTGTTCATGTATATATAAAAGGCGGAAATTGTTACTGATATGATTGCTCGTTATCATTGTAGGTACTTGGTGTGCTCTTGGTTGTGTTGAGCAGTGTAGAATGTGATGAGGATTCAACTCTAGTCAGTGGACAGCTTCAGCGTCCAGTACAACGACATTTCAGTCGTGCTATGGCTATGCGTAGTTTACGGCTCAATGTTGCACGCAACAAACGCTGTTGATAATGATGACTCATTACTTGACGAATTATTCATTCGTACAAGTGATAGAATAACTTTTCATGCCATAACGATTTATCTCCCTGCAAAATATTATTTGTAATACGATTCGTAACAATTCTTGGGATGCACTCTTTAACTATTTATTATGTATTTCTGCGCGGAAAAGAGAATATATGAAAGGAATATATAAGAATTTCATTGTTACCTAATATCTGCTACCTGATCGAACTTTCATTGAAAGATAAATTCGATAAATTTAATTTCCATTCAATATTTATTCTTATACTCTTAATGTGTTTACAGAAAATAAAAAATATGGAATGTTACACGCACTCAATATCACGCAAACCCATACGCACATATATATTATATATAAATCAGAATTACAATGATTCTCTTTAGTTGCTATCACATATATAATACGATATACATTGCAACAATCTCTTTTATTACCATATACATGAAATTTGAATAGATACAAGGGATATTTTCAATTTGTTTTCCATCTATATCACTTTTGTAATATAATATATTATATACGATTAGAGCTGAATATTAACTTTAAAATGTTATAAAGTGTTTCAAAAAAAGATATGACATAGCAGCAAAATCTTATTCTTAAAATTTATATCTTTGATATATTTGATATCTATGATATCTTTGATATCAGATTGATTGTAAAAACAAAGCTATAAAGCCATACACCAAAACATTCCACAACAGAAGCAGAGTTTCCATTATGTTTCAACAAATTGTTTTATCAAAACAAAAAAACTTATCAAAGTTTCATTTAGAAGTTATATATAATAAATTGCAAGTATTATTTTTGCATCTTTAGCTATATATTTTTGCTTTTGATATATTGATTGTAACTCCAGATATTTGTTAATGCTTTAAAATTAAAATGTTGAAAAAATTAAGTTTAGCCTCTAGCTTTCACTTGTTTCATCAATTATAATGTATGACTTGATAGTCACATTTTAGATATTTTAATCTAGCTAATTCTTTAACTAATATCAGCAAGGTTATCCCCCCTCTCTTGGCCGTTCTATATATACGTTAAAAATATTCTTTACATTCATATACACATACATTATATATTCATTTTCTATTTAATTATTACTATCATTAAAACATTTGTTTTTTATACATATGATGTAAAAGTTTATTTTTAACGTTAAACATTATATAGCTCTCTTTGATTACTATTACTTTTATACAACTTTGACATTTTTTTTTGCTGTCACTTCACACTTTTTTTGAAACGAATTCTACAAGGAAAATCCTTGCAGAAAAAGACTATAATATATAATAAAATTTTCATCTAAACATTCATTCAACAAGTTTCATACTAACAATATGTTTAACAAGATTATTTTATATTTTACATTAAAATTTAATTGGTAATGTAAATAACATTGTACAATTTATGATCTAATCAACGAGTTATAGATACACACAGTATAATAGATCTATTTTTTGCCATGGAGGCAACTGTTGTGCATTACGCCGAATTTTTACATGTAGGCATGTGAAACATTTCTAGCAATACATATGCATAATTTTTACATGTGAATGCAAAATAATTGCTTGCACATTTCTCAATAAAAAAAAGTAAATATATATTATCCAAATATATATTTTTCTTGTTTATATTATTTTAAATATAAAGAAAATGATAACATTTTTCTTTATTACTAGATAGAAAAATATTATTATCCCGCAAAAAAGATGTAATATAAAATCTAAAAATCAATTTTCTAATCATATTCGCGATTAAAAAACAAATATTTTGAAATTGAACAATAACATATTTTTTTGTAATATTGTTAAACATTCTTTCTTTAATAAAAATTTATTAATAATCATTAACACGTTTAAGAACAAAAATCTATAGAAATTTAAAAAAATAATATGAAATAATATGAAAAAACTTTGCAATTATTTCAATGAATAAAAACCTGTCGTGGCTCAAATTTAATAAAGAACTTTATATATGGACATCCAATATATGAAAAAATTAGGTCTTGTTTTCATAGTAGGCCTTTATAGTATCTACAAACATTGTAAGCTAACAGGCCAAATATTATACTTATTACATATTTAACATAACATACTAATATTGAAAAAAATATTTAAATATCCATATATATTTAAATTTTATTATAAAGTTTATACAATCTGTTTAAATGCCAGTTTTAATTAATAAATAATTATTCTTTACTTTATCTCTAATTATTTGACTTACAATTTATATTAACATTAAACTGTTAAACTCTAGTGTTAGAGTCTCTTTTCTCTTGCATTCTATTTTTTATAACTTATAATTTTTCTTTGCTATAAGAGACTTTAACATAACATTAATATAATTTGTAAAAGTCAAACAATTAAATATAGACTAAAGAATAATTATTTATCAATAATTATTACTTGTCATAAATTGAGAAAGTAATATTATATATTCCCCCTTGTAAGTACTAAACAGATAGTGTTAATTATTGCAATCTGGTTCAAATTTGCCTAGTTTATTGGACTAGTTTATACAAGGCACTAAATGCATTTTTTAATATCAACATTTACACATATAAAAACTGTATTATCTTCAGATACATTGGATGTCCGAAAGCAATTGAAACGAAAATGTTTAAATGATATTTATAAGTACTAAAATTTTTTCATAAGTTTCCCCTTTCAAGAATGCTGCTATAATTTTCATCGCACACTATAAATTGAAGTACATACATACATATGCACATACTTGCATACATTCATTCATACATATATATATATATATATATATATTTATATATATATATGATTTCTGCTACTGCTCAGACATCCTTTCAACAATCACTCTTAAAATCAGGAGCTCTCTTCTTGTGTATCTATTATATATAATCGATTATTTCAGTTATTTATATATGGTGATTCAAAAATAGATAGACAAACTTTGACAACATTTTAGGAGCTTCTAAAATTTGACCATCTGTTTCAAAATTACCCTATATATAATAAAATATTTATACATACATTTTTAAAGTTAGAATTGTACCCAACTTGCATTGGCTACTGCAGGTGTAGGTGTGGATGCTGATGCTGCTGCTGACGGCTGAGAAGCGCTGGCAAACTCACCCCACTCAGAACTTGGAACATCTTGGTTTTGACTCTGTTGCGGTTTGTGTGCTGGTGAGGAAGTAGGAGTCTTTGCTGGTGGTGGAGCAATCTTGACCCCACCTGGAGGTGGTGGCAAACCCGTGGCTGCACCAGTACGTTGTTTGGATTTGGACGAAACCTCGCTCCCATCTTTTTTCTAAATAATAAATATATTAAAAAATAGTTTCAAGATCTATATTATAGAAATAATTTGTCGTAATTAATTACCTAACATTAAATATTTAACATCAAGAAAAAAATTTGTGAATTATTCTACATTAATTCATGCAATTCTATATAATTTAAAAAAATATATTAGAAAATAAAAGAAAAACATTTTTTCTAATTATTAGAAATTTGCAAGAATGATATACAATGTTAATGTGACTTTGACATATATGATTATCTGACTTAAAGAAATATTTTCTCTTTGTGTATAAATTTTAAAAAAATATTTAAATACTAATTTCATTAAAATTTTAGGATTTTAACAAAAAAAATGTTTTTAAAAATGGATCAACAGAAAAATTAAATACATGATGAACATATCCTTACAGTGATCTTCATGTTAATCTTGATAGTTTCACCTTCCTTGAATCTAAGATCCAATTCCTGCTTCGGCTTCTCCTTCTCTTTCTCAATTTGTTCTCGATTCTTTAACCATTTGAAATGATCTTGAAGAGCAACGTTCAAGTCAAAACTATCAGATCTGTCTAAGAAGCCAACACCTATGAAGGCTGACCGTCCGTTATCATCTTGAATTCTCAGAACAAAGTATCGAGAAGAATCGGTGACCGGTTCCACCGCAATTCCAGGATACTGCTCGATAGGGCACTTGGCGAACAATTCGCCTGTAATCTTGTCCTCCAGCTTTATCGTAATGCTATCTCCCTGTGACACTAATCGCATGCGTCCCGTCCACGAAGGCTCCTGCAGGTTCCAGTCGGCCGCCCTGCGATGAAATCACGGATGAAGCTGCATATGGATTCATACAGATAAATAAAGAAGGTAACATATCCTTTAATTTACTGTACTAGACTCATTCGCGAGGAACGCTTAGCTTATTGTTAGAACAAAAAAAGGTACACATCCTGATCGCCTTTGACATATTGAACAACTATCAGATGTCGTTCGTTAATAAACGTGTTTTACGTTTACCGATAACCCCTGTTGGTTGACCTTGGCGGAATTTTGAAGACAAAAATCTCGGACTTCACCAGAAGGACACTCTCGTAAGTTTCCATCGCGCCTGTCTAACAATTAACTTTCAACTTTCACGGGAAACAGAAGCGCGAGAGAAGAGCCACAGACAGTCACAACGCACACAAGGCTACTGAAACCGCTATTTCAAAGCGAGTTCGTGGAGTCTTCCTGACAAACGTACGTCGTGATCCACCGTGGCTTGATAAGTTTTATCTCAAGTCACGCCTTCTATCCCTCTCCATCATATTTCTCTCCTACATCGCCCACGAATCAACCATAGATTAAAAATCGATGGAAGAAGACGTGTCGATTTTTCGAATTAATTTTTAGACGACGAAAATTCGCATGCAATTCAAGAAAATTCCTGGTTACCAAATAAACAAAAAAAAATCTCTAGCGTTGCATTCGAATTTCGAATAGCTGTGAATGTGATCTAAATTGGCGCCAATTTTTATTCGAGTTTTATCTTTTATTATTAGCAGCTCACTTCAATAAATTTATTATAAATAAATAAATTAAATTAATTATTATTATTAAATATTATTAAATATTATTATTATTATTATTAAATAAATAAATTATAAATTCATTATTCGCGCATTATTCGACAATTCACTATACGAACTAAGGAAATTTACGTCTTGCAACGTGGCAGCACTGAATTAATGAATTTCCGTGCTAGTGCTGAAAGTCCAAATTTTCTCACTCGATGCACTATCTAGAATTCGCGTGACTCTGCTTGTCGGGAAGTTGGGTGGTGATTGGCCAGTTCGGAATGTGGTGATGTAATTGGCGGTGTATTGGTTGATCAAACATTACTCCGACAAGTAGATTTTCGAACGCTTCAATCCCCCTCTTCGTGTATATGTTTAAATTTTGTTTTTCATACATATACATAAAAAAGCGAATTGAATGACGAATTAATTTTTTTTTGTCAAATTTTTTTTATATCTGAGAGGAATGGATTTAATTGTACGTCTATTATAATTTTAATTATGTATGAGCTGGAAACTTTTCTTGGTCTTAAGAGTAATTATTTCCGAAATTTAGAATGTTATTGGAAATATAAGTATGTCAATATCTCTATAAATCTCATTCGTTACGTAACGGGATGATACATAATACAAAGGTTAGACTTATATGGATGTGTGTCATTAATCGAGTATAACGCATAAAAGTGACTTTTAATTGCTTTCACACGAAAAACCAATATGCATGAAAACGTAAAAAAACCCAGTGGACCTTATATAGGTGCTATTGATGAGGGAACAAGTAGTGCGAGATTTTTGGTAAGATTTGTTTAAAATAAAATTTTATTTACATATATATCTTGTCATATAAGAAAAGGATATTTGAAGACTAAGAACCGTCGATTAAACTGTAAAATAAAAACTAATGAGATCATTAAAAATAATGCATTTTGTTTTAATTATATTACATATATTTATATGTTTAAATTATTTATATTTGTTTTTTAGGTCTTTGATGTGTTACACAGGAAGGTAATTGCTTTGCATCAGATCGCACTCAAACAGAAATATCCTCAAGAAGGATGGGTGGAGCAGGATCCAAAAGAGATATTACAAGCTGTCACGGAATGTATAGAAGAGACTGTAAAAAAGATGAAAGACATGGGCTTATCGAGTTCGGATATTAAAGCTATTGGGATTACTAATCAAAGGGAGACAACAGTAGTTTGGGACAAGGACACTGGAGAGCCTTTGCATAATGCAATTGGTATAAATAGATATAAAACATCTTATTTTTATATCAAATTTTGCGATAGATTTCTTACTGAATTCTAATACATTGCATTAAATGCAAATTAATAAGAACTATTTGTACAAAAAATTGTATCTTGCTATACATATGTCAAATTAATTTAATTTTGTTATTAAATTTATTTGTATTAAATTTAAAATTTATTTAAAATTAAATTAATATAAATCAAAATTTATCATTATTTGTATTAAATAAAATTGTTAACTTTACAGTATGGCATGATATGAGAACAACGACAACTTTGGAAGATGTACTGGATAACATTCCTAATAAAACTAGAAACAAGAATTATTTGAAACCTCTATGCGGTTTACCAGTGTCTCCTTATTTTAGTGCACTCAAGATACGCTGGTTGATGGATAACATTCCACGTGTGAAACAAGCAGTGAATGCAAAAAAGTGTGCTTTTGGAACAATTGACACATGGCTTATTTGGGTGAGTATCCAATTAAAATAAAAGTAACTAAAAAAATTTCAAATATTATCATCAAATATTTCTTGTGTTTAGAATCTTACAAAGGGTCAATTGCACATTACGGATGTATCAAATGCATCTCGCACAATGCTAATGAATATTGAAACATTGAAATGGGATTCTTACCTATGCCGCTTCTTCAATATTCCACAACATATTCTTCCTGAAATACGATCCAGTGCAGAAGTCTATGGCTATGTTTCAAATCCTGAAGTACTTGCAGGCATACCTATAGCAGGTGTAAGTATGCATTGAGAATTTTATATTATTTTTACTTATTATAAACTTAAGTTAATTTTTGTGCATATATATATTTTTCCTTTACAGCTAATGTAGAAATATACTTTTTAAGACAAAAATTATTTTCTTGCAATAATTTCCATTGAATTTAAACTTGTTATTAATATTATTTCAACTATATAATTTTTCTAAACAACATAAAAGACTTATATTTCATCAATGTACAGGAAAATTCTATATCAAATTTGATATTAAAAAATGTTAAAAATATATATTTTTTTAGTGTTTTTAAGAATATAAGAAGAATTGTTTGTTTACACTTCAAGTAGCATTATGTAATAATTGTAATATTTTTCTTTATATTATAGTGTGTGGGCGATCAACAGGGAGCTCTTCTTGGTCAACTATGTTTGAAACCTGGTCAAGCAAAGGCTACATATGGTACAGGATGTTTTCTACTTTATAATACAGGAAATGTAGTATGTATAATATAAAATATATATATATATATATATATATATATGTAAAGAGGAAAAGTAAATATTTTTCCTTTTTTTAGATAAAAAAATGAATATATTCTTGAAAAATAATTCATAAAATTTTACAGAAAGTCGATTCAACACAAGGTTTAATAACCACTATTGCTTACAAGATTGCACAATCTCCAACTGTTTACGCGCTAGAAGGATCCGTCGCTGTTGCTGGAGCTGCTTTATCTTGGCTACGAGATAATATACAACTTCTCAATAATTTAGCTCAAACGCAGGACATGGCAGAGCGTGTGAAATCTTCTGGAGACGTGTACTTTGTGCCAGCTTTTTCAGGACTGTACGCGCCTTATTGGCAACAAGATGCGCGCGGGTATTGTTCCTTATTTCTATTACACTGCCTTTTTTCACATTTCTTTATTATTAAATAAATTATTATTCAATAATTTTTTTATTATCAAATATTAAATTTTGTTTTTTAATCGTGCACTTTATTTAATATATCTTTGTCTTATTTATACTATTTAATCAGAGTGATTTGCGGTATTACCGAAGATACGGAACAGTATCATATCATACGAGCAGCATTAGAAGCAGTGTGCTTCCAAACGAGAGATATATTAGAAGCGATGGAGAAAGATTCAGAAACGAAGCTGACAATGCTGCAAGTTGATGGCGGTATGACTGTGAACAATTTGTTAATGCAGTTACAAGCGGATTTAACGGGGATAACTGTTGGTGAGTAAATAATAAATATCAATATGATTCCTCTCTATATTATTAAAATAATAAATTACTTTTTTTTACAATCAGTTTAATATAAGATATTTCAAAATAAATATGTGTTAAATAGCGAGACCAAACATGATTGAAACAACAGCATTAGGTGCCGCTATTTTAGCTGCCGTTGGTGCAAATTTAATTGATATAAATAAAATAGAGACATCTCAAGTAACCAAATTTTCACCTGTGATTAGTGAAAATGGTAAATATTTATACATTTACACTGATAGTAATTTAAAACTAAAATAAATAAAAATACTTCAATAACATTTAAATGTCTCATTTTAGAGAGAGATCTCAGATATTCTAAGTGGAAAATGGCTATTGAAAGATCCATGAAATGGGATTGTTCTACAAGTGTAATAAATAATTGATCGTACGTATACATATATTTTTATAAAAATGAAATAAATCTTCAGAAAGAGAAAAAAATATAAATGTTATAAGACGGTTATATGATGTTATAGCTACACTATTTTTTTATAATAAATCATAGTTATATAGCATTTTAAACGTTACGTTTAATAGACCTCGATTTCCGCTTTTCCGTATCTTCCATTTTTTGACTATATAACATAATATAAATAATAAATTACTGTAAATTAATCAATACACGATATTTTTTATTATAAAAATTGTGTCCTCTTTGAATAAGGACATTTAAAATTAAAAATAATTTTATCATTTTTATAATTATTAATATATTTTTAAAGGAATATAATCCTTATATATATATATATATATATATATATATATGATAATATATATATATATATATCTATATAGTGAGATATGAAATATCTATTTTTTAGAATAAAATAATGATCATTAATTTTAAATTGCAAAAGTAATAAAAACGATTCTATATCCGTTTCTTAAATTTATATGTGCAAATCTATTTATATATGCAAATCTATTTTTAATATTTCTTTAAATTTTAAAATTTAAATGTTCTTTAGGTATTTATATTTCTAGTGAATTAATCAGTTCACTTTGTAATATATGATTTATGAGTTGCCTTGTGATATATGATCAATATAGTATTATATAGAAGTCGATTTTTTAATCACCACCAAAGAGCGAATCGACCGAATACTTTGGTTACTCTATTGGTCGAAGCACAAACCTTCGATCCAGAAAGCGGTCACTTCGTGTTCTGACTAGCCATATCACAAACTGACGTTCGTGGCAAGAGCTGTAAAAGAATCGTAAGCTATATTTTTTGCTACTACTTTAGCAATTGCTTTTTTTTAACATGATATTTTAATTTATTGTCTAATTTATTTCTTCGAAAAATTATTAAATACATATATTTTTTAAATTAATATAAATTCCATAGAATCTACTTTCATAAAAATTAATTTTTATTATTGATTTTATTTAATTTATTCAATTATTTATTTAATTATCAGGAGCTTAAATCTCAAATTATACAAGATCATTATATATTCTGTAAAGCATATATATATAGCAAAAACTTATATTTTCCTTGAAATTTATTACTAAATCTAATATTTGTTAACTGAATTTATAGATATTTATTTGCTGTTTTTAAGTTGACATCTTGTTTTTTGTATTATAAATGATTGTTGTGATTTATAATTAATTATACAATTAATTTTAGAGAATTATTTATTTTTATATATTTAGAGAGAAAGGGAGAAATTAATTGATCAAAACTTTTGAAAAAGAATATCATATTTGTGTTTTGGCTATTCAATTTTCAGATATAAGGTGTGTCTGTATATGTATTATAGACATAAAATTCGATTAATTTGCAAAATGATCGACTAATTTTAAATTAAATTAGCCAAGTACACATGAAAAATATATTTCATAATTATTTTGAGTTTTGGCCAATCAATTTTGGCTGGTTTGTAACTGATTGCAATTTATTGATCATATAATTATATACATATATATATATATATATATATATATATATATATATATATATTTATATATTATTGTTATTATTATTATTATTATTGTTATTATTATTATTATTATTTTGATTATTATTATTGTGTATTGTAATTTAATTATTATTTTTAAAAATTAGCATAAATAACGCGTAAGACATTAGCATATGTTACATAGACGGAGTTTCTGCTATAAATTTTCATTTTAACGCAAAAGTATTATCTGTTGATCGATCCCGCAACATTCCCGAGGACAAGCGGAATGGATCAATGTTGCGCATGCTGGCGCATGTGAGATGACGGCACGTGAGATGCTGCGTTGTGTCATCTCTGTGTCCTCTGTGCTCATCTTTTCCTCTTTATCGTCACACTTCTCTTCATTCTGTTAAGCAAGAAGCAGTTAAAAACTCGTGAATACAAGATGAAGGATCACGACGGAACGAGTCAACAGAAAAAACCTACGAAACTGAAAAATCTTGCAGACAAGACAGAGTCGTTTGATTCTTTGCATGTAAAAAATGCCGAGGTATTTAAAAAAATTTTTTTCATCTTGAAAATTGATAGTAAACGAATTAGAAAATTTAAATATTATTTTTATCATAAACAATACAAAATAGTTAATCGATTATACAATCAAAAAATAAGAAGCTGAATTACATATTAAAATATAAGAGTTAAAAAGATAAAACGAAATTTTTTTACACAGATTTATGATGAAGAAAAAATCGAACTCTTAACTTAATTAAAATATTAGTAATATTTTATCTCTGTTTTGAACTTGCTTAATTTTCAATTATAAAAATGTCATGGATTTATATTTGTTTTAATTATTTATATATGTATATAGAATTTGTTGTTTCTATTATATATACTCAATTAAGATGTTGATTTTTTACTCATATTATGATCGTTGCTATTGTGTATCAGATGATCTATGAATGATTTACATATGTAAAACTTTTTAATAAATATGCAAAGTCTTTCGAGAAAAATAAGAACATTTGTAAAGTAAAACAATATACCGAAAGATTAGAACTTTAAAATTAATCGAATTTGAAAAAACAAAGATATATTATTTGATTGCTAAGATTGATTTTCTTCAAAACGAAGAAAATTGTATAAAAACATTTTATTCTACATTTTCTATTTGTTTCAGTATAGAATCATTAATTTTCTGATTATATATCGTTAATAGCAAGCCACCACCATAAAAATTTATTCTATTGAGACTTTTACATCTTAAATAATATAGTTTAAGGGAGAAGCATACAGTTGAAATAATTAAAATAATAAATGAACAAATCATAGATTTTATTATTAAATGTTAAATAATAAATTTATTATCATTATTATTAAATATATAAATTTATATTATATATTATTATTATTATTATTATTATTATTATTATTATTATTAAATAATAACGAATTTTTATAGAAAACCCTTTGCACGAAGCAAGCCTGTCTCGGTAGCATAATGCAGCTGCCGCTTCATGGAACTGAACCACGTACAAAAGAAGAGATATTAATTCACGCGAAAGATTTTCTGGAGCAATATTTCACTTCCATCAGAAGGTATATATTCATATATTGATGTCTTTGAATTATAATAGACTTTACAAGTGTGTTTCTTTAAACTCGCATCTTTGTCTTTATCAATAAACACAGATTAAATAGCGATGCTCATCGCGCACGTTGGGAAAGCGTACAGAAGGAAGTAATTTCCACTGGTACATATCAATTAACAGAAACGGAATTGGTGTTCGGCGCAAAAGTAGCTTGGAGAAACGCCGTGAGATGCATCGGCCGCATACAATGGTCCAAATTACAGGTCTATTTCATCATCGCAACATTTTTTCGAGCTGACGACGTTTTTCACGAAAAAGAACTCGTTTGTGTATATTTCTATTTGTTAATCTGTTTATAAAATAAACATTTGTAGGTCTTCGATTGTCGCTACGTTACAACTACAAGCGGCATGTTCGAGGCTTTGTGCAATCATATCAAGTATGCTACAAATAAAGGAAACATTAGGTAAGAATATATTTTATATGACACACCAATAAAATTACGTTAATTTACGATAAAATAATTATTAATTAATACTTAAACCGAGAAGAAATAATATTAAATTTAATTCTTTTAATAATTTTTTAAAAATAAATTAATTAAATTTAATATTAAATATATCTGTAACTTTACTATATGATATTTAAACATTTTTTCAGATCTGCAATAACAGTATTTCCGCAACGCACTGACGGAAAACACGATTACAGGGTATGGAATCAGCAATTAATTAATTATGCGGGATACAAAAATCCAGATGGCACTATTACTGGAGATCCTGCTAGTGTAGAATTTACAGAGGTCAGAATTTATACACATTTAGATTTATTATATATATATATGTATCAAATCCTACATTTATTTTGTACCAAATGTATTCTATTAGATTTGATATTGAATATTACGCATCTTACTCAAAGTTTAATTTTTTCGATATAGAAAATTGGAAAGGCTAAAATTAAATTGAATTATAGGATCAAATTAGAGATTATTTTAATCCAAGTTATATAAAATACTCGATAAGCGTATCAGAATTATTCGTCTTTAGAGAGAAATTTTAGGGGAAAATTTTTATTCTTCGATACGAGAATATTATATATGTATAAGTAACGCTCGTATAAATATGCCATCTGAAACATATTGATAGTACAAATCGTTGCGTTTACATTGTCTCGGTTGTCTCGGCTATAAAAGTCAAATTCTTTGTTTCAACAAATCAATCAACAGCTATTGTTTCGTGCTCTTATATTACTGATAAGATTAATCTTGGAATTATCAATAAGAGTTATCACATGAAAGAAATTACTATTCTGAAATATTATAGCAAATTAAAATCAAAATTTAAGCATAAATAAATATAATGTATAAAACATGCATATACATAAATCAATATAAATGATAAAATTAAAAAATAATCGTAAATAAATATAATTACAAATTTTATTCTTAATATATATTATTATTTCAAATATAAGAGTTACATTGATAAATAAAGAGGAATTTACAAGAGATCTAGTATATAAAATTATTAAAGACATAACAGTACGATTGTATTAAATCTGGAAACTCGTTAAGAATCTAAAATCAGAAAATATTTTCAACTTCTTGAAACATAAATCCTCTTCTAGAAAAATTGCATTTCGAAGATAATTCAAAAAATTTTACTTCAACAGATTTGCATGAAATTAGGATGGAAAGGAACGCGGACCAAATTCGAGATATTACCTCTTGTTTTACAAGCCAACGGACATGATCCAGATTATTTCGATATTCCCAAAGATCTGGTACTCGAAGTACACCTAAGTCATCCTACGTAAGTAATTGAAGTTTCTAGAAACTTTAATTTCATATTTTTAATTTAATTACTTATAAATTTAATTACTACGTTGACACATTATTTACTTATTATATTATGTTTATTTGAGTTTTTTAGAAGAGTGCTTTTTTAAATCTTTTCTTGCCTCACCATAATTATAATTAATATTAAGTTACCATGTCAGACTACATGATTTCTCATTTCTGACATTGTAATTCAATATAAATATGTATTTAGAAATCAATAATTTTTTAACATAAATTTTATGCATCTGACCTTATGATCTTATGATTATGATCTAGTTGTATAACTAAACTATTGAATAAGATAATAAAAAAAAGAAAAAGTGCACTTAAAATATACAAATCTGATATAGATAAATAATTCTCTGAAATAAAATATGTCATTCGGATTCATCACACTAAAGTCCAAGAGTTATATGCGTTGATTACTTTATAACTGCATAAAGAGGTAATATCTGTCTCGCATTTTGACAGTTATGACTGGTTTGAAAAATTGGAACTCAAGTGGTTCGCTATCCCGGCCGTATCTGGAATGGTATTCGACTGCGGGGGTTTGGTGTTCACTGCGGCGCCCTTCAACGGCTGGTACATGAGCACCGAAATTGGCTGCAGAGATTTGTGCGATGCTCACAGATACAACATGCTCGAGATAATAGCGACGAACATGGGCCTGGACACTAGGACAGCCATATCATTATGGAAGGACAAGGCAATGGTGGAGGCTAATATTGCGGTGCTGCACAGCTTTCAGATAAAGAACGTGACGATCGTGGATCATCATACAGCTTCAGAATCCTTCATGAAACATCTCGACAACGAAATGCGCCTTCGAAACGGTTGTCCCTCAGACTGGCTGTGGATTGTGCCGCCAATATCTGGATCCGCGACACCGGTATTTCATCAAGAAATGGCCCTTTATCACTTGAAACCTGCTTACGACAACCAGGATCCAGCGTGGAAGACTCATGTATGGAAGAAAGGACGCGACAAAAAGTCAACGTCGAAAAAGCCGAGGCGAAAGTTTCATTTTAAACAAATCGCGAGAGCCGTGAAGTTTACGTCTAAGCTGTTTGGACGAGCATTATCGCGTCGAATAAAAGCGACCGTATTATTCGGTACAGAAACCGGCACATCCCAAATGTACGCGGAAAAGTTGAACGAATTGTTGGGCCACGCTTTTCACTCGCAAGTACTTTCGATGGCAGACTACGACATCAGTAATATAGAACACGAGGCTCTGCTAATAGTGGTAACTTCCACTTTCGGGAACGGCGATCCGCCGGAAAACGGGGAAGTCTTCGCGCAGAATCTCTACGCGATGAAGATGAACGACGCTTATATCATGAATAGCGAGGACAAGGTGAATCTGGCGACCTCCAAGTCATTTATTAAGGCCAACAGTCAAACAGAAGTATGCGGATCGAAGAAATTGGACAGACTGGATTCTCTGCGCGGCTCCACGACGGACTCGCAGACTGAGGACATCTTTGGACCCCTCAGTAATGTCCGATTCGCCGTGTTCGCCCTGGGCTCATCGGCGTATCCGAATTTTTGCGCGTTCGGTCGTTACGTCGATAATCTATTGGGCGAATTGGGCGGGGAACGATTAGCCCGCTTGGCTCAGGGTGACGAGATGTGCGGGCAGGAACAAACCTTCCGCAAATGGGCGGCCGACATATTCACGGTCGCATGCGAAACATTCTGCCTGGACGACGATGATACGTTGGCTGAAGTGGCCTTGTCCCTGGGTTCCGAGGCCCTGTCCGCGACCACAGTCCGTTTCGTGGAGGCTAATCCGCAGCCGATCGACAAAGCATTGAGCAAATGTCACAACAGAAACGTGACAATGTGTAACATGCTTCGAAGATCCAACTTGAGCGGCGACGAGTCCAGTGGAACAACGTTGCTCCTGGAATTGGACGAGTTAGTAGGCATGGATATCTCTTACAAGCCTGGGGATCATTTAGGCGTATTTGCATGCAACCGGGTGGAACTTGTGGACAGAATCTTGCAACGTGTACAGTCTACTTTCGACGTTGATAAACCGATCGAGCTTCAACTGCAAAAGCAGGCGCATACTCCTAACGGTGATCTTAAATTCACTTTTCTTTATTTGTTTCCTCTTAATCTCCTCTATCGTATGATAATAGTAACTTTTTCCAGGTATTGTAAAAACGTGGATACCTCACGACAGATATTTGCCGAATTCCTTGAGGATGTTATTGACTCGATTTTTGGACATTACGACGCCGCCTACGCCGAATCTTTTAAGATACTTTGCTTCGATAGCCACGAACGCAAAAGAACGGGCACAACTTGATCTTTTAACTTCTGTAAATACGTAAATACGTAAATGTACTAAATATAATTCTGTTTGTCGAAGCACATCAGAATTTAAAAAACGAAAGAACGAATAACGTTAATATTATTTTGACTCTAAAAATATATTATTTTATTCTAAAATTTAATGTGAAAAATATTCTACGCGAAAACTTGATACAAAAATTGAAAAGAGATTCTCCTTGGAATAGGATCCAACGGCTTACGAGGATTGGAGACATTGGAAGTACCCTAATTTGGCCGAAGTTCTGGATGAATTCCCATCTGTGACTCCGTTCGCTCCGTTGCTCGTGCTTCATCTAACGCCCTTGCAACCGAGATTCTACAGTATCTCATCATCCCCTGCTGTGCACCAAGGACAAATACATTTAACAGTCGCAGTGGTGCAATATCGAACGCAAAGTATTAGTCTTATTCTTCTTTTCTTGTTTTTTTCATTCAATAATTCATATATATATTCTGCAATTGTAATTTTAATTACTTAATTTCAGACGGTTCTGGATCGTTACACTTTGGTGTTTGCTCCAATTATCTGCGAGAGATAGCTGAGGGGCAACAGCTGCATGTGTTTGTGCGAAGGTAACTATTTAAAAATTTTGCCAATAAAAGATCGTGTAAAGATTTCGCATCAAATAAATAATTATTAATATTCCAGCGCGCCGAACTTTTATATGCCGATGGAAACTAAGGCCCCGATAATATTAGTGGGCCCAGGTACGGGAATCGCTCCTTTCCGAGGCTTTTGGCATCATCGATTTGCTCAAATAAAACTCCAGCAGAGTATGAATATTTTTCTTATGTATACCTATTAATTTCATATATAAATAGCGGCAATCTAATACATATGTCTCATTTACAAGTGATTTATAAGATCATTATCTGAAACTGGTTGTTAAATCTTGCAAAAAATATTCAAAATTATTTTATTTTTTTGAGAAATTATATTTGCAGATCAAACATTTGGGAAGATTTGGCTGTTCTTTGGCTGTCGTCAAAGAAATTTGGATTTGTACAGACAAGAGAAAAAAGAAATGTTGGAGGCTGGTGTTTTGGATAAAGTGTTTTTAGCATTATCTCGAGAGCCTGGTATTAAGAAGGTAAAATATACATCACAATGTATATATTTTTTATATCTAAAAAAAATTAAATAGAGGAAAAATGTTTATAGAGCTAGAATAATACTTCTAAGAAGTTTGAATCTTCCGTGTATTGAAAAGTTTGAATTCTTTCATTCAAATACATCTTTGAAAAGTACTCATCTGAAATGCAAGAATAACTCACTTAGATTAAGCATTTTGCAAGCACAGCGAATAACATAAGATTTTACAAATACACGAATCTCACAAAAAATTCTATCAATTTCAATTCGTGAATATATATTAATCTCTATCCATGTTATACTTGAATTATAGATTTATTTTTTGATGTGTAATCGTTTTTTCGTTCATCATGTTTTATCAATAACGAAAAGTAGTAAAAATAAATACGACAAGTAGACAAACGTATAAAATGACAAATATAATAGTATAAATTTAAATTTGCATTTTGTATGAATCTATCTAGACTTATGTGCAAGATTTGATACAAGCAGAGGCAGCTCAGATTTATAAGATGGTAGTATACGAGCGCGGACATTTCTACGTTTGCGGAGATTGCACAATGGCGGAAGACGTCTACCAAACATTAAAACAAATTATACAAACGAATGGCCAAATGACGGACAAAGACGTCGAAGCGTACATGTTATCGCTCAGGGTAAATTTTTCATTCATTATTCTTTCTTGTCGTAAATCTGCTATTTATATAAACAGTATGACAAATAACAAAGCCATGCTACAAGGATATAAATCATTTCACTCTTGTATGAGACAATTCTCTTTCCTTCAGGATGAGAATCGCTACCATGAAGACATATTTGGCATAACGTTGCGCACGGCTGAGGTACATAATCGATCGCGTGAGACTGCTAGAATTCGAATGGCTGCTGAAGACATGCCATGAAGACATCACTCGGGTTAACAAACTACTATGGTCTAAGTAACTTTTATTCGAGGGCTTGTGCTATTGCATCAATAATTAATAATTACTGCACCGCATAGTTCCACATAGTAGGAAATACGTTTTATTTAAATAGAACAGAGCGATTTTTTGATTGCTAAAAGTATTTTATCCACTAGATGCGCACATCTTCAGTTGTACGAAATATATTACTCTCATATATTCGCTGTGCACGCAGTATAATGTAAGACAGAGATATATATATATATATATATATATATATATATAGAACTTACTGCTTCTACCTGTTTTCCCTTGACTATGGAGAGGCTGTCGCACTAAGTTCTGGTTTTGGTTTCTGACTAATATTAGCTAGCAACTTCTTTATTTCAGCTATTGCCTTTCCAGGATTCAGACCCTGCAAAAATAATGAACCATTTATGCTTTAATTTAACGTAATTTTTAAAATTTTGAAATATCGAATTGAAATAATAAATTAAACTCACTTTTGGGCAAGTACGTGTACAATTCATAATTGTGTGACAGCGATAAACTGAAAATGGGTCCTTCAGTTTCTCTAGACGCTCATTCGTTTGAGTATCTCGCGAGTCAATAATCCATCTATAAGCCTAATGAAAATATATATAACAGTTAAAAGAGGTTTAGAAAAAAATAGCGTAAATAAATGTTATAAGAACAAACTCTAAATGAAAACAAAGTTATATACATGTATATTTTCTAATTGGATTTATCTTCAAAGACATAAATATGCAATATTATTTGTTTAAAAGATAATAATTATATGCTTGTTATTTGAATCATAGTGTTTATCTCATTCTTAAAAAACCTGTTATTTGTATCATTTTTTTAAAACTTATTAATGGTGTGTTATTCTATTATATGATATACAATAATATATATAATGTGTGTTAATATTAAATGCTTACTTGCATAAGTACTGCAGGGCCTAAATATTTATCACCATTCCACCAGTAGGAAGGGCAAGAAGTACTGCAGCAAGCACAAAGAATACATTCATAGAGACCATCCTGTATCAGAAAAAAAAAGCTTAAATTATGTATTTAATTTTAAGAGAAATATGGCTATAATCAAAATGAAAAATCAAATAAATATGTGAACAAAGAAGCCTGTTTACCAATTTTTTTCGGTCTTCTACACTCTGCAAATACTGTTGATTACCAACTTGCTTTGCATCTTTACGCTGGAGCCAAGGTTGTATACTGCGATATTGATCATAAAAATTGTTTAAATCTGGCACCAAATCCTTGACAATATACATATGTGGTAAGGGATAAACGTCACATGATGTACTTGTATTTTTATCAATTTTGCTGAAACATAATGAGAAATATTTTATTTTTGGATATTTATATATGTAAGTTTTTAATTTATATATGAAAAGAAAGTCCAGAGTTATAAATTTTACCTTTAATAAGCAAATAATATAAATATATTATATATATACTAATGTGCATATACCTGATACATGCCAGTGTGTTTGTTCCTCCGATATTCATAGCACAAGATCCACAGATACCTTCACGACAAGAACGACGGAATGTCAAAGTTGGATCCATCTCATTTTTTATTTTAATCAATGCGTCCAGCACCATCGGTCCACAACTAAATAAAAAAAAAATAAGATGCAAAACCCAAAACAATAATAAAATTTCATAAAATTTTAGAAAAATATTTAATTTATGATTGGCAATAAGACACCTACCCATTCAGATCAACTTTATATTTTTGCATGTATGGTTTTTCATCAGGCTTATCTGGATTCCAACGATAAATTGAAAAAGTCTTCAATCTGGCTTCAGCATTTTGAATTGCTGCAGTGTGCAAACCTCTGACCTATAAAATTAAGAAAGTTGATACCAAATTAAAATTAGAAATACGTAATATATACAAGACAGACATACTTTGAAACGTCAGAGTTGACAATCTACATATTATTACACAAAATCATCTCTTACTAAACTGGTTTACCATTTTAATATTAAACTCCAGTTTAGATAAGATAGCATAAAGCTTTACAGCTGGCTTCTAAGAAATGACAAGTACAGTTATGACACTCTAATTACATGCTGCATTATTAAACTGACAAATGTCTGTGCTGGATGAAAAAATTATAGAAAAAATAAAGAAAAAAATTACATAACGTCTTAATAATCATAAACAATGACTTTCTCGTTACTCGAAAAGAACTCACTTGAAGAAGTGCACTTCTGCAGGTATACGTTATCCTGACCATCTTCGCGAATAACTCTTTCTATCAACACAAGCTCATGATACTCGCTTTCTTGCTTATGTAACTAAAGATTTACATGTGATCCGTCAAGCTAAATATACATAAAGCCGATATTATATATTTGCAAAATTTGTGGAGCCCCTTAGAACAGAATCTCGAATATTCTATATTCAATGACCAATAGCAGCCAGTCTGGAAAAATTCGCGACGCGTTGATTGGCTGTCAACTAGAAAATTTCTAGGGACTCTGACAGCTCCGATGACAGCAGCCAATCAGCGGCGTCGTTCGACGACGCTCGCGACGAATGAAACGAGGAAATCGATCTACGTGTATCATTATATTTATGGCTCGAACGAGGGAGAAAGCGCAAAGTACCCTGGGAACTCTGGGAGGAACGCGCCGACGATAGTCGATGGTGGAATTAAATTTTGCATTTTATTGAATATTTATTTACATTTGTATTAAGAATTGATTATGTAATGTGGAAGCGAACAGACTCGAGCTGTACGTCATAATTGTGGACGTTGAAACTTTAAGGTGAGTAGAAACCTCTCGTTGTTTTCACAGTTTATCGCTGTCTGGTTATAGATTCTAACCTAACATTTCGTTTGTCAGAGTGATTGACCTTAAATACATCAATCGGAGGGTCTCTGTGTGATTTTATTTCCGTTAATTATTACTTTATTTCTCGCCTCTAAGAATCATTAATTGTATCGCAACTGTGGCGTGAAAAATTTGGGAGTAACTTTTAATAAGTAAATATTAGTATACATTTAGTTCTCACACACATGCTTGTTAGAGAATTGTAGAAAGATAATGAATATAAATTTGCCCGGCAAAACAGAGAGCAACGTAATACTCTGAATGTAATTTATGGATTTTCTCTCAAAATATAGCGTTATAAAAATAATATAGTATGTAAAATACACATTGCACATATAATTGTTCGGTCCAAAGCCAATCAAAGTATCAAAGAAAGATTCAAAATAGTGGATAAATTTATTATTATTTATTAATGCACATTGCACATATAATGTTTGGTGCAAACCCAAGAAAAGTATCAATGAAAGATACAAAGTGGTGGATAAATTAATTTGTCCACCACATTTGATATTATCTGATGTATAAAGACAATGTATTACTATAATAATAACGATGTATGTATATGTAAGAAATGTATTTAATTTCAGGTTCGTACTATAAAAGACGACCAAAGCTCAACGCGTCCAACGGGCCCATAAAAAGAGCCTTCCTGTCCCTGCGCCTGTAAAGCCCTCACGTGGCACAATTGGGCGCTGGGCCAGGCCGTGCAACGCTAGACCGGTGAGTTCCCACACAAAATATTGCTTGGTAGCACGGCGGGCACTCAAAACCAACTAACCATGTCTGTACAAAGTGTTGCTCTGGCATCTCTCCACGCCACCTATACCGACTCGGAGGGCGAGGACGGGGTGGAAGACGAACGGCTGCAGGAGGAGAATTCGAACACTCCCCAGGGGGCCGCCCCGCATAATGCCCAAGTCGGTCGTCAGCCCCAGGCCCGATCTGGCACCAGTCCCATATCTGGAGGCCGTTCAGCCTCGCACAGTCCCGTCGTCGGCAAGTCTGCCGGTAGTAGCGACTTGCCGGGCGCGGCTACGAAGGTGCAACGATTGGTCTCTTATTTTGACGACTCGGTAGTCTCCGAGGATGACGAGGGGACGGTCGTAGCTACGTTGCCGCCGCCGTCGCCGTCGCCACCGCCGGCACCGGCACCGTCGTTGACGACGGCGAGCGCGGCGACCACGACCGCGACGGTCGCGGATGGTCGCCCGGAGGAGAACGGTCTCCTACCGGTCGCAACCGCCGCAGGAGGCACCGCCACCGTCGTTGCTACCGCGACTGTTACCGCCATCGGCGCCGGCAACGCCGAGCGTCGATCGCCCACCTCGCGTCCCGGAGAATTGCTTTCAGATAATAACGGGGAGACCAAGGACCCATACGGTGTCACGATACCACCGGAACCACCCGGTCAATGTCCCGCCGAACTGCAGGACAAGATCGCTAGGCTATATCGGAAAATGGAGACTGACCTGCTAGACATGAATACGTTGATCCAGCAGCGCAAGGAGTTCCGGAATCCATCCATTTACGAGAAACTTATTCAGTTTTGTAGCATCAACGAGCTGGGCACCAATTATCCACCGGACAGGTTTGATCCTTTCAAATGGAACAAGGACTCCTACTACGAGGAACTTGCCAAGGTGCAAAAAACGGAGATGGACAAGCTGGAGAAGGCGCGGAAAGAGAAGACGAAGATCGAGATCGTCTCCGGGACTGCGAAGCGGCCGAACAGCTCCACGGGCAGCGGCGCCGAGGAACCTCTCAGGTCCGATGACGCTAAGAAGCGGAAAAGTAAGTGGGATCAAGTGGCTTCCGGCGGTGTCGCCGCCGCCGCTGCCGTTGCAGCCGCTGCAGCTGCCGCCGCGACCGCCAAGCCCACGGTCCTCCTCGCACAACCTACCCTGACGACCCTCGCGTCGTCCGGCGCCGGCGCCAAACCCACCGTAATATCGACCTTCGGCTCGGTACCAAAAAAGAGATTATAACATATCGTGTAAATGTGCGTGCTGTGTAAATAATATTCGTCGAAAGAGAGATGTCCTTCTCTCTTCGTTAGACGGTTGTAAGGAAGAGGAGACGCGATCCTGTAATAAAATTCCGGAAACTTAAATCCTTGCGCGGTTGTACAATTCTTCCTTTTCGTAGTGGCACTTTCGAAATTGATATTTATTTAGATGAATTTTAGATAACATCAGTTTTATATATATATATATATATATATATATATATATATATATATATATATATATATATATTGTCTATGGTTTACTTCACAGATCTGATCTTACGATTTTCTAGTCTTGAATTTTTCAAAATTCTCTTAACATCCGCATTCTTAGATCCATTTTTTGATTTTTAGATTTTCCAACGTGAAAAATTATAAATATGGCGATGAAAAAAAAATAATTTAGAGAACTAAAAGTTTAAAGAATCTAAAATTGTTAAAATTAGTAGAAGGTTTTTAGTATCTAAAAATTCTATAAATTTGAAAGACAATTATTCGTGAAAGAAATACAGAAATGTAAAAATTCAAGACTTTAAGAATTTGAAAATCAAATAGTAACCTAAAAGGATTTAAGAATTTAGGGATCCATTTGATGCAAAATTTATTTGCAAAATAAACATACTGTAAATAAATTGACTGTAAACTTTATCTTCTGTTTGCAATAAAAGTAATGTTTGAAAGATATTGAACTGCACGGGAAGGAAAATATTCTGGAGATTTATATTCTCGAGAAAGAATTTTTCAATCTTTGTATTTTTAAATCCTTGTAGAAAAGTTGAGATATATATTTACTTATATCTAAATTCTTGTATTATGAGGAATGTATGATGTGAGATTTAACTTAAGCTTGAAAGAATAAAGATATAGGAATCAGAAAGTTAAAAAAAGCGATAGATCTAAGAAAGGAAGTATACAATTTGTGGACCTATGACTCTGAGAATTCAAGGATCTAATAACGCAACTGCTAATATATCTAAAAATAAAAAATATCTAATTGTAAATTGTAGCATAAATTTATTGTGAATTCAATTAAAAACATGATATAACAACAGATATCTACAGAGAAGAATTGGAGCTTTGTGAACTTAGATCTTTTGATTGTCAGAGAATTTTAGAAATTCCTTTTAGTATGTAGAACATTTGGAAGACATAGAATAATTTAAATGAGTCAAAATCCTAAAATGTTTAAGGATATAGAAACCTATGTATGAATCAACAAAGATGTAAAAATTAAAGAACTTAGATGATGTGAGCATAATTAAAAATAGAGTCGCATATCCAAGAATTTAGATATCATTAAAGAAAGATATTAAAAGAAATATTCACTCATACATATTGAAATGAGGGATTATCATAATTCAATTTAGAATTTTGAAACATTAAGAATTGGAATATGCAGTGATTTCACGAAAGTAACTGAATATAACGTAAACTTGAATTTATATATAATTTATATAAACTTGAATATATATATATATATATATATATATATATATATATATATATATATAGTGTATATTGGGTTTAAGAAAACAAGGATTTAAAAATTAATTGAAACTTTTCTTTTTCGAGTAAGTATTCAGAATTAAAACAGGCAAGAATTTAAAAATAAACGTGAGAATCCAAAAGGATAAAACTTAAAAATCGACGTGCTAGCTTTATATATCTGTAAGGCAAACATAAGTTACAGTTGCGTTTACAGGTGTATTTTTTGCCAACTTGACATAAATTTTTAAGAAATTATGTCAAACTTTTACGATTGTTAAATTTTGTTTAGATTCCTTTCTGTGGATTCTTGCTTCATAGCATTTTTAAATTTTTGACTACATCTACAATTATGACTAGTACCTATTTTCTATCATACATATGTATTTATAACAATGTGCAAACCAAACTCAATCGACATTTTCCAATTAATATATGTACATTAAGTTAGAGAAAACAATATTGAAAAAGAAAGGAATCACATTATTATTATCTTTTTTAATAAGAAAAATTGATGGGGTTACACCATTAACAATAATTAATGCATTCTTCTTTTCTTTTTCAAACCAAAATATTGTTTAAGCATTGTATTAGATTGATCAAAAAATTTGTTTCTTTTTTACATTATATTATAATAAAATAAAAAACTAGAACGAATTTTTTGATCAACCTATATAATTGTTACTGAATGTGTAAATTACGAGTGTCAAATTATCAGTTGCAGTCTCAATATGTACAACATTTTACATATATACACTTGATTTGTTAAAGCAGGACCACAATCTGATAAAGATGCACCGATAATATGAAATCTCAGTACGTCAGACAAATGAGGGATTCGCGTGCGTTAATAATCGCAAATCAATGTATAAAATATGTGCTGAAAATTAATAAGGATTAATTTTTTACATAAAAACAAAAATGGAAAAAAAACTTTCGCAAGAAAACTCCTTGTATATACACGCTCGTATGTGTCGATAGAGAGTATGGAATATACAATATATAAATCTATATTACATTGTGTATTCTTTTTCTTTTATTGATTAATAATTTAATTAATGTTTTACCCAATTTAAATGTTCAAATTTACAATGTTTTCACGAAGAATAGAAATTTAAATTTGCCGCTTTACACACTTGTGAAATTTCGTAAATTGTAATGCATTGTTTAATAGCAAGTAGATTCTTTTTTTCTTTATTAGATGATTGGCCTTGTTTGAAATTTTAAATCAATTTCTTTTTTTAATAAAAAAATGCCTTGGTTTTATTTTTATTTTATTTTTTTTATCTCACTAGGGTTCAATTTCAAGAGTTTTATTTTTTTTTTTTTTTAATAAATCAGAATCAAATGAATAAAAAATAAGAAATAATAAATCAATTGTATTTATAAAATATTCTCTCTGTATAGACCATAATCGATATGGGGATATTTTTCAGATATTTTTCTATTAGGCAGGGATTTTCTCGCTTCATCGATGCCATCCCTGTCTCAGCTTGCAGCTGATTTCACGTACTTAAATAGGTTATTTGACGTATGTCAAATTTCTGTCGTTGTCGAGAGAAAAATTTGTTTCGGAGTGAACGAAAGTCGTTTCCGAGAAAAAATCTGTTTTGCGTGCGAATAAAAAATATCGAACCTTAAATTCGTCAGAAATGTGGTGGTAGTGATGCGCCTAAAGGGGAAAAATAACACAAAGTCATTCAACAGCGTCTACAGAGTACTTTCTCGTTTATGTCGTGAGTATTTCGTCTTTAATAATTAAATCATCAAGAGTCGAATTATTTATTCGGAAAAAATTTTAGTACAAATATCAAATTAATAAAATATCTCTGTTATTTATCTCTCTTTTTTTTATTTGAAATTTTTGCAATTTTGAAAATCTTAAAATATTCAGTTTAAAGATCTCGGAGTCTTCATATCTTTTTAACTATAATTTAACACATTAAAAAATTACAGTTGCATTTTCAACAAATCCTTACTATTAGACTCATGTTTTTTCATTTTATTTGAATCTTTATTCAGAAATACGTGTTCAGTATACTTTTGTTTGAAAATTATAATAAATTTACTATACATTTATGCTTTTTAATTGATTAAAATAAAAATCACTTCTTTTTAACTTGGAAATAGAATGTAACTTGAATATTTTAAAAGATTTTTCATTTTTCAAAACTTGCAATAGATTTTTATGTATTATCAAAGTAAGCTTATTGAAACATCTTTCAAGACATTATATCATCACCAAATCAACATAATTTTTATCATCAAACCTTTTATAGGATCTGTGGATAAAGGACAACTTGATGGTTTCATGGCGGATGGCATGGCGCCGACTTTGAAAACTGGCCACAACTCCAATATAGGTTTTAACAACCAGCAGTCGGTGAAGCAATCATCTGAGGTGTCCAGTGTTGTTTATGCAGTGGGCCACTATCCTCCAAAGCTCTTGCGTAATCTCAATGCGCAGAGATTAAAGAACAAATTCAGCGATGTGGGACTGGTGGCTGGTGACAGGGTCATCAGAGCACACAGATCGGTCTTAGCTGCTGGTAGCGCCTATTTCAACGCCATGTTCACTGTCGGCCTGGTTGAGGATCAGCAGGAGCTAGTGGAGATTCACTCTATCTCCCCTCACATTCTCTCCCAGCTGGTGGACTTTATTTATAGTGGCAATGTGGATATTACTCAGGATAATGTACAGGAGCTATTCGCTGCCGCCGACATGCTAGAATTAGATGATGTAGTGGCTGGTTGTATCAACTATCTCAAACAGCAGCTACATTATTCTAATGCTCTTGGAATTTACAGGTGAAGTTAAAAAAATAGAATCAACAAATTCAGAAAACAGAGAAGGACATCTGTGTCAATTAGATAATAATGTTATATGATACAAATTAGAAAAAAAATTGTTTTGCCCAAGAATATTTTGATCTTTATTCTATTCGGCATGACATGTATACATTAAAGTTGTTAGCTATTACATAAATGACTAAAAGTAAAAATATAAATGTTCATAAATAAATATGATAAATTAATTATAATTAATTTAAATTATAATGGCATATTAGTAATGCTGTTACTTTTTTTAAACTTTTCAAATTACTAGGAACTTTTTGCTATTTTTTAAATTAATAATATACAAAAATTAACGAAATATTGTTTCAAGGATAAAAATATAAAAGTTGCATAATAATATTTATCATTGTTGTTGATCGCAGATTTGCAGAAGCACATAACAGACTGGATCTGTTGGAGACTGCCCTACGCTTTATAGAAGTCAATTTTCCTCAAGTCTGTCAGGAGGAAGAATTTCTGGATCTGCCCAAGGAGCATCTCGTTCAGTTTCTTAGTAGCGATTACATTCACATTGATACCGAATGCCAGGTTTGTTATTCCATGATTTTAAGTTAACTTAAATGCATCTTGTATAATTTTGTACAATTTTATCGATTCAAGGAATTAATAAAAGATATCTAGAGATATTTAAAAAATTAACAAGATACAAGAGTGAATTATTTCGAAATAAATTGCTTTTTTTCTTTTCTGCATCTCTATATGTGTATTTGTAAGCTTTGGAATGATAGAGAGAACGTTGAATAAATCCTGACATTAAAGTTTCCGGTTCTAACTCTTGCCATATTGATTTATGACGTCAGAAACGAGAAATATAAATCTCTTTCTTTGCGAGATACGTCGAGATAAATTAGTTTTCTCGTATGTGTATATATATAGTACATTTATCTCTTTTCATTAGGTCTTCCAAGCCGCGTACAATTGGATCGTTCACGACATCCCCGCGCGGAGATGCTATGTATTCGAGATCCTCGGCCACATACGCTTACGATTGTGTTCATTAGCAAGACTAGAGCGTATTATCCTAGAGTGCAAGGACGCGAGTCTTATCGTCGCGCTGCGATCCATACAAAAAGATTTAGTCTCGAATAAAGGTTGCCTGGTGCCTCTTCATGCCCAGCCCCGGGTCTGCGCCAGGAAGAACATCCTGGTGATTGGCGGATCCAAACGGGAACACTCCGCAGACAGCTGGGGCAGAACCGCCGAGAGTACTTACGAAACTATCGAGAAATACGACATATTCACTGGGTATATGATGTCATTTTATCTCTTATTTAAATTCGCTCTCTGACAAATAAATTATTGTTACATGTATATTATATTCCATTCTATTCTTTACATGTCACATTATGTATCAAAGATTTTATTTTTTTCTTATTGATAAATACATGTAAATTTTTTTATTAGATATCTCATTCGAGATTAATATTTCTAATATTTTAAATTAATATTTCTCTAGAGAATGGAGCGAAGTGGCTCCGATTAGCATAGGACGGATTCTCCCTGGAGTGGCTCTACTGGACGGCAAGGTATACGTCGTCGGCGGTGAATTGGAATCTTGCATAATAGCAAATTGTGAATGCTATGATCCTCGCGACAATGTGTGGACTCCGATCGCTTGCATGGAAGAACCTAGATGCGATTTCGGTCTTTGTGCCTTGGACAATTGCTTGTACGCATTCGGCGGATGGGTAGGCGAGGACATCGGCGGCGCCATCGAGATATACGATCCGATCACTAACATGTGGACCCTCGATGGTTATCTCCCGGAACCGCGATTCAGTATGGGCGTCGTCGCGTACGAAGGTAATGCTTTTGTTTCCAATATTTAATAGCATCTTATATTATTATTTATATATCATCTAATAATTAAATTCATAAATATATCTATTATTTCTCAATTGGACAGCATATATAGTTAATATCTTATTCTCCACATGTTTTATATCTTTTATGTTTCATTATATGCATTTTAGTTTAATAACATTAAATAAACAAATTGTTTATATTTAACGTGTTTCTTCAACTATATTAAAGTGTCGAAAAGTCTCAAAAGACAGAAATGTTATATTTTTTTAATTCTGAGAAAAATATATCGCATTCTAATTTTCTGTAGGACTAATCTACATCGTTGGCGGCTGTACTCATAATAGCCGACATCGTCAGGACGTGATGAGTTACAATCCCGTGACCAGAGAATGGAATTACTTGGCGCCAATGCTCACGCCACGTTCACAAATGGGAATCACGATCCTCGACGGATACATGTACGTTGTCGGTGGCACGAGTAAAAATCAGGAAGTCTTAACATCGGTCGAAAGATATTCATTTGAAAAGGTAAAGGCTTCTTCTCTTCAGGGATTTGCCCTTCGGCCTTTCATCGATTTTCACACTCAATAAGTCTGTTCTTTTTAGCTGAACTGGCTGCACTAGAGTTGGCTTCGGAGTTTATCTTTTTTATTCCACATTGGAAGTAAAAAAATAAACTCTGAACTAGTACAACCAGTTCAACTAAAAAGATCAAACTTCTTCTTTACTTCACATTGAAAGGAAAAAAGATAAACTCTGAATTAGACCTAATGTAAGGTCTGTTCTTTTCAGCTGAACTGGCTGTATTAGTTCAGAGTTTATCACTTTCCTTCCAACGCGGAGTAAAAAAAATAAACTAGTACAGTCAGTTCAGCCAAAAAGAACAAACCTAATATTGCTTTATATTTCAGAACAAATGGAGTGCCGTTGCTCCCATGAGCATGGGCAGATCTTATCCGGCTGTTGCGGCAGCCGACAGCCGGCTCTACGTCATAGGTGGTGATCAGTCGCAGGAGATCAACTTCTATCGCACGCAAATCACCATCTCGACCGTCGAGTGCTACGATCCTCACACGAACAAATGGCACGAGTGCGCCTCTTTACCATCGAGTAGAGGTGAAGCGACAGCTATTGTCGCGCCTTTCTGATTGACGTGTCTGATTTGCGTGAGTCTGTTTTGTTCGACAAACGTTGAGTTTGTTTCTTCATTTGCTCTTCCAACTTTTTTAATACTTTCTCTCTCGATATTTGCAACTCTCTGCGACGTCCATCTTTACCGAGAGCATCGTATCCATCAGGTAATGGATCACATTCGCTAAAAGAATCTATATAATTTTATTAATTTTTTAAGTCCAATAGAAACCTTCTTAAATTTGGCTCCGTTAATTTGGATATATCGCCATATTTTTATAAACCACTAATTCATTAACTTTTTATATGCAACTGCATAGAAGATACTTATTAATTTGTTTCCTAAAAATTTTTTATTTCTATCGCCGCAGAGGGCTAAAATTAATCAGACTATTGTAGTCTACTGATACATACATTTTTTAAACATTATACTTATGAAATATTATGTATATTTTTTAGATTGTAATTTAAGTTCATTCTAGACGATCTGTAATTCGCGACAAGAAACAAGATGGAAATCTACTTATAATTTTATGTATTACATATATGTATTCTGATATGGATTTCTTACATGTATATATTTCATTTCTAATTTCGCCACGAATTATAAATCGTTTAAAATGGGCTTTTCTGAAAGATTGTTTTTCATAGATATATGATCATTTACTAAGGTATTAAGGAATCTTGAATTCAAAATTTTAATAAATCTGAATTTTGGTATATCTGTAGGATTTAAAAAAAACCAGAATCTAAAAAATTCAACACACAAGAATTTACTTTTATAATTTAAAGATTTTCGATTTTAGAGGATTTAAATGATTCCAGATAGCCGAAATATAAAAATAAGATCTAAACTATAGATTCTCGAAAATTTTTTTATCTAAATCATGTGAGATTTACAATTTAAGATATCTAAAATATAATCAAAATTTTAAAAAACTTAAAATCCTTAATAAAAATTATCTAGATTATATTAGAGACCTAAAAAGATTTATAATGAATTTATTATTTTATTTAACGTAAAAAGAATAAGCAAATATTTTAGACGAAATAATCGTAATTGGAAATACTATACTATAGATCGATTGAATCTAAAATCTTTTTTTATTATTTATTTATGTATTCTGATGTGCAAATGGATTTGAAAATAATAAAAATGTCAAAGATAATGTATGCAAAGGTAATATATAATGTAATGGAAATATATTCAACTACTTTTATTAATTAATGACAAACATTAATCACAATGTGCGTTAGGAAGGACTGAGGACTCTTTATATAATATATAGTCACATACCAAAGTTATCGTAATTTTTAATCGCATTGCTAAAAGTTAACAGCCTGTTAAACTTTATACATGTAAGAAATTAAGATATTTATCCTTGGAGCACGTAAGGGTCTAAAAGTATAAGAATCTTTAAAAGCTCAGAAATTACAGGATCGAAGAATTTTACGATTAATAAATTCGCATAAACACTCAAAAATCGTAAAATTCAGTAAAACGGACTAAAAAAGTAAAATAAAATATCTAACGAATCTTTCTTGCAGAGTATGAATTCTATTATTTTATAGATTATAAATTCTATTTGGTTTAAATTTCTCTTACTTATTTAATATTAAAGTTGAAAACCTGAGGAATAAGTATAATTGCCATTTAGAAGCTATAGATACTTTTAATTTGAATCTAAATAAGAAATATATAGGCATGTACGAATGAAAAAATGTTTCCATCATTCAAAAGTTCTTAGAACTTTTAACCCTTGCTATTTTGAAATTTTGTATCCAAAGATCCAAATTTCAGATAAGTATCTTACATAAAATATGCGATGTTTCTTAATTAACGCGCGCAAAGCTACGCGCCCAAAATGTTTTGTAAAGTTTAAGGCCACGTTTTATAAAACTAATAATCTAAGAATCGAAGAGTGTGTCGTCGCCGACGGTCTTTGTAATTAGTTGTTGATGTAACAATCCAATTTGCCATTATTCGAAATATGATGTTTGGTGCTGCACGAATATATTAGCCGCGGAACGACATTCGATTATTTTCCAATTTTTGGACACGGGATAAATATGAGTGAGATGATGTTGAACAATTAAATTCACCACTAATCTCTAGTTGCTTCAATAAATAATTTCTTAAATTTGTTATCTCCAATTTTTTTACATTGTAAAAAGAAATATAATCGCATATAATTTTTCTTATATTTTCCTTATAAGTGCTTTTGCGATTAATGAACAATAAATATTACGATTGTGTTAGATTGTTATACTTCGAATTTTTTTCTTCTGAAGTATCTTTAATTTGTACTCTAGATTGTTTGATACAGAACTTTAAATAATCAATGCAATGTTCAAAATGATCATGTGACCATAATTCTTATATCTTGAATATCTACTCTCTATCAGAATTATATGATGTGTACGATATATGTATATATAAATGTATAAAGTTAATTTTGTCAATTAATTTATATATATTTCTAAATTAATTAGAAACTTTTAAGACAAGATTAAAACAACACGCATCTCTAGCATGTTTATCCTTCTTAAGTAAGAATCATAAAAACGAAGCTAGAAGATACGAAATGATAAATATACAATAATACAACAACAGTTGATGTATATTTGTAATCGATCAATAAAAATTGCTAAAACCGTTCACATTTCTTCTCCTCGCTTAATAGTTTAAATTTCAATTATTTTTTATAATAGAAAATTCTATTTTTCTACTCTTTCTATATAAAATATGTTTGCTATGATTAAGATACAGTTTTTTTAAAGACAAAAATATTATTTACAACGTAATCTCTTAACATTTACCTTGTTATCTGTAACAAAATCAATCATTACATTATTGGTAATATTCATTAATAAAAATTTTAAAAATTTCATAAAATTGTTCTTTATAAAATCTCAAAGAATTATTTAAAAAATACATTTATGCTACAAAAAGAACAATTTATTATCATTTTTATCAATATTTCTTATATTGTTTTATAGGATACCTTTTTAAGTTTTTATTTTATTTTAAGGAATATATTTTAGCAAATAATGTAAATAAAATCTGTGCATATATAAAAAATATCCATAGTACCTAAAATTTTACATATTTTTTTCAACAGCCAATCAGTATTTGTTGTAGAACAAATGTAAAATCTTAAAATTAACTAATTATTACATTTTTGGCAACATCTTTTATTTATAGAATCTTTTTATATTCCACAAAATGGACTCTAAAATGGACTGCATAAATCATTGTACTGTGTTTCTCTTGTATATTCTGTTCCTATAGGAACAAATTCCAGAAGAGAAGGAATATATAAGATGTATGAAGGAATATATAGATGTATTAAATGAGTACACTTTTATAAAAATGTGATGTATGAGGCCGATATATTAAACAGCTGCTTAAATGATATGAACTTGATCAAATTATTAATTACAAATAATATAAGCTAGTGCAGAAACAATTATGGTAATATGTTACATACAAGCACGTATATGTGATATATGCATAACAGTACACGTTAATATCCTATCATTTTATGGCATCATGTTTAGCTGCGATTAAGCTATATTCCGTCATAAAGACGTTTGTTAAACTGCTATCCAACGTCTTGACTGCTCTCCCGTATATCTTGCCGACTTTCTCCGGTTCCCCATACTTCATTTCGAATTTAATATAATCCATCCAGACGGACGCATTGTTAGTTCCGAAAGATTGCGCCGCTAATGAATAAGGACGTCGCATGTGCTTTACCGAAGCTTCTGGCTGTACGTGTTCCAGTGCAGCCATTTTCTTATGAAATTCCAGTGAATTGGGAGGCTGCAGGCGCAGTTGATCGTACGCTTCGCGGGCTGCATGGATGCCTGGAATGAAAATATGGAATAAAAATATAAATATCGCAAAAAGAGTTACATAATAATTAATATATTACAAATTTATATATTATATTAATATAATTATATATTTATATTTTAATTTTATAATAAATATATTTTATAATATATTAATATATTATAACTTTTGTAATATTTTAAAATTCTTCGATAACAAAGGCAACATAAAATAAGAATGTAAAATTATATTAATTTGATTTTTGATAATACCTTTCGTTAGAACAAGCCACTCGAGCCACACCGGTTTAATGTCTCGGGCGATTAGCGGATGCGCTTTTAAAGCCGCTCGAAAACTGCTTTCGGCATCGTCCGAGCTTCGTATTTGAGCGTGTAAAATCCGCATTCTCCACAAAGGTAATGCTTTCTCGTTTAAAATTTCCGTCACCTACAGAATTTTCCAAGTCGTAACAAACGATCATCTGTGCAAGATTGTGTAATTATTCGCAATAATTATTACCTTCGGAAATAAAGCGTCTACTTCTTTCTCTTGACCAGATTGCAACAAATGATTGATTCGCGCGTGCCAAAGAGCAACACTGTTCGGTATAATATCAATCGCTTCGCACAACACATCGTTCAATTTTTTCCTCTCGTTCTCGTCATGTTCCTTGTCACTCAATATATCGATCTATAAATATAATACAATCATTAATTTTAAATATTTATAAGAGAAAAAATAACTACTGCTTCTAAATAAAATAAGCGTTCCTCGAGTAAAATTTCGATCAATATCCTGAGAAGTACTTTAATTTTCAAGTAAAATTTCGACCAATATCCTGAGAAGTACTTTAATTTTGAAGAGTTTCAAGAATGCTTCTAACACCAAAGATATTGAAATAATTATACACAGATAAGGATTATATTTTAAAGAAGCAACATTAATTCAGAAATAAATTTAAGTTGAATTTAATCAAGTTCTGTTTTCTATATATAAAAATTATTAAATTATATAATTAGTCAGATAAATACTATTAAAAAAACGTAAACGCCAAAGTATCTTTGAACACATACCCAGTGTAAATAATGTTTTTCCCTCAACTTTTTTGCTTTATGAGCTTGTGTCAGAGCACTCTTCAATAGTTTTCTCTTGAAATTTGGCAATGATTGCAAATCATGATTGATCTCCAATAAACATTCTATGTACAACGACCACATATCTTCAGTTTTAATTTTTTTCACAGCAGTCTGGTAAACCTTGTTGCAAGATGTGATGCGATCTCTCAGGGAAATCTGTTCAGCATTTTCAATTTCCATTGGTGTATCATTATGGCTTGGCTGAACTAAACCTTGTAATTCACGACGTGCCATTGTATCCCACATTAAAGGTTCATGAGCATATTCCCGAATCATGTCACTATAATTATAGATCAATTGGAATTTTAATTATTACATGTGTAAATTTCTCATATTTGAAAAAAGTTTATATTACAATATATGTATGTACACATACCAAATCATTTTCTTCTGCAATTTTTCCGTGCCATCGTATTCCTTTGCTATGTTAAGCAGCTCTACTATAAATTTTATATCCTTAATACGCTCGAAAGCCTGTTGATATATAAAGTATGTCGTTTTCAATGATGTTGGTATCTCATTGTCATTCACCATTGTCAATGGCAAATTATCTTCCTGATTCTCAGTGTTTTCAGCATTAATGGGGATCACAGTGCGATTTTCCAATTCCAGTCTAAAATTCATAAACATTTTATGCAATTAATAAATTGCAAAAGAAATTATTGATACATACATTTTTATCATACTTACTTAAAAGCATCAACATACAGCAATTGAGAATCGGGATGAATTTGTAAGCCTCTAAGAAGATACTGTCGAGCGCTTTGTTTATTTTTATTCTCTTCCAATTCCCAATATGCTGCTATGTGCCAACATTTTGGCTTATCTCTGTGCACTTGCAACATTCTGCTCAACATCTGGCTGATATTACTATAAGAATGCTAAGCAATGCTTAAGTTACATGAATGTAGCAAAACAAGAAAAATGTATTTATTTTGTTACTTACCACATGCTTACAAAATTTCATATAAGCAATCCAAAATCTTATTTCATCTTGAAATTTAGATATTGCATCTTTATACAAATTATTCATTTTATTAGTTATAACAAAGTCAATGTCCGTCTTCTTCTGGGTAATACCAAATTTCTAAAAAAAAAAAAAAAAAAAGTATCAATATTTGTAAAATGTATGCATATTATTTATAATATACGATATATAAACTATATAATACAATTTATATAATATATAATAAAATGTACAAAACTTTAAATATTACAAAATATATTTAAAATATTCATAAATATCTATACAATCTCTTCTCGAATCTCATCTCTGAGTCATAGTAATATATAAATTTTTTCTGATATTTAATTGATAATTTAAAAATTATACACAATTTCTTTAAAAAAAATTGATAATTAAACTTGAAACAAAAGTCAGACTGTGTTTTAAGACAAACTTTATCTAAATTTTCAATTCAATCTCTTATATCACAAATATATCATATATAAATTTATTGAATTATATATAAAATTCCAAGATTAATTTTGACCGCACTTCTTGACAAAAAATATTTAAATGGAAAGCTCCTTTTAAGGCTTTAAAGCTACTTACATCTCTACGTTGTTTAATCAATTTTAGAAGATCCATTTCATATTGTATGTAACGAAGATAATCCTCCTTACACTTCGTTTGCCGTCGAATTTTATATTCATAGTCATTTAAGATCTTAGCTATATTTCTGAAATGTGATCAACATTTGACGATTGGTGATACTCGTAAATACACTCGTAATATACAATCTATTGGAGACACTTGTAAAATATGTTGAAGATAAAAGACTCACCGAATTTCATTCTTGTTAAAAAGTTTGATCCTTTCCATTTGTTCCAACTCAGGAATCATATCCTGACATCGTTTTTCCACAAATTCTGCCATTTTTCTCGAATTTGTATTTTCTTCGTGCTAACAGATATTATTTTTATCACGAAGAAAACTTGTAAAAAGTCAACGAGATAAAAACGTGAAATGCAAGTATAAAATTCGCAAATCGACGCGTGATGCACTACAAGGACACGAATCATAAAACTACAAGACACGAAACTGACAGGACACGAGACTAATTTATTACACGTTTTCAGTAAGAAATGCACGGCTTCTCTTGATTGGCTGCTATTGAAAGAAATTAGAAATTCCCTATCCAATAACCAATCGCTGCGTCCAAAGAATCCATCATATGACAGATGTATTGTTGCCTATTATATTAATTTTTTATCTAAGAAGCCGCTCTATTCTCACATAATCTATGGTATAACCAATTTACTTTTTTTATTTCCATCCTGCACGTGAAGCGTGTATCGTGAAATAAATTAAAGAATAATTCAAAAGAAGTTTACAATATAATTTATTATTTAAGAACGTAGAAACTCAAATCCAGCATCTAAAGAAATTAAAGACTTAGGAATTCAATAATGTAAGCATTAATCGAGAACAGGAAATAAATATCAAAATTAAAGATGTATACAACTATAAAGACAATATATAAATTTAAAAATCAAAGAAGATTCAGAAAATTAGACAAACTTGATTCTAATAAATTTATATAAAATTCTTAATATTTTTTTTCCAGCATATAGAAAAATGACCAGGTATGCAAGAGCGAAAGGATCCAAAGCATCAAATGAGAAATTGCCGAATGAGGCCACACCATGGCATGTAATGAAACAGCAAATAGAGGAAAGTGAGAATAAGAAAGTGTTGGAGAAAAAGAAATCGGCAAAGGAATTATTAAAGGATCGAAATGATACTGACAAAAACGTCGATCACAATTGGGCAGAGTTTAATGATAATAGGTCTAAATCCGATGTAAAGAAACATAAGAAACCAAAGTCAAAGAAAACTCACACGAATTTTGTAGAAGACTCTAAAAATGACGTTATGCCAAACAGTAATAATGTGGAAACAGAAAAGACAAAAGTTGAAGCAATAGATAAATTGGATGAATTTTCTAACAAAATAAATCCAGATGTTAACAGTTCACATTTATTATCTAGCGAAAAAGAATCAAGAATTTCACAAGATTATAGGCATCAAAACTCTTCTATATTAAGTAAACGACAGAAACGGAATCTGAAGAGAAAATTGGAAACAGCTAATGATAAGTCTGAAAGATTTAAAAAAGATACATTTGATAAAAGTGACAAAGTACAAGAAAAGAAAATTAAAGAAAAAGGAGAATACAAGAGGAGGAAATCAAATCCTGGTGTTACAAAAATTATAATTAATGGTGTGGAAACTGAAATTGCTATGTATGATGGGTTTCCTGTAAAGAAGGAAGATGCACAAAGATTGAGAGAACTTAGACAAAAATTGATAATGAAAGGTAAGTGTACATACATTGAGTTAAATATTGTTAATTTGAATTTTGAATGAGAAACTAAGAATTAAAAAAAAAGGACAGTAAAGTACATATATTTAAGAATATATAAAACTCAAGATTTTTCAATTTTAAAAAAATTGACCAGAAGTAGCATAACACCTTTGTCATATAAATCAATTACTTACATTTTTCTTTATATATTTTTATCAAATTTTTCAAGCAAGAAAGCACTAAAAATTCTAATGTAAGGATTCAAATAAATCTCACAAAATCTAAATTTAATAAACCAACTTTTTGCAATATGTCATTAAATAAGTATGAAAATAAAATAATATCTTATTTTTTATTGTCAGGTATACCAAAACCTGAAGTGGATATGGCAATGAAACTGGAAAGACGCAGGGCTGAGAAAGCCTTAACGCGTATTAAGAAACAACTCTGCTTTAACTGTCGCAAATCTGGACACAATCTATCGGATTGTCCTGAGCTTGACCACGACGAGGCCTGCACTGGCATTTGCTTCAAATGTGGCTCAACAGAGCACACTCACTTTGAATGCAAAGTTAACAAGGACTCTACTTATAGATATGCTAAATGCTTCATCTGCCGCGAGCAGGGACACATTGCTGTAGAATGTCCTGATAATCCGAAAGGAATTTATCCCCATGGTGGTTGCTGCAAGATTTGCGGAGCCGTGACACATTTAAAAAAAGATTGCCCTGACTTGGTGAAGGGAAAAGAAGACACTGCCATTACTGTGCAAAAGATGGGCGATTCTGCCATAGAATCTCTGCAAGAAGACGTAAAGAAGAATAATGAGGACAATAAATTGCCAAAAAGATTATCAAATTTTAATATTATATTTTTATAATATATTATGTGATATCTTTAAATATACAATATCTGCACATAAATTTATAATTTTATCTTTTTCATTGATAAAAATTTGTTAAAAAAATATATATATTTTTAATTAATTTTCTACTTTCAAAGAAAGTATTTATTATTATTATTATTATATTATTTCATGCACACTTAAAGAAATGAAATTCTTTATTTTGAAAAAAAGTTTGTAATTAAAATGCATAGTGTAAATATGTGGTAAATATGGTTTGTAAATATGTGTGTGCTTTTACAATACAACAAATTTTATATATTGTTATACATTATGTAAACATATATATATATATATATATATATATATATATATAATCTAAAATAATATATATGTTAGATAAAAATGTGTGTAATATATAATATATATCATTATATATATATATATTATATGTATTAATTTTAATATATGTAATATATTCTTTATTATAACAAAATTTTATAATGTATTATAAAATACTTCTGAAAAATTCATATATTATTTGTATTATTTATATGTATTTTTCAGAAATATTTGAAACATTATAAAAATAACAAAATTTGAAAACAAGAAATATCAATATATTTTTAGTTATTTGTTTCTTGAAATCCGCGATTGAAATTGCTCGAATTCAAGAATGACGCGCTTTACGTAAGAGCAATTGGCTAATAATCAATAAGTATAAAAAAATTTGTGTTAATTTAAAAATTTGAAAAAGCGATTGACCCACTTATATATGCATCATCTCTAAAATAATATAATATATAAATATATAATTAAAATTCACAGAGAATTATTCATTATAAACGTTTTAATCATAACATTTTAATTGAAGAAATACATACATGTACATATGATACATAGTTTTGTATGTTTTTTTTAGAATCCAAAAGAATAGTTATACGATCAAATGTCATCGATAGCCTAACGTGTTCTAATCGTTAAAAACTACAGATGAATATGAAATTTTAAGAAAATATCAAAATGAATAATAAAATTCTTTATATTTTTCTCATACATAATATCAAGTATATTTTTACATGCTAAATAAAATTATTTGATACTTATAATTAATGTGTCACTAAAATATCTACTACTCATAAACAAGCTGCATATTGTAGATGTATGTAATATATGTAATAAAGGCTTTTTAATATACAATCACAGAAACAGGAAAAGCCGATAAGATTCTAAGTTACATATATGTTTTTCATATATCTTGATTAATATATTTATTTATATTCTTGAAATATTTATATATTTGTACTATTATTAATCCAGATATAATGCAACGATTGTAACTTAAGCTCTTATAGGTCCTTGCTTTCTCTGTAATTAAATATGTTGTGAAAAAGAAGGTGCAGATAAAATTTCTACCATAATCATTTTAAATTTGCCTCCTATATATAAATATTTATATATATATATTATTTTGCAAATATAACGAATTATTTCTAAAAATATATGACATGTAATCGATAAATTCATAAGATAAATTCACAAAATGTTTTTATTCTCTCTTGATATATATTTTTACTATGACACTGTGTGAACTTATTAAGCGCTAATGCTGATTACGTAATTGTACTACTAGGCGAATATATGGTGCTATCGCTTTTTTCCAATACATGACATAATGTCTGAAAAATATGATTTTAAGAAAAGAACTCTTGATTAACTAATTGCAAGTGCTTTTTCATTTAGAATTATAAAAAAATACAATGTTGAAAAATATTCATTCTTAAGCTGACTTGATTATGTATTATATATCTAATTTTTGAATTGCGAATTTTTCTTCCATATTATTTTACACGAATTTTACATCCTTCTATATTATTTTATACGAATTTTACACGAGCCGCGCACAGTTTAGCAGAAGATTTAAAATACAACAAAATTATTTTTCTATCATATGTATGTAATGTCATTTTTCTTTCAGATAAAAATTAAAGAAAGCGATTCGCCTTTTCTTAAGTAGCCTACATTATCTTCAGAATGATTCATTATTTAAAAGTTCACACACAGAGTTATTTTTTTGTGATTTTTCCTCAAAAAGTATTTAACAGATCATTTGAAGATCGCAAATATTTCCAAAGCTTTTGCTTGGTGAAGACCATCTCGTATCTTGTGTGATAGCGTCTTTGGTAACAACACTCATATTGTACTATCTCTTTATTTTCTATCCAATTCCCATAAACAATAGCGACGAACGAAAATTGCAATACAAACCACGCGAATACACCTGCTAGGTAGCTTCAGCTTTATGCGCTGATTCGATTATTTCCTTTAAGCATCGACCGAACTCCTCGATAATCAGACGCTGCGACGTCTCGTCGTCGAGCATATTTCGTTCTGCTTCTTCTGCTTGCGCCATTAAACATTGGCATGTTATTTCTACCACCTTATCAGTTAAAAAGTTGAATGGCTGTCTGTAATAAGCAAGAAATGGATATACATATTATGTACAAAATTCAAAGAAATGTATATCAAGCAAATATATATTTTAATAATTTTTATTTCATCAGTTTATTCTATGTATTTTATAAATTTTATTTTATTAATTTTTTTCTATTGTTAAAAGAGTTTGAATAATTTATTTACTCCTTTTAAAATTTCTGATTGTTTATACATTGCATCTATGGAAAATTATAAAGTATCAGAGGCAAAAAAAAGCAAATAATTTTTTGTTCAAACTTATCAAAGAACAAATAATAATAAACATTGATTAAATGTTTGACTAAATTTTGTTAATTGAGGGGAGGGGAAAGGGGAATTCGTGCAGAATTGTAATTTATTTTCTAATAAGTAACAATTAAAAAAAAATTTTAACATTCTTAGTTTGAATTTTCAAAAAAAATTATAAAATGAATGTTTAAAAATTACATTTGTCATACAAACCTTGTACCAGTATTGGATGATGCTGGAGGTCTGAAAGCCATCTCCGACAACTGTAACTGTGCTTTATTTAAGCTAAGCTGAGTTGTTCTGACTTCGGTCGTTTCTGTTAAATCTTTTAAAGATTTTTTCTCCAATATTTGATCTTCGAGATTACGACAGCCTATACATTTACAATTACCAGAGCATGGAATTTTTGCCTAAAAAATATAGAAAATAGAGTTAGATTTTTTATATGTAAAAAACAGATACTTAAGAGCTATTAAAAAATATCAAATATTATATCAATATTTAAATAATTAATATTCTTACTAAATTAGTAATTGCTGGACTTACATTATTTATGCATTAATTTGAAATGAAATGTAAAAATGCAGTGAAAAAGAAAAGATTAATTATTTGCATTTTGTAAAGCTATCTGCATTGATGGAGTAGAAAAAAATAAAAACGTATACAAACTTAATTGCTAGACGACATGGACAATATGTTGAAAATACCTCGTAACATTCACAATAATTTTTAAGACAACCGCTACGTTTGCAGTTGCAGCCTTTGTTGTGTCTTCTTATATCGTCACCAGTTTCACGACCTTTTCCAATTTTAGGGCGAAAGGCGTTAGGATTGCGTTCCAGGCAGGATTTAATCGCGCGCTGCCTCTCCTCCTCGTTCCCAAGATTATTCGAGCAATTGTTGCAATTACACATGTGACAGAACTCACCATTCGCAAAACAATCGCAATAGCTGCAACAGAAAGATTATTCGCGATTTTAAAATCAAATACTAAATAAATTATACTTATGGATTAAAACATAAGAAGTTGCAATTAATTCGATTAAAAGTAATTCTTCTGATAGATATATAATTTTTCAATTTTGTAACATATTTACTTTAATTAATACTTTATGCTTTAATCATTCTTTCCATAAAGAATATTACATATATTGTACAAATACTTTTAAAAAGATGTTTCAAATTGTCATGTATCATGCTGATAACAAAGGAATGTGATGAAATCCAAAGCCTACTATATATATAAAATATTTATGAATACACATGTAGTCAAGTAAAAACAAACTATTCAATAAAAAATAATTTGTAAAACAATTTGAGAAATTGTAAAAAATCTTGGTTATCATAAAATTTTTAAATATTTTGTAGAACTTATGCTCCAACAAATTACTTACAGTTTAAGACACTGTGATTTAGTACAATTGCATGGTTTTCTTGGCCTAATACCATTTGGTTCGACAGTACTATAAGTGGGTCTTTGAGAATTTTTTCCATCAATCACACAGAGAGTCGCCGTAGAGCTTTGTGAACTTCCTAGAAGACCAGGCGACGTTTGGGACTTCAATTTTGCATCCTCTGTTGACTGCTTTAACAAAAAACATAAATATATTTGATATATACATAAATACAAATTTTTAGACTGTTTTACAAATCAGGAAAATATGTGCACGTATGAAATAATATACATTTACAGATAATTAATAATGTAATTTCACTAAATTATTAAATATATTTTATCACTGTTATAAACGAAGACCATCGATTAAAGATTTTTAAATACTTTTCTACAATATTTACCAAAGAACATTTTTATTTAAAACCAAAAACATTTAAAACTAAAATAATATTTGTAATATTAGATTATATTTAAAGTTCTTAAGATTTTCTTATATAAAGCATCATCTGTGAGTTATATTTTATGTAAAATTTAAAAATTAAATTAAAGATTTCTCTTTTTACGTTTTTTTAGAATCTCCTTTACGTTTTTTTAGAATCTCTTGTATTTTAGTTTTACTTATTTTTTTATATAGAAGTATCAATTTTTTAATATTCTAATACTTGGATATAATTGGATAGAATTACTTGAATTTTGTACAAATGTAATATCATAGAAGTTTTAATTGATGCAACATTTGGTATAGAGAAATGATTGTGCTATATTAAGTAATAATCAAGATAATCCCTTTTCAATTTTCTTCGCTCTACCTCTAACAGCACAGCATGTCTGAAAGATGTTCAGAAGACATCCAAAAGACATCCAGAAGATATTTTACATCCTCTAAACGTCTTTCAGACATGTGTGCTGTTAGAATATCCTTAAAGTAAACTGGATAATAAAGAATATAAATGGATATCAAACCTGTTGCTGAATATATTGAGCAGGAAGAACGACGATGTTCCCAACGCTTGGATTAGCTGAAAGGACTGCTTGTCCCGACGCTAATTGGCTCAATGCTGATGCGGGAATCGCTACTGCACTCTTCGACTGATTGCCAACAGCTGCCGCAGCAGCAGCCGCAGGTATGAGTAATTTTTGGCTACCACTGGTCAACGTTGCCTTCGGCGCAACGGTTCTCAGAGATTGATTGCCAGTATTTAACGGCACAACCTAGATAAAGATAGAAAAATTCATTTATGATATACAGTTTGAATGTATTGCTATTATAATACTTTGTAGTGTATTGCCTCTTCAATATTATAATAAGTTCTAATATTTGTTACATGTTATATAGTTATTATAACAGAAAGAAAACATTTTTCATTATAAAGAAATATGTAGAATACAGATATAAGATTTTTTTTTGTCTTTTGCTCAAAATTGAGTTCTCGTACCTTTACAATCTGCTGTTGATTTCCTACTTTCTGGCTGATACCTACAGTCTGAAGAGTCGTAGAAGGTTTTGATTTGCTTACAGTAACGACATTAGTAGTTCCTGTTGAAGTACTGACTAATCTTACATATTGCACCTAAAAAGAAACAATATTTTTAAATGTGCACATTAGAAATAAAATCAATAGATAAAATATAATTATAGATATTATAGATAAAATATAAAGGCATATACTTGTCTTCCAGGCATCTGAATTTGATGTACTTGATTTGATCCAGTTACAATGTTCTGGTTAGCAGGTATTCTAATCACTTGCCCGCTTCCAAGTACAGTACCAGGTTTCAAAGAACTCTAAAAAAATAATGATTTTAATAAAAATTTTTATTAATTTTGTTTAGAAAAGTCCAAGATTGTTAATGTCATTATATAAATTAGTATTGTTCAAGCAATTTTTTGTAAACTTAGAGTTAATTGCCAATATTTAATTGAAAACCAAAATCAAAACTACTTTCACAGAGAGCAATAGTACTATGTATACATATTTTAAGGGTCTCTTGTAGCACAAATATCAATATTCAATAGCTCGTATCATTTTTAATAATATTAATTTCAAATATAATACTTGATAAAAAATATCACATCTATTTTTTATATAATTATTGTCAAAATGGAAATCAGAATTGAAAGTAAACGTATTGAAATAAAATTGCAAATAATCTTTCAACCTGTCTAATGATGACTTTTTGTGGACTTTGCTGTACAGATGACTTGGATGAAAGAAACGTAGATTGTTGACTCGAGGATTTCGCCTGAATACTTGTAACTGGTGCAGGTAGGATTTTCGTCGGAATTGACTTTGCAGTATTGCTAGGTACTATGGTCACCTTCGATGGTTGAGATGTAGAGGACTGTAGCAATTTATTTAATATCATACCCTTTGAAAAGAAGAAACTTGTTATTGCATGATCTAAATATTCTTTTAAGTTGCTTTGTATAGCACAAAAATATAACACACCTGCTTCTGCGAGGTCGATGGTAAAATGTGTTGCACCTTGTTAGTAGAAAATATACCCATTTGTTGGGCCTGTGCTAACGTTATAGTTTTTGTTGGACTTGTTATGCTATAACTAGAAGAGCTATTATTGAGGAATTTAATTCCTGATGTCGGCTGATTTTCACTTTGAGAACTTGTAATGAGAACTTGAGTGCCTGGTTGTGGCTGATTTCCCGTCAATATCATCTTTGTAAATACCTGCAAAATTTATCAAAAATAATTATAAATTTATCTTCAGATTTCACAAAAGATAATATCTATAGAATAGTGGTCTAATATAATTTTTTTCATTTATGAAGATCGCGACTCCAACATATATCTTACATTACGTCCTTGTTGGACACTCTGTGTTGCTCGTTTCGACGTTGGCTGTGTTATCTTGAGATTTTGCATGTTACTAATTGTGATGTTTCCTGAAGCACTGGTCGTTGCGATAGACTTAGTAGACGAAGTCGATCTTAATTGAACAACACTCCCGTCCGTAGATTTGCCGCTGATGAGAGTCTGAGCTAAAGACTGCAGCTGTTCGGCCGAAGCTGTTGGCGGATGCGATATCTTCAGTATTTGACTGGCACCCTGTCCGCTCGCAGGCGATACTATCATAATCGATTGACTCTGCGTAGTTTGGACACTCGATTTTACCTAAAAATAAACTAACATGAGCATATATCGCATACCAGTAATATCGTTACCAGTAATTGCGAAAGTTGTTACCTGGACGGCCGACACGGGCACTTTCTGTAAAGTAGGCTTCGTTTGAAATACGACATTCTGGTTACTCTGATTACTCTGATTACTCTGGCTACTCTGATTACTCTGACTGGCCGTTGTGTAAATGTGCTCGGCCTGCACTTGTTCGGAGATCTCGGTCATCTCCACATCAGGTACTGTCGTTTCAGTCTCATCAACGTTTTGCTCGATCCGGTCATCAGCCGCAGTCATAACTTCATCAGCATTCATGCATTCGAGTTCTGCTTGAATATTCGCAAAGTCGTCGAAGTCATTCGACGTATACTGCTCACTGCTGTTGGACAAGCTTAGTGCGCTGAGGTCATTGTCACCCAGTGTACGTGAGTCCAAACCTAGAGGCTCCACCAAGGCCCTTGTATTCTGTCCTTTATTAGTGGACATGACGATGATCCCTGATTGAAACATTGGCATTATTAAAAATAATCAAGACAAATTTTTGAAAGTTTACTTATAACATATGCTTATGTAATTCATTCATTTTGTTTACTTGGAATCTTATATAAAAAATTGGAAGAAACATTCTATAATAAAGAAAAGGATATTTCGTCAACAAATTAAGATTATTCTCTTTTTAGGAAAATTTTAACAAAGCTGCCCTAAATTACATTTAGTGAAAAAACAGTTAGAAATATAGAATATGAATCTAATTAGAATAATGCATTTATTTTTGTCTAATTTTAAATGTATATATTATTCCTATAATTTGTAATATTAAAAATAAACTGTATAAGTGCACAAGTAATCATTCTTCTGCGATAAAGAAATAAAATTGTTAAAAAATAGAGAAAACTTTATTATCATAAAATAATGCAAATGTAGAAAGACACTGACTAATATTGTAATAAATATAATTAAATTATAATTAAATAATAATCATTCTCAGGGTGTATGCATACACATACCTATCTCTATAATCCTACACAATAATCTGATATAAAGTCAAAAAAGTAGATTTATCCTTTACACATAATTACACAGAGAACTCGTAATATTTATTAACATAAATATTGAAAACATGTAAAAAATCGATATCGATAATAAATAGCCAAGAGTTATAAACCTCCTATCAAAGGTGTGCACACATAATCCCCAATGATAGTTTAAATCACTTGCATTTCGATTATCGTAATATTGTAACTTCCAACGTTCCTCTCAGTACCTAATTACGAATTTCGAGCGAAAAGAAATGCATTCCAAATTCGACAGTCGCATATTTTCGAAAAGTCGCGGGTGGTGACGAAACATTCGTGCGCTCGAGCCGAGTGAAGTTCGACGCGAGGTTCGAGAAATTCGAACGGGATTCGAATGCGGCAAAAGAAAGCGAGGAAACACAAGTTCGAAGCGCGAAACGTCCCGCTTCGGGGAACATCAGCGCCATTTACATATACACGGTAGGAGAACGCGCCATTTTTGCGGAGCGAATTTTCAAGCGCACTCACCGTGAATTCCAAGGATTCGCCGTGCCGGGGTCGCGCGAGCCCCAACAGGGAGGGATCGAGTCCCGAACACGGGGGATCCGTCCGAAGGACGAAGGAAAGTTCTCCGGAGAGCGAGACGGCGGGAAGTTGGAATAATAAACGCGACGAACATAACCTCAAAAAAGGTGGAGTTGGCGGAGAGGAATAGCGACGAGGAGCTCCGAGACGCCCCGGCTCGAAGCCACCCTCCTCCCTCCCGACTCAACCTTCGTTCGATCGAGCGCGCCGAGGAGGCTACGGGATAATAAAGCGGCTCGGCAATTATTCTCGTGTACCACCATGTACGTACCTGCGTGTTCCTTCGATAGCTCGAATTGTTCAAAATCACGCGCTCACCATTGCTGGCCCACAGTGCACCGCTCGGTCGGCCGCGTCCGAATAATTGCGTCCGTGGAAAAACGACGATCTCGCGGCGATCACCGAGGGCGAGTACGACGCCCGGATACGCTCGATTTCCCGTTAATCGAACGTGATACCGTATCGAGGGGATTATCGCGGGACGTATTGGCGCGAACGCGACGCGATTTGTCGACGCACTTTGCGAATCGCGAGTGACATTTCTCGCGCTTACGCGGGCGAAGATTGAACGAGATTGAAAGCAGAGTACGAGAGCGGAAACTACCCTCGTGTTCTCATGGAAAGCTACTTGGTGTGGCGCTGTTCGACGGAGAAACGGAGAATGAGCAAGCAAAATGGCGGCGCGCGCGCGCGCGATTTCAATTGATGTATTTTAATCATTTATGATTTTTTTAACCAGCATCACTGGTGCTTATATTATTAATTGCTTAAAACAATTTTATATTTATTAAAATATAATAAAGCACTTTCCGAGTACATACTTTAATTATAAAATATGTTTCTGTTAAGTTATTTAAATTAAAATTGAGATATACAAATATATATATATACATATATAAAATACAGATTAAAAAATTAGTTTGAAAATTATTTATTTTCCATTTTATTTAATTAATTTATAAAAAAAATTAAAATTTATATAGTTTAAAAAGTTAAGTAAATATTTTATTATATGAGAAAGTTAAAAAAACATCGTTTATTATAAATATATATTACACACACTTTCAAGATTAACAAATCCAAATCAGAAATATTGAATTTGTGTGAGAAATGTAAATTGAAAGAAATAGGGAATTTCTAAAGTTTATATCGCATGAATACGACTGTAATCTCATTGGACAAGAGAAATCTCTATATAGGGAAAGTCTCTATGATACAGACGTCACTGTTTCAGAAAGAGACAACAAGCTAAACTCTTTCTAACCACTAAAGTTCGTGCCAGAATGCGTAGAGTACTATTGCGGGTTCGATAATTCAATGTTTTGCTAAATAATCACACATATTGGGGTGTATTCTGTGTACTTCGGTGATATCTTTTCCCATATTAGTATTCTATTGAAGAAGACGATCCAATAGTGAAGAACAAGCAAGAAGAGAAGGTGGATTCGCCGCCAACTATTTCTTCACGATGGACTCCATTCCGAGGACGCATAAAGGTTTCACTCTACTACTAAATTGTTCTCGATTAATTTTTCTTTTAATTATCGATATTCATAAATACAATTTAGAAATATAAATATCTATACATATAAATATGCCTATACATATAAACAATATTGATTTAACCTCTATTATCAACATGTTTTATTTTATGAAAAATAATTATAACTATGAATTGATATTTAGGACAATTAAACTAATTAATATGTCAGAATTTATAATGTGTTAAATATTTAAAATATTTTTTTTTAATTAAATATCATACATCAGTATAATATAAATACTATTAGTTGCTCGAGTTGCCAAACAATTTTACATTCTGCGGCATATTTATTTTACAATAGAGCCAAAATAAAATTGTAATAAATGTAAATTTTACTCGCAAATCATTTTTAGATGTTGCAACAAATTTATTGGAACATGTAATTCTAATCTCTATGCCATTCTAATTATTTATATATTATTGCAGATATTGAAGCACAGATAAGAGAGATACAATCAAAGAAGAAAGAACTTTTAAATATAACATCTGAGAAAGAACAAGTTGCTTTGGGAAAGACAGGTTTTTATGATCAGGATATCTATGATGATAATAAATTTGATGGCTATGTCACATCGATTGCAACCAACGATGAAATCGAGGTAATGTTGCTAACTCAAACATTTCAATATATTTTTAAATAATAGAGATTAAGATTATAAATAAAAATTGAAGAATGGTTCAGAAAAATATAATTTGTATATAGTAATTTTTTTATTTAATCAAATAAGATCTAGAGATTGATAAAAATTTGATTTGTATGAGATAGGATTATGATCCATTTGCGGACAAACGATTACCCACCATAGCTGATAGAGAAGAGAAGGATTATGATCCATTTGCGGATAGACGACGACCTACTATAGCTGACAGGGAAGATGAATATAGGCAAAAACGACGTAGAATGATTATTTCTCCTGAACGTGTTGATCCATTTGCTGAAGGTATATTTTCTTTTGTAATTAATCTGGTTAAGTAATGAAAGAATATTAAATAATTGTAAATTAACTTGACAATTATATATTATATTAAATATCTATACAATTATTTAATATATTCGAATCAATCAACTTAATTATTTAATTAATATGATAATGACTTTTTTAATTACAGGTGGTAAGACACCTGACATTGGTTCTAGAACATATACCGAGATTATGCGAGAACAAATGCTCAAAGGTGAAGAGACAGAGGTATGTTAAAAATAAATCTTTTCTGGATATATAATATATAATACAGATAAAGAAAACATGAATATTAAAAAACAATATAATTGACAAAACTTATATTTATATTTTGTATTTGTAGCTGAGAAAAAGATTAGTAGAAAAGGCTAAGGATGGTACTCTGAAAGCTAATGGTGAACCTAAACCAGCCCCCAAAAAGAGAGGTCGTTGGGATCAGACAGATGATACTCCAGTGTCAAAAAAATTATCTGGAACTTCAGCAACACCCACATCTTGGGATAATGCAGATGTATGTTTGTCACATTTATCTTTATTTATTTTAATCTTTTATTCAAATCTGTTTAATTCAATATTTAAAAAATTATTAAAATTTGATTGATTTAAATGTAATCTAATTTTCCTTTTTTGTTTAATATTTGTATAATTTTTTTTTATAATTGTAGGTAACACCAGCTGCAGTTAGATGGGATGAAACTCCAGGCCATGGTAAAGGAGCAGAAACCCCGGGAGCTACTCCAGGAGTAAGCACAAGAATGTGGGACGCCACGCCTGCGCATGCGACACCAGGAGCTGTAACTCCAGGAAGAGAAACTCCTTCTCATGAAAAAACCGTAACGAGTCGAAGAAATCGTTGGGATGAAACTCCGAAAACTGAAAGAGGTAATTCTAAAATGTATAATAAATAAAAAATATAATCAAAAGTAATGACTTTGTATAATCATTTGTCTTATATTGTAGAAACTCCTGGACATAACAGCGGCTGGGCAGAGACTCCGAGAACTGATCGTGTTGCTGGGGACTTGATACAAGAAACTCCGACACCTTCGGCGAGCAAACGAAGAAGTCGATGGGATGAGACGCCGTCAAATCAAACGCCAGGCTCGATGACGCCGCAAACGCCGGCAACACCTCTGACGACTCCCCATCAGACGACAATACTAACTCCGAGTGCTACCACACCGACAGGACCTAAGGCAATGGGCTTGGCTACTCCAACTCCAGGACATTTGATGTCTATGACGCCTGAACAACTGCAGGCTTATCGTTGGGAACGCGAAATAGATGAGCGAAATAGACCTCTGTCAGATGATGAGTTGGATGCACTGTTTCCTCCTGGATATAAGATCTTGCAACCGCCAGCAGGTGAATTACACAAAATATGATATGGAAATTAATATTACCATTTTATATGCATACTATTACTTAGTATTCTAAATATTGTACTCTCTAAAAATATTACTTAGTATTCTAAAAATATAAAATAGATTTCAGAATATTAAAAAAATCCTAAAAATTAATATCTAATTACAATATAAAAATTATCTTGTGATAAAAAAATAGAAAATATATATATTTAAAATTTTATATTTGGTTATATATTATATAAGCATAATCACTTTATGTGCTTTTTCAGGATACATACCTATTCGTACACCTGCTAGGAAACTGACAGCGACACCCACACCTATCGCTGGTACACCTCAAGGCTTCTTCATTCAAACGGAAGACAAAAGCGCCAAATACGTAGACAATCAACCGAAGGGCAATTTACCATTTATGAAACCAGAAGATGCACAGTATTTCGATAAGCTGCTAGTTGATGTGGATGAAGAAACGCTGAGTCCTGAAGAACAGAAGGAAAGAAAAATTATGAAATTGCTTTTAAAAATTAAAAACGGAACTCCACCGATGCGCAAAGCCGCATTGAGACAAATTACTGATAAAGCGAGAGAATTTGGTGCCGGACCACTCTTTAATCAAATTCTCCCTCTTCTTATGTCACCGACTCTCGAAGATCAGGAACGTCATCTTTTGGTGAAAGTAATTGACCGCATTTTGTACAAACTTGACGATTTAGTGCGACCATACGTGCACAAGGTAATTATTTTTCTTATTGTTTTACGAATCAATTGTTTATTTGTTGTATCTCGTTTTTAATTCACTCGCTTTATCATTGTTTAGATTCTCGTCGTCATCGAGCCTCTATTGATCGATGAGGACTACTATGCTCGCGTCGAAGGCAGAGAAATCATTTCTAATTTGGCCAAGGCCGCAGGATTAGCCACAATGATCTCCACAATGAGGCCGGATATTGATAATATCGATGAATATGTTCGTAATACGACAGCGAGAGCTTTTGCTGTTGTTGCATCCGCTCTCGGAATCCCTTCACTTCTTCCGTTCTTAAAAGCTGTTTGTCGCAGTAAGAAGTCCTGGCAAGCGCGACATACTGGTATCAAGATCGTACAACAAATAGCTATTTTGATGGGCTGCGCCATTTTGCCGCATTTAAAGAGCTTGGTGGAAATCATAGAGCATGGTATGTAAATAAATTAACAGTTATTATTAACAGGATGTTGAAAAAAAGTAAAATATTTTAAGAGGATTTAGTATGTCTCAAAATAAGTTAAAAAGTCTTAATAAATATGGGTCTGCAAATGAGCCATTTTTGAGAAATTTGCAATATCTCATATAACTTTTAATTTACCTATAATTTAATTTAATTTACCTATAATCACATGTGAATAAATAATAATAATAAAAATAAAAATTTAAAACAAAACTAAAAATTATAAAAATAAAAATATATATATTAAAATAAAAATATCTCGAAAACGATTTATCTGTGTACTCAATATTTTTAAGACTTTTCGACTTATTTTTGATATATTAAATCTCTTAAAAATACTTTACCCTTTTTTCAACACCTTGTATATATTATCTTTTGAAAAAAATAATCACAACACAAAATATTACAGGTTTAGTGGACGAACAGCAAAAAGTACGAACAATCACTGCTCTGGCCATCGCCGCGTTGGCCGAAGCAGCAACACCGTATGGTATCGAAAGTTTTGACTCGGTGCTAAAACCACTTTGGAAGGGTATTCGTACACATAGAGGAAAAGGTTTAGCAGCGTTCCTAAAAGCTATCGGTTATCTCATCCCTCTTATGGACGCAGAATATGCGAATTATTATACTAGGGAAGTAATGTTAATTCTTATACGTGAATTCCAGTCTCCTGATGAGGAAATGAAAAAATTGTATTAAAGGTAAAAGAATTATTTTATTTATTATGTAAATAATCAGAGTCATACATGAGTTTATATATTTGTTTCATGAATTATTTTACATTGTATTTTTATGTATGTTTAAAATAGGTAGTCAAACAATGTTGTGCAACCGATGGTGTGGAAGCTCAATATATAAAGGATGAAATTCTGCCTCACTTCTTTAAACACTTTTGGAACCATCGCATGGCATTGGATCGTAGAAATTATAGACAGGTAAATTGAACACAGCTAATTGAAAAACTTTCCTTTGTAATTTTAGAGAGAAATTAATGAATTTTTAGTAACGAAATAATAAATAAAATTACAGCTTGTGGACACAACGGTAGAAATAGCCAACAAAGTGGGTGCATCAGAAATTATTAACAGGGTTGTGGATGATTTGAAGGACGAAAATGAACAATACAGAAAGATGGTGATGGAAACTATTGAGAAGATAATGGGCAACTTGGGAGCGGCAGATGTCGATTCTCGTCTAGAGGAACAGCTCATTGATGGAATTTTATACGCCTTTCAAGAGCAGACAACCGAGGTTTGTAAATTCGATATCCCTAATCTAAAAAAGGTAGAACAAATAATTTAAACAAGTTTTATTTATTTATAGGACGTTGTTATGCTGAACGGTTTCGGTACAATTGTGAACACATTGGGTAAAAGAGTGAAGGCATATCTTCCTCAAATATGCGGCACGATATTGTGGAGATTGAATAACAAATCTGCAAAAGTCAGACAACAAGCTGCAGATCTTATTTCACGCATCGCAGTGGTTATGAAGACCTGTCAGGAGGTAAGAGATACATAGTGTACAATATTTTTTAATTTTGTCATAAATATCAATTTAGAATAAATATGTATGTAATATTTCTAGGAAAAACTTATGGGACATCTGGGAGTCGTTTTGTATGAGTATTTAGGCGAGGAATATCCTGAAGTTCTGGGTAGCATTTTAGGAGCATTGAAAGCTATTGTTAATGTCATAGGAATGACGAAGATGACACCACCTATCAAGGATTTATTACCAAGGCTCACACCCATCTTGAAAAACAGACACGAAAAGGTAAAACTCATGTATATCTTGGATTATTTACAATTTAAATATAAAAATTTTTGAATGAAATAAATCTTTATTCAAATATAAAAATTGATTGTACCATGCATACGTAACATACTTTAATTCTTTGCTGAGTTTAATATACTATTTATTTATTATATACTATTTTAATAATCTATTTTAATATACTATTTTATCATAGGTTCAAGAAAATTGCATTGATCTTGTGGGTAGAATCGCAGATCGTGGTCCCGAATATGTTTCCGCTCGAGAATGGATGAGAATATGCTTCGAATTGCTGGAATTACTGAAAGCACATAAAAAAGCTATTAGAAGAGCAACGGTGAACACTTTTGGATATATAGCGAAAGCTATTGGGTAAGTTAAAAATAATTCAATGCTATTTATATACAAATGCATATATATTTATATTTATAATATTTTCTTTCTTTTTTTTTTTTTTTTTTTTTTTTTTTTTCAAACAGGCCGCACGATGTCTTAGCGACACTTTTGAACAATTTGAAAGTACAGGAACGTCAGAATCGTGTTTGCACTACGGTTGCTATTGCCATAGTTGCTGAAACTTGCAGTCCCTTCACAGTGCTACCAGCATTAATGAACGAGTATAGAGTACCCGAGTTAAACGTACAGAACGGAGTGTTGAAATCTTTGTCGTTTTTATTCGAATATATCGGCGAAATGGGTAAAGATTACATTTATGCTGTCAGTCCATTGCTAGAAGATGCGCTTATGGACAGGTAAGAGATCTAAATCATGTATTAATTTTATTAATTATAATACATTATTCTTCTGTCAACTTTTTTTATATACCTGCTTAGATTTGTATTTTATTTTATAAGATATTTTTTCATTGATACTATTTCTAATCTTCCACTCATTCTTATGATTTTTAGGGACTTGGTACATAGGCAGACAGCCTGTGCCGCTATCAAGCATATGGCATTAGGCGTTTACGGATTTGGATGCGAAGATGCACTGATACATTTATTGAATCACGTATGGCCCAACGTTTTCGAAACTTCACCGCATTTGGTTCAAGCGTTTATGGATGCTGTGGATGGATTGCGTGTTGCGCTTGGACCAATCAAAATTTTGCAATATACATTACAAGTATGTAATCTTTATAATTGCTTGAGATCGCGTTTTTATATATATCAGTGATTTTTTTATTTTGACAAATATATACAATATTTATAAATGTTATATTGCTTTTTGTTACAGGGTTTATTCCATCCAGCCCGCAAAGTTCGCGACGTCTACTGGAAAATCTACAATTCTCTTTACATTGGTGGACAGGATGCTCTTGTAGCTGGTTATCCTCGTATCTTGAATGATCCAAAGAACCAATACATAAGATACGAATTAGATTATGTATTATAATAAACAACGTTTATATAGTTGTGAGAAACACAATGATTACATAATTCTAATAATTTATATTGACTACTGGCGCATAATAAGAATAATCTTATCGAAGAAGGATTTGAAATTCATTCTAAAGTTTATTAAATTAAACCTGACGCCGTATAGCGAAGTTCTCATTCCAGGATATCAAATTGTATTTAGTTTATAAATTAGGTGCATCTTTGATTAAATATTAAATTATATTTGACATGGGTAATTGACAATTTATCACTTTATGCTGTAGATAAACTTTATGATTCTCTGTCTTGTATAAATTTATATATTTTTGACCTGACTAATATAGCTATAGATATGTGTGGATGCATGTGGTGTGTGTGTATGAATGTATAAGTTGATACTCTTTTGTATTTCTTTTTCTTTAAGTAGAAGTTTGTTGGCTACAAAAATGAGTTAAACTATAAAAATTTCTTTTTTCTATATATTTTTATTTCTATATCTGGGTATTAAATTTTTTTTATTTTAGATCTGTCAAAGATTTCTCAGCATTAATTTTTTTTATTTATTTTGTAAAAATTAATAAAATTGAGAATTAAAATAGAAACTATGTGCTTTTTTGATGTCACATTTTTTATTTTAATTTTTTTTACTTACATTTCTTTTTAAGAAATTCAATAAAATGCAATCATTTGATTTAATTATATCTTATGTTTATTGTATGACAAATGAGTTATTTAAAAAAGTTAACGCTAATTATAAAACCATTGTTTCAAAAATATTATAAGCTCTAAAAGATATTTTTAATTTATTATAATACAATTTTTATATATTTTGATTTACAAACTGCATAAATTTATTGCTTTCTTAAAAAATAATTATTTAATATTTTTATTATTTTATTAACGTAAATATTACGAAATAAACTTTATTTATAATATTAAAAATTAATTAAAATAAACGTTTTTGTTATAAGAAATATTTACATTACTTATGTTTATAAAAAATATATATACTTCTAATCTGAATGTTATTTTATGAATTTTATATCTTGAATGCAATATGCATTTGTGGGGGGTAAATAAAAAAATAAAAATTATTTTTTTTTAACAACACAGAAAAGTGCATGCTTTGACACGTGATTGGTAGATTTTTGTACATCATAGTAACATAATTAGCTATATGAACTGGACTTTAAATTTAGATGCGAGTGTGATAAAGCTTTTATGTACATCTCGAACGTTTCGCTGTAAACTGCCTTGATGATTCCAAATTTGCGCTTTGACATCATCGCGTCATCATTACTCCTGTAAGGGTGTGGCGTAGGGCAAATTGCAAAATCTGTAACACATCCATAGAGCTCCACGTTCATTTTCATAAAAGGCCATGTTACGTTCGCCGAGATCGGATTGGCTGTCTTGATTTAAAATCTGACAGGAATATGGGAATATGGATGTAGCAATTGTGTGACAATCACATACATATAGTCCCTCGATATTATCAGTTTCTCATTAATTAGTTAATAGTAAGTAAATGTATTTATTTCATTAAACATTTCATTTCTATTTAGATGCACTTTGTGTTAATTATAGAACATTTAATATTGGGAAAGTAATTTCAATTATATATTTTAAAATTACATATTTATCTGTGTTAATTAAAATAGATAGTATAAACTCTGAATATGTATTAAAAATTAGTAGAGTAAAAGAGAGATATGAGCAAGTAGATTAAATAGAAATTATAAATTAATAAATATATGTAATTGTAGTATGAATGTTATAATGAAGAAATTGAATATTAATATAAAATGTATGATCTTTTATTATTAGTTTTGATGCATCTTTAACAGTTCTTTAATTATATTACAATGATATGAATTTTTATAAAGCAGGGATTATAAGTGCAAGTGAGTAAACAAAAAAGAGGTGGAATATTTGTCAAACGTGTAATCGTCTTTTTCTATTAAAATATGCCAGGGTAAGTAGCATCTTTTCAAGAAACAATAAAAACTAAACAATTATTCAACTCGAATTAATATTATGATATATTTAGTTTACTTTTATTTACTGAATATGAGTATTTTTGAAATTTATATGACATATTATATATGCAGGGTTACAGAAATGTCATTGGATCATATGTTTTGCTCTCGCTGCAGAGAAGGTTTTGTTGCACATGAAAAGATTGTAAACTCCAATGGCGAATTATGGCATCAACAATGTTTTGTGTAAGTACATATACATATATATTTTTTATTCTTTTATTCACTTTCTGCAGATATAGCGTGCATTTGAAGAAGAGTTCTTTGTTTATAATTTTCTATTTCTCAAATAAGTGCTTTAAATCGTCAGTTTCTTTGCTATTTTCTCCAATATACAAAAATAATTATAAATATTGTTCATTTTGTGGATTGAATCTTGTTAATAGATCATTTTTTTTTAGATGCGCACAATGCTTTCGACCATTTCCAGAAGGAATCTTCTATGAATTTGAAGGGTACAAATATTGCGAACATGATTTTCATGTTCTGTTTGCCCCATGTTGTGGCAAGTGTGGTAAGTTAAGGACCTACACTCATTCATTTCAATATAGGCTAAGATAGTTGTATAGATATTGTATTTAAATATAATCACTCAAACCATCGGTTATGTTAGGTGAATTTGTTATTGGCCGTGTGATAAAGGCAATGAATGCCAACTGGCATCCACAATGTTTCCGTTGTGAGGAATGTAACGGTGAATTGGCAGATGCAGGCTTCATCAAGTGTCAAGGCAGAGCATTATGTCACACATGCAATGCCAGAGTAAAAGCCGGTGTGCTTGGAAAACACATATGTCATCAATGCCAGTATGTTCTATTGTTTATTTTAACATAATAGTTCATTTAATAGAGTTTTATTTGATAGAAATACCTAAAAAATTTCAAAAATTTGTACAATTAAAAAAAGAAAATTCTTTTGAGCAGGATTAATTTTTGCGATTTTCAGTGGAGTAATTGATGACAAGCCTTTACGTTTTCGTGGTGAGCTTTATCATCCATATCATTTTAATTGTACAACTTGTGGTGTGGAACTCAATTCTGCAGCTAGAGAAGTTCGTTCTCGACCTGGATATGCTGCCAATGAAATGGTAAGATTATATTAATGATATATCAATTATTTATACATAAAAAATATATATATAGAGGGATTATTTATATATCTAAATTTATATAATTAAAGAAAATATACATTATAGAATGAATTGTATTGCTTACGGTGTCATGATAAAATGGGAATTCCGATTTGCGGTGCCTGTCGACGTCCGATTGAAGAGCGCGTAGTAACTGCGCTCGGCAAACATTGGCACGTAGAGCATTTCGTATGTGCAAAGTGCGAGAAGCCCTTTTTAGGCCATCGTCATTACGAAAAGAAGGGACTTGCATACTGTGAAACTCATTACCATCAGTTATTCGGGAATCTTTGCTTTGTCTGCAATCAAGTTATTTCTGGAGATGGTATGTGCATACTATCAATTAAGTTGTCTTACTTTAGTTTTACTTTTTTTCACTCTCTTTAGATTTTTCTAGCATTTTATATCGTAATTATATTTCTCTTTCAATACTTTGAACTTCTGCAATTCCTAAAATTTCTTCAACGAAACTATATTGAATTGTGTGATGTCAAAATAATACAAGTTCTTTTTATGTTATTTTTATAAGCTTTAATATTTCTCTGATCTAATATATTTTTTCCAATAGTTTTTACAGCGTTGAATAAGGCATGGTGCGTCCATCACTTTGCATGTGCATTCTGTGACCAGAAGATGAATCAGAAGACAAAGTTCTTCGAATTTGATTTAAAACCCGCGTGCAAGAAGTGCTATGACAAATTTCCGCAAGAGTTAAAGAAGCGGATGCGACGTATGTATGATCTGAATCCTAAAAGAATTCCACCAACATAAATGCAGATGACTCTTCTGGAATTTACAAGGATTGAATAAATATTCTACGTTTATATAATATATAGTGCCTTATCTGCCTAACAAGTTAACATAAAGAAAATATATTTAATCTTTTATATTGCATTATATATATATATAAGCTATATATAAAATATACCAAAGCTACTCCACCATTCTACAAATTGCAAATATTTTAGTATAGTATTGCTGAAACTATTTTTAATACTACTTACAATTGAAAAACTATGAATATTTAAAATACTCTCAATTTGGTATTTGAGTGCAAGAAAAAGCGTGCAATAATTTTGAAACATCTTATGTAGAAAAGGCACAATGTTAATTTTTATATTTGAAATGTACGACAAATGATAACAGATATCTTGGATTAAATTGTATAATATGTACTGTATGTATAGCTTACTCTATTTAAATATTTTTAAATTTATTTGTTATATTTAACACTAAATGTTCATACAAATCTTGATAGCTTCTAGAAAAAAATAATATAGTTTTATTTACATAATAACAAAATTTACTCATATATTTTATCAATGAGAAAAGAATGTACAATAAAAAAAAACAATTAATGGAAGTAATGAAATTTTATTTACAAATCAAAGCATTACCATCAAACTTAACTTTATGTTCACACATGCTTCTTGTTCTTTTCTATTAACACTAGTCCTAGGATCTTAAACCAATTTTAAAAAATCATGAAATACCTGAAAAAAGACTACAAGAATGTGATGTTTTTTCTTAATTTATCTTTAATTGCCTCTTTTTCAGATGCATAATTTTTTATAATTTATTTCACAACGGCTAACTGCCGAAGAAAAATTCTGAAATACTTTGCATATACACACTTCCATTTAATCCTAGAATACTAATGATACGTAATAAAAAAATAGTATTTAAGTTTAACTTTTTTTCCGTCTTTCTTTACCCCCCCCCCCCCCCCCCCAATTAAAATAGCATGATTTATTTTTAATAAAAGTTTATTTTTCTTATCTCTCTCTCTCTCTCTTGACATTTTTTCTTCAGGAAAAATCTCAACATACGTAAATTTAACGTATGATTAATGTTAAATGTCTTAAAAGTATGATTAGTATTCTAAGGTTAACGCTGCGTTTAGCGCTAAATGTAGTCAATTGTTCTTGAACTTTAACGTGGTATGATAATCGATTCGGCTATATATATACATAGTTCGATGACGTCAAAAGCAAGGGAGAAATCTACAGAAATTCCCGTGATGATCTACGTTCTTATAAAAGCACATAGTCTTCAAGAAAAACATATTTAAAAAAATAATATTAAAAATTATGAAATAAAATTGAGAAAAAAATATATATATATATACATATATATATATAATAAATATATATAAATATATATATATATATATATATATATAAAATCTTTTGTACATATATAATAGTAAGATTCTATTCCGGAACCGGATAATCGGATAGTCGCATTTCGTGCTAAACGCTGTCGATGTAAATAGGACCATGCTACTTTATTATTGTTGCGATGAAGCGGGCCTTCAACGGGTGAAAATATAAATCGTGAAAAAGAAATATCTTTTATATAAGAGACACAATTGGCGGAATAATATAATAACACAATAATACAATTGTTTCTAATTTTTCGCGATGCGCGTAGCTGTTGCTTTTATCGCATTTCTTTCTTTTTTTTATTCTTTTGTTTTTGTTAAGAAATTTTCTGGAATCGCATATATAAAAAAGTCTCGAATCGGCGGCCGTTTCACTCGGCGAAAGCCTCGAACGCTATTCTTTTTTCTTCCTTTTCTTTTTACACATACACACACGCATACAGAACATACAAATGTACACATACACGCGCATTCTCTGTTTCTGCCGTTTTTTGAACGTGTGTGTGTGTATATATATGTATGTATATTTTACACATTTGTCGCTTTATTATGCACAGCAAGACGGCTGCTCGAAAAATCCTCAATTACGATTTTAAGATTGAGAACATTATCGGCAACACTTTCTCACTCGCGTTTGCTCCTTGCTTCAATTAAATATTGATACACTACGTGTTTGCGTATGAAATGTCGAATTGTTCTAATCAGCCTCAAACTCATCCAATTTTTAGTATTCTACAACTAAGATTTTTTTAAATTCCATGATATTAGTCTAATTTAATTTTCAATTGTTATTTAAACTCACAAATTTTTAATTTTTATAAAACTTAAGCTTTTACTTTTCTTGCCTCTAATATAATTAATATGTATTTATTTGTGTGTAACATTCTTGTATCTTATTGTGAATCTTTTGACGTTTATATTAATTATATTAAAGAATATCAAGGAAGAATTTATTTATTTAAGAATGAATTGTTTTAAATGTTTAAGATTTAATTATAAAAATATAATTCCAATATGCACATATGTTCCTTTGATTACAATACATATATTGTATTTAATTCATTAATATTATTAAAAACATTATATATTATGTTTATTAATAATGTAGTTAATCATATAAAATTTACAAATGTAGGAAAGCTTCTAATTGTACATATTCTATTTCTTGCTAATAAATAAATAAAGTAAAAGCTTAAGCTTTTTACATACTCATCTTTTATATAGCTGAATGTGTATGCACATATGTTCCTTTGATTACATATTAAAATATTTTTTATAAAAAATAATCTATCTTTAATTCCATTAAAAATTCCTTGAGATGATGTCAGTCTAAATAAAAACAGACATTTCATACGTAATAACGTAATAATTAATACATATAATATAGCTAAAAAATACATTTTTAGATCCTTGAATCCTTAGATTTTTCTTTGTGTTATTTTGATCTGTGTATCTGCATTTTTCATTTACGTAGCTTCAAGCCCTTGGATCTTTCGCCCTTTAAAATCCTAATCTATCCAATTTTTAAATTCCCAAATTTTTCAATCTTATAGTTTTCAATCCTCACATCTCTGGATATTTTTGATTTCTTACAATTAATTTTTCCAAGTTTTTCTTGATTCTTTGGTAGAGTCTTTTAATTCTTTTGAACGGATATTCTATTCAACGTTAAAATTCTAAAGACTAAAACTTAAAATCTTTAAATTGTTCTATCTATGACTCTTCTCTACATCATAGATTACTATACAATAAAATTTTTTAATTATCACACATTGTGTCGAATAATTGCACACTTGTATACATTAATTGATTCTTACATCCTTACAGTCTCGAATTTTAGAATACTTGATTGCAACTCTAATATTTATTAGTATTTTTTCGAATGTGAGCAGATCCATGGATTTCATATAATTCTTTTAACTCGTTTCAATTTTTCGAATACTTATATCTATGGATTCTCGGATTCATGCAGAGATTTGTACAATCGTACATACAGAGTCATTTCGATGGGCATTATTAATACAAAGAGAATTTTACAATACATGCGTTCGCGCACAATAAACGTTTACAAGAAACATCGTTTACATTTACTAAGTACAGAAGGATGGAAGAATTGGAAGCCACATCAAAAATCTCTTCGCATTAAATCTCTTCCTATTTTAAGTAGAAACGATAATCAGACCTCTCTCGAAGAGTTATCGTTATTTCGATAAAATGTTACAAAGATGTAACACAGAATAATTCAAAAATCTCGCTACAATTAATTATGGAAATAATTCGATAATAAAATAATTCGAAAAAAACAAATTTTTTTCCGTACAAGTAGCTTTGTTTTTTAGGAGCATTTTGGTGTCAAAAACAATTTTAATACGCATACATCAACTTTTTAATTTTACCATATCAATTATCTTTTTCCAATGCTTCTTTCAAGCGCCTATCGTATCCTTGAGTCTTATTTTTAGATATTGAAAATGGTACGCGTGATTACTATCGGTTATATTAATACCGTTTCTGAATATGTAACATTTTTTTATATCCAGATATGCATTGCATTTTCAGATTTAGTTCGATATTAATGCTTTTATATATCTGTAATTTCTTGTAACTCAAAGTTAAAAATAAAGATTTTTTGATATTTGCATTTTGGAAATTAAAAAGTCCTTCAAAAAGTAGTCTTTGCATATTCAAATTGTTAGTGTCGACAAAGAATCATTTCCTTATTAGTTGTACCATGATTTTCGATCTATCCTACATTCAGACGTGGAAGAAAAGATAAAACAGCAGACGCAGCCGAGTTTAATACGCACATACATATATACACATATACACACACACTCATACACACAAATACATACAGAAAAGCTGATATTGATTAATTAATACTAACTCACTGAATATATCGATAATAATGTCGTTACTTCAGTGCAAGAATACAAAAAAATGTACATTTTTTAATTAATTTTCTAATTTCAAGAAAAATATGTACTTCTTATTCAAGTCGGCTTGAATGCGACTTCTCAGCAGCGAAAAAAGCATGCAGAGTAAAAAATCTCACTTTTTCTTACATTAGAATAACGACATTAGCGCGGATCTTTATAATATAATAATAATAATAATAATAATAATAATAATAATAATAATAATAATAATAATAATAATAATAATATTAACAAAAGTAAAAGCAGAAGAATAACAATCTGAATCGGTTACGATAGTACAATGCACTTTGTACACTTGTTATGCTCGATTTCAAGCAGCTGTGATCGTTTACAAATTACGCGTTAGTAAATATATGCACATACGTAGGGATATTACCGCCACTTATCTATCGCCTCTCAAACGCTACATATAAATTATTCTAATTTGTTAATGACATCATCGTGCGATTCGTTTCGGAATGGAGCAAGAAAATGTTAATAGTTAATAATTATATTAATAGTTAATAGTTAATATAGATTTTTTCTTCATTCACATAATACACGCATTTCATTTTTTTTTTTAAGAAATAAATAATTTAAGAAAAATTATACAGAACCCAAAAAGAGACTGTATTAAAATCAATCCTTGATCGTAAAGAATTCAATTTTACAGCATAAATTCTTTCCTGTCTCATTTCTTTCAGCTTCCTGACATATTTGATGCACAATAGCGATCATATATCCAATATAATCATGTAGGTATCCAAGTTTTGAGTTATTAGCAAAAGTTTGTTCGTAATAAAAAAAATATTTAAATCATGTATGTGCGTGAAAAATGTATATATGTTAAAAAAGACAAATTGTACCCTTTAATTTCAACAAATAAAAAGATACATCGATTTTAGTAAAAAATCATCTTTATATTATAATTCCTAATTATTTAATCCTAAATTATCAAACCGATTGTTATTTTCTTGCTCCAAGAAAACGAATTATGTATGACGCAACCTCATAGCTTGGAGGGAAAGAATGATATGCATTGGCCCAGTTCAGTTTATCAATATTGGCAACAATGATGTGATCCGTGATTACCCTTGATTAATTGATGGATTTATTCCATTTTTCTAGTAAAATAATAAAACTCATTTAATTTATCATTTATGCGACCTCTGTGTAAAATTTCTCTGTAAATCAGTAAATATTTGACAACAAATTTAATCGACAATCTTCAACTCTCGTTATTATCGTTTTAAATTTGCTCAAATTTTTTTACCAAACATCAGAAAAGAATTTTGCTGCTGGATAAAAACTGAAATTAGTATATTCAAAGAAATATATATATATATATACACATACACACATATATATGTATATAGTATATATGTCTCTAATTAAAAGATTTCACTAAAATAAATATTTCAGAAAGAGCAGAAAAAACACAATTATGTTTATTTAATAACAAGACTAATAAATGATATAAAAATGAAAATGTATATGTTTTTATATAGATATTAAAGAAAATTTATAAGAAAAATGGTAATACGTACCCCTGCAAAATTTCAACTGTTATTGTTTTAAATGCTACATACAGAGCGTCTTATAAAAGGTGTGTACCAGCAGCAGGAAATATACCTAACGTAATATCAAAATGCGATATTAATAAAATGCTTTGCACATTTAGATTTTTCGAATGTCGCGGGACTTGGTCATGCTTTAGAAATATGTTAGTAGTGTACTTGATAACAGCAATTAACAAGTTTAATGTATCTTACAATTGATCTTGCTAGAATATCGTTTTCTACGCAATACAAGATTTTAAAAATAACTTTTGTTACCTGATTCAAGCAATTTATAGTCTATAAATCAGAAGCAAAAGTTTGCACAACTGAATACGCGGAAAATCGTCGTTCCTATTTCTCGGCAGTGTGAAGCGAATAGTTCTAATTCATCACATTTTATTTTATATATATATGTATATATAAATTTGAGCTTTTTCAAATCTTAGATTATATAATGTTTTTGGAAAATAATAAATATCTTCCAAAAAAATTTGAGTTTTTGTTTTAAAAACTGATTAACACTAATTTCCAAGCTCAAAGCTTCTCAAATAGTGAAAGCTTTGGAGCACTCATTTTTTAAAAACAGATTTCTAGATTTCTGTAATGCTTTAATCTTTAAAAAATATGAAAATTCTAGATTATATATTTAGAATTCTATTTTCCTCAGATGCTCTTAAACGCTCATATTTATGATTCTTAAGACACTTAATCTTTGTATTCCTATATTTTAGTATTCAAAACGTTTTGATATTAAATTCTAAAATATTTTGAAAATTTTTATACAAAAATTAAGTAAAATAAAATGTTTTAAACAACTAAAATGATAATTAAAATAAAATTTTTGCATCTTATATTGACAAATATTGATAAAACATATAAATTCCAAATTCTACCTGCTACTGTTACCCTCCTCTTTCAACGTTCTGTAAGCATTGGGTCAGAAGCATTCAAGAACGTAGTCGGAGCATTGATGTCTTCTTCATAATTGGATCTAATTCAATCGAAAGCTTGTGTCTTGATCTGAATAGGAAAAACTAAACGGCAACAAATATGGCCCATCAAATAATTCGGAGCGAGCTCTCTTCTTTCTTCATTCTTCGCGCATTCTCTCTTGTATATCTTCCACATATATCCCTTTTCTCTCAGTATACAATTACTATTATTAAACTTAACCGTCGCTTTTTCCTTTTTCGCAACTTTTCTGCAAAGCAGTTTTTGCTCTCGACGGAGATTCCTGTATCCTTCGCTAGATTCCTCTTCTCGGGCACACGCGTATTATTAATGCAGACAGGAGCGAGTTCGTCGTTTTTGATGCCTGATGCAAAATGGAAGAACACTCGCGCTTCGAAGCTGACTCAGTCTTCGTTGCGTTTCTCGCCAGGAAGAAGGATATCAGCAGCTCTATGTGTCACTGTGTGTCGACTTGGATGACGCGCTTTTAAAATATAGGACATTCAGCCCCGCTTAATGGAGCGGTACTTCCAAAGGTCAACAAGGGGGGGCACTTCGAGGTTCTTCGCCACATAGCAAGTGGCTCACATGGAGCAGTCCCCTCAGGATCCTCCGGAAGGTGCATTGAGCGACAAGACTGGCTGTGTTGCCAGGATTTAGATGGGGCTAGGAAGCAGCCAGCGAGCCTAATCCCGGCGGACTCTGATTACTCTGCACCGCCTGCGCGGGCACCTGATTATAAGGATGATTACTGTTGCACAACACTGTGTAGATATTTTCCACATTGCTGAGTTTCTCGAAGAAGGGGATTAAATCCAGTAACTCGGAATCCGTCATGTCATCGAACCAAGATGCCACTGGAACCTGTAAAAAATAAACGTATCGTTTTTATTTTTAATCGCCCAATTTTAATAGAAGTAAAAATCATATATTTTATATGTATATAAAAAGAAATAATTTTCTTTTATATATTATTAAGCATATCTTACCGCGTTATCTGGATGAAAAATGTAACTGGCAGGACTATTATCTACAATAATGATTTGCTGCAAATCACGACCTAATTTGTTCAAATCCTTAACATAATTCCCTCTATGAAACACACAGGATTCTCTGAATAATCTTGCTCTGAATACACCCCATCGATCTAAAAGATCCGCCACTGGGTCTGCATACTGTAAAACATGACACAATAAAACAAAACATTAAAAACAATGAATATCGAACATTTTCTTTTTACTAATAATAAATTAGCTCCATTACAATTTTTTTATCACAAATATTATTTTTAAACTTCTTACAACAATTAAATTTACACAGTAATCATTTTTATAAAAATGCATTAATTCTTTATCTAACAAGATAATGATTTTATGTAAGATATGTAGTAATTACAGATAGATATATATTTAACATAATATAATGTTTTCATTAATCTTTCATTGGCTAACAAATTAAAAAAATAAATAATTTTTACAAATTAACCATTATATAAATAATAAAACATTGAACATTATGTGTCTCCCAATATAATAAGAACTTTTATAATATTCATTTAAATATATCAACATATAATAATGTAAAATTTGACCATTTTATAAAATCATTAAATGCACAAAATTGTTTAGGATCTCTTTCTCTTTCTTTCAACATACCTTGGCCAAGCTTGCAGTGAACAGTACGCATTCGTACAATTCGCCCATTCTCTGCAAAAACTCGTCCACATAAGGCCTCTTTAAGACGTACACTTGGTGTACCGTTCCATCAATCTCTACAGGAACAACAAAGTCCGCATTGTTGATCGGTTTGAATGAACTATGCACCAGAGTCTCGTCCAAATCGATTACCATGCACTTTTTGTGCATGTCTTGGTGCCTGACCGGCGGTAGGAGGAATCTCGGAGATCCGGTACCCGGTGGCGGCGAGCCACGACCATCTCCCTGTAGAGAACTCGACTTGGAGCTCTTGGAGCTGCCGCCACGACCCCTTCCGAAGCAGCAGAGCAGAGAACGCAGGAGTCCGCGTCCCCTCGGCTTCTTGCTGCTCGATGGACTATTGCTGGCTGCTTCATTCTCCCGAGGTAATTGAGCTACGTTGCAGATAAAAAAAATGTTACAAATTTGTTTGCGCAAACTCACATATATTTGTTCAATCAAATTTTAACAAGCGTTACACTTAAGTCTTTAATTTAAGAGTTACAGTTTACAGTAATTTCAAGTCTGATATATCCCTGATATAAAATTTAATTTATCCTAAGACTCAATTGATGACAACGATAAACTAGGAAGTTTAGTCTACATAGCAATGAGACATTTGCATGTTATATATCACAGAAATGGTATTACTACGATTAACCTTTCGCAGTGAATTCTTTTTGCTATTTTCTCCACAAGATTACCCATGAAGGATTTGCTCGAAGCATGAAAGGTTAAAGGGCATGACAAAAGAAAATAAAGAAACTCGCGACATTGCTTATGAAGAATGGGGAAAGCCCAGTTGACACAGGGTGAAAAGAGAACGGCAATAGAAAGACTAGGAAATGGGACGAGGCAAAATTGCTCCAAAGATAGGTAAAAAGGAGAAATGGTAAAGTTAGACGAGACATGTACACAAATAGGCAAGAAAGAGAGCGAGAGAAAGAGACAGAGGGAGATAGAAACGGCGGGTTCCGTAACAGGTGCGGGGACGACGAAGTCTCCCGGCATCTGGCGGAAAGTTTCGCGAGCGCGGGGACGACGGGGATTGATTACGGGGAAGTGAGCGATACGCACCTTTCTCGCTGTTGAATGCGCCTAGCTCGTCATCCCGCGACACTTGGGTGATAATGGACGATGCGTCCATTTAAACATTAGTCGGTGGTCCCTGCGTGCACGATCGCGAATTCCGTTAACGCGCGCGCGCGCGCGCGCGCACCAGCCGACAGACGGACGGATGGACGAGCGTGCGTGCGAGCGAGTAGAACGGGAGGGAGGGAGAAAGAGAGAGAGAGAGAGAGAGGCGATTGGCACGCGCGTGCGAGAACGAAGGGAGAGAAGGAGAGAGAGAAAGAAAGAGAGAGAAAGAGAGAGGGAGAGAGCGAGCGCGACACACGCACACAAGCTAACCTCACTCTCTCGCTCGCGTCACCCCCCACCACATCACCACTGTGACGTCACTACTGTCGTCGCCGCCGCTGTCAACCTTCCCCTCTCGCTGCCACACAGATCTCCGCGCGACGAATGGAGACGCATAGGCGCAGGAATAACACTCGGCGATGATGACATACACTATTATGTTTGCGTGAAAAACACGTGTATGTACATGTATATATATATGTATATATATAAATATACACAGAAGCACCAGAGCAATTGTCGAAACGAAATACCGGAGTGCCAATGAATCGGGACGAGATGAGATGCTCTCTCTCGCGCGAAGCCACGTAATCACTCGAGCGTCCCGCTTGTTACATACATATACACGTGCGCGCAGCACTACGCCATTCCTTCCCGATAGCGCTCTCCTTTCCTTTTTCACGCCTTCTGCCACACCTATCCCAGTTCATTGCTATTCATTCCGTGACGATGCGCGCTCCTTGCATGTTCTAGGCCGCTCTTCCGCGAACGGAGCAACGGGGGCGTATACCCAGGTCGGGGGACGGCGATTATTCCGGTATGGGTGCACTTTTACGACGCGCGCAACTGCGACGTATCAAACCTGGCCATGTTGTCGACCGCTTTGGCCTTGAGCCACGAGAGTCTACTTTTCCAAGTGGATTGACGTTCCCAGCCTCATCCTTGCGCTCGCGAGGTCTCGATGTACAGAGAGTTATTTACGTCGTGCGCGCACATAACTCGCTCTTCCTTCTTCTTTCTCTCTTTTTGAAACAACACTGTCTAAGCAACCCTTTCGCTGGTTTATAATTATTACGTAACTTTGAACGAGTGGCTTTAATTAGGTACGCGCGATGAAAAAGAGGGAAAACGTATCAACATTCGAGACATGTGTGTTACATCAACAACCGCGACTTGCAATTGTAATTGGACAATCTATTCTAACGTGAAACTCGTGTCGCGCCTTAAGCTCGTATCGCATCATGCGTTGGAGATGGAGGTTGAAGAGTAAAAATTGGACCAATCAGGATGCAGGGAAATTTTAGTTACTTTTCTTCCGATTGGTCAGATTTTTCTAATCTTCGCGAGTTAAAATCTGATACGAGCTTTAGTGAATCTTGCATTAGAAATGAGATTCATAGATATATTAAATAATATGTAATATAATATATAATATAAATATATATATATATATATAATATTAAATATTATATTTAATATATTTATGATGAGATTGCATATTTGTATAAAAAAAAAAATTAAAAAATCTTATTTCAACCACCCAAAATAATTGCAATCTATGTATACAGACCATAAAACTCGTATCAAATTACTATTTCAATGGCGTAGATCGGAATTTGTCTAGTCGGTTAAATTCTATACATATACACACTTATTTAAAAATTCATATTATATAATATGCGTAATCTGATATAAATTTATCTTTGAATAACAAATTCTGTTTAACTTTTCATTCAACTTTTTATACATAAAGAACATCAATTTTCCTCTAATTCTCCTATCAAAAAAGAATTCAAAGAGTCAATAGAGACATCTTTATGCATTAAAACATCAAGTCTTTTCAATCACTTTATATGCAAATATATATATATCTTTGAAATATATTAAAATTTTCCAAGAATTAAATGATATGTGCAACAAAGTCAATCAAACGTGTATCTAAAGATGATCTAAATAAAAATAGATGCCATACTACTGCTTTTTTTAATACATTACATGCGAGATTGATTATATGCACATATACAAGTTTGATATTATATAGTATATAGTTAAGAAAAGTATTTTTATGAATTTAAAATTCGTATAATTAAAAGTAATTAGTTCGTTATATTTTGTCACGTCAACATTTTATCATTAATCTTGACAAATTTGTACATGCGGTCATTTTAAAGACAGCTTTGATATCAATAAATAAATTTATTAATTCATAAAAACAAATTTTTATCTATAATTGATTATCTATGTAAATGATTTCCAATCATCTTTGCAACTGTACTGTTTTTAAACATGGCTGGCCATACCTTCTTTCAGCTTCCTGAAGAAAAGCATTCTCCATCTGTCTTACAATCTCGTTGAAAAACAGATTCGACAAATGAGAATAAATGGCAGACTTGAATTCAAAAGACAAGGAGAAATCAATCACGCATGTTTCCGGATTGTTTTTCAATCCAGGACTAAAATGCCACAGCGTATTCAAGTGTTCGAACAATCTGCCATCTCTACATTCTGCCTTAACTATCCTTGGATATATCATAGTCACCTTTGAACTATAACTTTCGTTTATAGGTGGGAATCCTATTACTAGATTGGCCTTCAGGAAGTCTTCGGTTTTTAAAGTAATTTCAGATTTCTTGCAGAAGGGTATAAAATCCTTGTAATTTCCTACATCAGCGACCACATAATACAGTTTCTCCATCGCAAACCTAAATAACAAGTGGTGTATTAATTTCTGCATTAAGATATATAATTTACAATAATAAGTAAAATATATTAATAAGTAAAAATACATCATAATTTAAATAAAATAATTTATAATAAATATGAAACATGATTTAATATTATTCTCTAGAAAATAATATAAAAAAACACAGTAACAATAAAAATAAAATGTTTAATTGTATAAAAAATATTTTTAAAAATTTTAATATTTTAATTCTTATTACACACACCCTACTAATTTGCGACCTTCATACTCTTTGGTTTTATAACTTGCTCCTGTTCTGTACATTCGCCACAAGCTCTTCTCAAAAGAGTCACACTTCCATGGCAGTGTCAATTGTTTCAGAAAAACTGCATGCCTAAATTTTATTTACATACAACTGAATAATAATTTGTTTCAAATTTAATTTAATTTTTTATCAACATCGTCTGAAAACAAACATTTGTTTTCGACAGAAGAAATTAACTCCATAACTTAAACTGTCACACAATAAAATTTCGTCAAAGTAAAATTCCGTGAAATTACCTGGACATGTCGAGTATGTAAAATACTCGATTCTGTTGTGATATTTGACAATTTGCATTTAGTTTTGGAGTGAAATTATAACCTTAAAATTTGCTTTTTGCATATTTCAATGTCATCTTGTTCGATTATTATTGTTTCTAATAATATCTAATCACGTGTTACATAATCACTTTTTTTATTCATACATGTAACAAATCTGATAAATATATTCGAAATATTTAAATTGTTACACAATGATAGAATAACCAATAAATCGTAGGCGTAGAATCGCAAGTGATTTGAGAAGACGTCATATATATAATTAACCTCTAACTTTTGTCACTGACACGTGACACTTTACGTTTTAAATATTATGACAAATTTTATTATTCTTTAATGGAACAACAATAAGCTATGAAATCAGTTTGATATTTAAAAATAGTATTTGAAAATAAAATTAAAAAATTAATTATGAATTATATTAAAAATAAATACATATCACACATGTATAATCAGTAAATGTATAATTAAAATTTTTTTATTGCACGCGTAATGTACATTTTGCTATATAATTGTAATTATAATAATTCTGTTTATTTTAATTAGCCAAATGTCAAATGTCAAATCTAAATAATTTTAGCAATTTTTAATTTGGTACTGGCATTTAAAAGTTATGGAGAATTCAGTGTTGCCACTGTTGTCGTCTAGAGATTTTCCTGCACATGCGCGATAAATATGAAAATAATAAAGTATAGAAACAGATAGAAATCTAGTTTGAAAAAATAATTATACATAATAAATTTTTTTGAATTATTTAAAAATTAATAAAGAAAGTAAGATAAAAAATATATAAATACTATTATAAATAATAATATATATTATTAATATTATAATAATATATAATAATGAGATATAATAATAAGTTGCATTTGTTTCAAATTATATTTTTAAAAATACATTTCTAAAATATACACTATAATATTATAAAATATTATATAAAATTGTAAACATAATATTTTTATAAAAATATATAATACTTATTCTTATATATATAGAAATCTACACATATACATGTATGTTAAATTCACTATAAATAAGTCAAATTATGTTGATTCATGATCGTTATCTTATTTATAAGAAAAAAAAGTAGTCTATAGTATCTTTTGAAGCAAATAAACATGGAGGGGATATTCGACCTTTCAATCACCTTCGTTGGAAAAGGAGAGAAAGAGAGAGAAGTATGTAGTAGCTAAGTATATATAGGATATTGCGTGCTACTTCATTTTTCGCTACGTGCATGAAACGTGGTGTGAAATATATACGGTCCATATTACATTCCGAGTGATATTACTCTTTAAAACGTGTCTAAACGTTAAAAAAAATGGTTGAAATAAATCCGGAAGCACTTAAAGTGTTCGGCTTTTGGGGCAGCATATTGGTTCTGAAACTTCTGGCCATGAGTCCCTTGACTGCACGACAGCGATTTAGGAAGAAGGTAATAAATCAAATAATATATGTATATATAAATAAATCACACACATATGATATATAAAACGTTGAAATCTCTTTTTTCATTATTTTTGATTATATCTATTTAATAAATAATTTTTTATATATGTTTGCGATAATATTTTAATGTTTTCTTATGTAAGATTTAATAAAGATAAATTCACGAAAAGTGACATTACAATTAAAATTTATGTAATTTATGAAATTGATATGATTCTAATAATAATATAAATATATATTTTTCTTGAATTTTTTCTTTAATTTAGTGAAAAAAGAAACAGATGTTATCATATTCTACTCTAAAAGTGTCTAAATGTTAAATTTTATCACACAGAATGAAATTGATTTGTAATTATACTGTTACAGGCATTTGCTAATAAAGAAGATCTTGGTTTTGGCAAAGAGAAACAAGTAAAGCTTGATGATCCAGATGTGGAGCGTGTACGAAGAGCACATCTTAACGATCTGGAGAATATTTTGCCATGGTTCATAATCACGTATCTGTGGTTAAGTACTGGACCTGCACTATGGTTGGCTAAAATATTAATACGAACGTTTGTACTCTCCCGTATAACTCATACCATTTCATATGTTATTTTTCATCAACAACCTACAAGAGCGATAGCTTTCTTTGTTGGAATTTTAATTACTGGTTATCAAGCATTCATCACATTGTGGCACTATTCCTAATTTTATATACAGGGATAACTTTTGATCATTTTTATATTAAAACGAGCATGATAATAAAAGCATTTATAGCATTAACATTAGTTGCAGGGTTGTTTAAAATAATACAATGTTTTAATATTTGATAATGAAGTTATGTTTGTTTTATATTTTTAAATATATATTTAAATATACATTCCTAAAATGTTTGATAAATGATAACATATATATTATAAAATATTGTATAAAATTATACATAGAAAATATTTTTATAGTATATAAAATATATAATACTTATTCTTATGTAAAGAGATTATGTATGTACATAAAAATTAAATGTATATGCTATGTCTCTATGAACAAAATGAAATAAAAAAACTCATCTTATAAAGCTCATACATGATAGTTAATTATTCTAATGGCATTGAATAATGTGAATATCATTGCATTTAATCACGAGTCTCTTAAGTCTTTTTCTCTTGTACTTATGTTTTGCACAAATAAAATTCATATCTTCTTGAAAAAAAACATGACTTGCATGTTGCATACCCAGCAAACACAATATATAAATGTTATATACTTAAGCATGTTACATGTAACGTATATGTTAGTTGTAATTTCCCACTCATAGATGTAACATTTTTAATATTACATATATTACATTGTAGTTATATTATCATTATATCCCAAGATAGCACTGACTTATCAATACATCAATGTGCTATTTGGCATATAATTACAATATAACTACAATGTAATATATGTTATATTAAAATGTTACATCTATGAGTGAGAAATTACAACTAACATGGATGTTACATGTAACGTACACGTTATATTACCTGTTATATTCCGTTTTATTATAGCAATGTAACAATTATATATTGGTGTTTGCTGGGTATATATACATCTACTTTGTAATAATAGTAAATTAGTGAACACATAATTAAATAGTCGCGTGGCAACTCTCCAAATACCCAATTATATAAATGCACTTGAATAAAAAAAAAAAAAATTTAAATTAAAATTAAAAAACCTGAAAAATAAATCTATAAGTTACAAAAATACGAATAAATATCTCGCTCATTATTGGAAAAGAATTTTTTTTATAATTTCCAAAAGTTATCTTTTTCTCAACTATAAACATACAAAATATAGATAAAATATCTGCTCATATCGGCAAAGGAAAAGAGGAATTCGGAGATATACGATATACGTCAGCGCGGGATGCATCGGAATGCGATATTCTTCGGTTCTTTTCAGACAAGCTCGGTTCGCTCGGCCGCTCGGCTACTTGTGATTGGTAGATTGTTTTCGAGCAGCGCCGAACCGCCCGACGTTTACCGAAGTTGGTATCCCCTCTCTTCTCACAAATTCTTCCCTCTCCGAAAAATAAGCCTAATCTATATATTTATATATCTATGGTTTTCGTATGTTTTCATCGCTAGAGCTTATTCCGGTTTGTGTTCAAAGTTCAAAGAGTTCACTGATTTAACCTAAATATCTATACACGTCAAACATGTCATTGAAGTGTCAGTCGAATGTCATTGAATATCAGGTTATGTTTAATCATGTGAGAAAGATCGGTATCCTGTATATGGATACATCAATGTAAATTAGTAAATTACACTTCTAATATTAGGAGGGTGGAAGCAACGAGGTTCCACTTGTCGTTCGACCTGTCAACCGACTAGAAACATATACGTCGATAAATACGAGATAACGCGTGGATTATACGCAGGTATTATTGTGCGTATCATGTATTTTTAATAATAATCGTATCATATGGTTCACGAAATTGTTGTGTAACACATTTTACTTAATTAAATTTGATGTGTTTGATTGTTTGAGTTTTTTCTCGAGTGGATCTTAAATTATGTGCATTTTGAGTAATTTTTTATCTATATTTAAATATTAAAAAAATAAAATTATAATATTTTAAAGCTATTGACATTTCAATCATAATTATTTTGATTATTTTGATTTTCGAAATTTTTTTTTGGTAAAAATGACAAGATTATTTGCGTGCACTTTTTTAATCGATATTTTTGTATTTAAACTTGATATACTATATTAAGTTATTTAATTGATGTTTAAGATTTATATTTAATTTAGAGAATGAATTACAGGAAAAGGAGAGTGATCAAATTCTAATGTCAATTATCAAAGATATAAAATGAAGATGGAGCTAGACGTGACAAGGATTGTATTAAAATTATGGCTACTAAATGCTCTGATGATGAATCATTGCAGCGCAGCAATACCTTTAAAGGATCATTTTCAAAATCTGATAGGTGGTCAAGGCTTGTATAATGCTACTGATGATGTAGTGGTTCTTAATGCCACAAACTTCAAAACGAGCGTTTATGGCAGCAGCAGGAGTTGGCTAGTCGAGTTTTACAACAGCTGGTGTGGCTTTTGTTACAGATTTGCGCCAACTTGGAAAGCTCTTGCGAGTGACATTCTTTGTAAGTTTTTTTGGAACAGTCTTTTCCTTAAAGAAAAGATTGTTAACAGTTTAATAAAGTGATAGTATTGAATTTGATTAGAATTATTATAAAATATATAAATAATAATTAGAGAGAGATTTTAAGATTTGAAGATACTTAATAAAATATGAGTTTAAAAAATATTTGGCAAATATTTCAGCTTGGAACGATATCGTCGTAGTTGCAGCGATAGATTGCGCTGACGATGACAACAATCCAATCTGTCGCGAATACGAGATCATGCATTATCCAACGTTAAAGTATTTCTCGGTGAATGCGCATCCACCGTCTTTAGGTTTAGTAATAGAAAAGGAAGACAATATCGATTCGGTGAGGCGTAACTTGATTAGTAGACTTGAGACGGAACAACAGGAAGGACGAGGATCTACATGGCCCAACATCACACCATACAGGTATATAAATCTTCCACATTCATTTCCTAGACTTCTTATGGCAACTGCATTACAAGAAAAATATCTATTACAGAAACGTCGAAATAACGGACATATGGAGAACAACATCCAGTAGTGTGAAGTATTTCTTTTTCATTTTCGAAGGTACCGGTTCCCCCTTGGGCACGGAGGTCATTCTCGATTTGCACAGAATTAACAGCTTACAGATACGTAGGGTGACCTCCGATAATGAACTGTTATGCGTGATGAACAAGGTTACAAAATTTCCGACTTTGATAGCCTTCGGGCGCAATGAGTCGCAGAGGGTCGTTAATGTGAGAGTATCATCCAGACAGGGAGTGCGGCGGGCTATTAAGGATTACGTAATCACTAGAGGAATTAACATCGACGAAACGATAGGCACGACGGTGTCTCACGATACAGTACGAAATGTCGAGAACGCGCATCAACAGACAACAATTGGTTCGTCTCACGAGGAACAGGAGGAGGAACAACATTCGTCTAAAAAGACCGACGATTATTTATATCAACTTGATCTAGAGAACGCGTTGCGTTATTCGATGAACAACGAGATATCCCTGACCAAGTCGATAGACGGCGAAAAAATGGAGGCTTTGCGAAAATACCTCGCGGTGCTGGCGGCATATTTTCCCCTACGACGAGGCAACGCCTATCTAGAGGTGATACGCGACGTCGTCAAGAGCAGAACCACCATGACCGGCGAAGAATTTAGCCAGTTGGCGAAGACGACAGAGGAGGAGATGTCGCCGGTGTATTCAGCTCTGCCTCATCAGTGGATGGGATGCAAGGGTAGCGCGAGCTCATACCGGGGATATCCCTGCGGACTGTGGACCATGTTTCATATGTTAACCGTGAACTTCGCTCTAAAACCGAGCAAGGTTCCTCACGCGGATTTCTCGCAAAATCCCGTGGCGGTGCTGCGAGCAATGCACGGCTACATCGGGACGTTCTTCGGTTGCGCCGACTGTGCTGCTCATTTCGTAGAGATGGCCAGCAAAAATAAGATATTCGACACGCGTAGCAGAGACGAGGCCATCCTCTGGCTCTGGCGGGCGCACAACGAGGTGAACGCTCGATTGTCGGGTGATGCTACAGAGGATCCAGAGCACAAAAAGATACAGTATCCCGCGGCTGAGCATTGCCCGGTGTGCAGATACGCTAACGGCAGCTGGAACGAGGAAGAAGTTCTGCAATATCTGAGAACCAAATATAGCTATAGCAGCATCAAATATGATGGAATCAGCAGCTACAATAGCGATGTTGGCACGATCAACGCAGGCAACGGTTCAAGGGTCAGATTGGGAAGACTCGCCAAGGAGAAACACACCACCGCTTTCGGCTGGGACTTGAATGTATTCGATATCAGTATCTGTGTAGTGCTGTACGTTACGTCAGCCGCGATACTCGTGCTCGTATGCATTAAGTTTGCTGTTAAGAGGTCTAAGAAGAAGAGTCACATCAGTCTGTTACTTAAAGCGTGATCCTGTCTTCCTTGTACACTTTGTGCAATGCATAACTGTTGTTGTGCAATATTCCTGGACCAGTAAGCGTTATTTAGACCATCCCAGTTAATATTTTAAAAACAAATCGGTAAGTCACCAATTTTCAGTTATAATATTTTATTAAGTTCTCAATCAGATTGAGGAAAGTTACACTGTTGAAAATAGTAACAAAACAATATAAATTCTCAAACAAAAATAAAAATAATAGGCTCACATATTAGCAGCAATGTATTCTCTTTCACGAGTTTTGGAGAAAAATTAAATTGTCAAATATGTAATTGCAAAATCGATCCCCTTAATCTTTCTGAACTTAAGAACGTTATTATCTTTTGTCTTAAAGATTAATCCAAAGAATATTTCTATCTATTGTTGATTTCTATAATTATTTAAGTCAAAGATGTAAGAATTAAAGTAATGCGTCGCATTTTTTTAAAAAGAATTTATTGATCGCATAGGTAAAACAACTTAAAATTGTTCGAAGTATGACCCTTCTGCGTCAATACATTTTTGCCAACGCGATTTCCATGCGTCATAAGATTTCTGGAACTCCTTGACTGGGATGCTGTTCTCGAAGTAGCTTGTACGTTGTCAACCGACTCGAGCTGTTGTCCTTTGAGCTCCCTTTTCAGCCGAGGAAATAAAAAAAAGTCCAAGTCGGGAGTAATTGCCATTCAGGTAGGCCGTATCTTTATCGCATAGCGTTGCTCTATCGTTCTCTCCATCACAAGTTCGATTTCACAGTAAGCCGTCCTAACCCTCCAAGCGCATGGAAACAATTGAGCGACCTACCGTTGGAAGCTAAGGGTACCCCCCTTCCTCCCCAACCGGTCCCATCGCTCTGCGATGTATAGTCGCGTCTACGCATACAAACCCTGTATAAGATTCGCCTAATAACATATAGTCAACGAAATAAGAATAAGTTAAGTATATATATATATACATTCTCTCTCTTATGAAATAAAAATACAATTATTTAATATTATTATATTAGTATTATAATATTACCTCGTTTCATGTGCAGATTAGTTGCCATCAAATAAAATACTTATTTTTCTCCCAAAAACTTCCATAAATCTATCCGATGGCTTTTTTAAGATGAAAGTGAGATAAAAAAAAAGTATGTGAGAAAAAATAAAATAATTGTGTCAAAGAATTAAAATGCTGCCAGGTATTCATATAAACCCACTGTAACATAAAATAAAGTTTTTCATGAAACGAGGACATCTGTACACAGAAAAATACTCTTGCCATGTTGTTTGGCATGTATTTATATAGTGCATTTATAATTGTCATGAAAGTCCTATATTATCGAAAATTATGCAACATATAAGATGCTGACAGTTCTTTTTACTTGATAAACAATGTGCATCACAGCTGAAATCATTCTGTATCAAAATTGCATCATATATATTATATTAATTATATTAAATTATATATTAAACCCTAAACAGTATAAATAATACAACTAATTAATTACTACAAGATATAAGAGAAAAACGAATATAACAAGACTGTTATTTTCCTATTTTAACTTGTAGCTTCCAAAACATTTGCTTGTCCCTTCCTTTTATATTTTTTTAATTATTTTTATACTTTTACAATTTTGTACCGTTTAGGGTAAATTGTTAGATACTCCGACAAAGAGAATCGATATATTGGTGTATGATTAAATATTAAACGAGCAAAATTATAAATTATGTAAAGATTATAGTCTCTAGCTAGTTTTTGTAATTGCGTTTGAATAATCAGAGAGATAGAGTAATTGGTTGTGATTTCAATATTTGGATGAAAGTTTGATCTTGGATAATATTCTGTTTTGTAAATATATAGACTGCCAAGAAGATTACTTCTTTATTGATTATGTAATTTATAAGCTTTCATCTTATACAAATCTTTAAAATATGATGTACAATCAAATATATATTGTTGCTGTGTTTAAACACAGTAATAATCAATGTATTTAATAAAATCTTTGTAAATGAATGTTAGAGTTTCCTCATCAAATAAAATTGATGATAATTAAGGGAACCAGAAAAAACTTAAAAGTTTTTTATATTCATCCAATTTTAAAACGGTGTACACAAGAAAGAGAGGTACAATTAACATTTATATATAATTACAGATAATTAATATGTATATACCGCTTTAGATGTAGTGTGAAAGAATTATGTAATGATCTGTGTGCAAAATTTAATAAAATAATATACTGTCTATTAATTACAGATATATAAATCTTATTTACAATTATAAAGAATACTTCAATATATATAATATATACAGTATAAAATATAGTAAGCTAACTGGTAACTTTAATTTTTGGTTAAAAAAGTGATTTGTTCGATTGTTGAATTAATTTTCACCATCTTAATATCATTAAAGTATCTTCGATAAATGCCTGTATATCAACACATTCTGTTCAAACACAATTTTATCAAGAATCTTATAACAATTCAATCTTTCTTTGAACACAAGTTATGCCACGAAACCCCATCGTGAGGTAACTGCGATTTAATATAAGGAAGCAGCCATGCCAGATACCATCGTTCACCAAATACCTCTCTAACATTGTCCTTCCAACCCATATCGTACGTAAAATCTTTTTATTGCTCTCATTACCCACGACACCTCTGAGAATCAAATTAAAGTGATAAATGCACAGCACTCCGGTGTACAAAGTACCCACTAATGACACGACGTACAGCAACAGGTAGAACTGATCGATGGAACTGTCAAAGCCAAAGAAGAAGATTGCTACAGGGAAAATCATCTTGACGATGGACATCGGGAACTCGAAGGCGGTTCTGCTCCAGATGAAGAAGCTGCCGTAGAAGAAGGCGTACGCCGCACCGAGGAACAGATACCACAGGAACATGACGAAGTATCGGTGATTGTGATGGCCCACGCAGCAGCCGGTGAACACGCAGTGATGGTCCCGTTTAAGGATGCAGACGTCGCAGGTGTTGCAGTGCCAGGACCTCGGCGGTGATAGACCCTCGCAGATGACGCACAGCCTCCAGCCGTCCGCGGCCCTTGCCGTGCTCACCGGCACGATGCACCTCTTGGTGCTGGTGTCGCAGAGCACCGTATACGTGAAATTACCTACGATATTCAACATGATGAAATTACCGAGGACGAAGTGGACGGAGTACGGCAATATATCGTTTCTGTACAACGCCGGTAGCACTATCCACAATCCGAACCAGTACATCAGAGGCACTATGATCAGCACGAAGACCATCGACAGCAGATCGCCCAGGGTACGTGGCCCGATCTTTTTTCGGACAATCATCCTTGCGCATTCGATTTTTTATAATCTTTGTATTTCTGTAGAAGCGACGTCTAATGTTTACTTTGATTACGCCATTTTAAAGCGTGTCGTCTGCAGACGCACGTAATTACACTTTCTACACTCATTTCGCTTTTTCTTTTTTTCTTCAATGATCTAATTATATATTTAATATTTATATATTTATATATATAATTTATATATATATTTTATATATTATATATTTAATTTTTATTTAATTATATATTTTATTTCGTTTTAGCACGAACAAATCTATAGGTTATCAGAACTTGAAGTGTAGAAAGCGTACGTGACACGTGACACGTGACATTTGTCATTGCGCAGGCGCGAATCTTTGGTTATCGCGACGCGATACAGCTATCAATCAACAGAGAACGAGTGATAAAATTTCATATACGCCTTTAAAGAAATTAATTCTTTCTATCAATCATCATTTAATTCGATCTTGTTTTGTGGAAAAAAATGACGGTTGTAAGTAATTGAATATTTCTGGAGAAAAGTGTTTTTTTATGTTTGAGGTTATGTGTGGTTTTATCCCAAATCGCGTAAATAAAAAATACATATAAATCTCTATACAAATCCTTTTTTTATCGTATAATTCACAAATAATACAAATTTTTGTATTATATTTGAGTAATGTAAAAAAAAGAAAAATAAAAGTTTTAATCATTATACATGAGGAATAAATAAATAAATATCTCAATAATTCTCTTTATCATAAAGTTTTGTAATAAATATAAAGCAAACTTTTATATTCTTTCTATTTCGTTATACAAAAGCATTAAGTGTTTCTTGTTTCTCATATCTTACATACTTGAAACATTTCATCGTTAACTCAATTTCCTTTACTTGACATTATTCTATTAATGTGACAATTGAAACAAATTATATATAACACTTATTAGATTCCTCAAATTATTTGGAAGCTTTTTTGTTTTTAGGAATTGAAAAAGTTTCTCTATGAATTATTGAGCAATGTGGAAGGCCTGCATAGCATATTAATTACAGACAGAGATGGAGTGCCTGTCATATCTGTAGCCGATGAAAAGGCACCAGAATTAGCTACAAGAGCTAGTTTCTTATCTACTTTTGGAATGGCTACAGATCAGGGAAGTAAATTGGGTCTTGGAAAAAACAAAACTATTATATGCATATATAGTAATTACCAGGTAAATATGAAAAGGATAATTATTGTTAGATACATTAGCAGAAATAATTTATATTATACGATAAAAAATGCATAAAATATTTAACTTTTTTTACATATAATTAATAATTGAAAATAGATATATTAAGATATTTATAGATAAATTTATATAAATTCTTCTGTGGAATTATTTTTATTTATAAATATAATTTTATTTTATATGATGTTTTTTAATTATTGTTTTGAAAAATTTTAAAAGTCTTTTTAACTACTTTTCAGGTAATTCAGATGAACAAGTTACCATTGGTTGTTAGTTTTATTGCTAGTCACAATTGCAACACTGGCCATATATTATCATTGGAAAATAAGATTGATCCTATCTTATGTAGTTTAAAAAATGCTGTAGTGGAAGCCTGATGGTTACCTGTTGTTCATTATGGGTGATAAATGTTGAACATGGACCTCAAATTTGTGGATTGTTGTAAATATTACATAAGTAATGTTTATTCTACATTAAGCAGTTTTTTTCAAGGATAACAGGTCTGTTTTCACATTTTTATATACTTTCTTCTTGTGCTTTTTCATAATATTAAAAAGCATTATTTTGTATCAGAGAAAAAGAGAAATAAGAGTTTATTGTACATACAAAATATTTTAAAGTATAGCAAACTACACTATAGAAAAGTTCTTTTTAAGGCCTTTAGAAATGCTTTTGAAATTAAAATGTTATTTATTCAAAGAAAATGCTGTAACATATTTTGTTTTATAAAATTATGTTACCATAACTTGTTAATTTACGAATTAAATAACAAGAAACAACTGAGATATTGTTAGAACTTGCTGAAAATTGATAGATAAATAAGAGTAACACAATTTTTTATTCTACACAGCATCTTTAATAGACATATTCTAATGATGAACTAAATAATTGAGTTTGTTAAGCGAAAGATGTCTAAAAATATTTGAATAATTCATTTTATATCAATAAAAGTTATATATTTATTAAACTGCCTAAGTAGTGTAGTTAATAATTATAAATAATCAAATTGAAATTAATATTTGTCACATTTGTGTGTATAATCTAAACATAAGAATTATGGAGATTATTATTAATTCTTAGATGGACTGATTAGCTATCATGGTGGATACCGGATTCATTTAAACTCATAGTATTTCTAGTTGTGTTATTAAATAAAAAATAAAGATATCTATGTTACATGTTTTATTAAAAAGAAAATACAAGTAGAGTATAAATAAATAATATTTGTTTTATTTTACATAAAATATTTCTTTTGTTCTTTACATGAGCTTAAAAATGTGTTTTAAATATTGCAACTTTGCCTATATTTTTATTATTGGGAAAAAATCTGGCCCGGTATCTACCAGACAAGAATTAAATTATATATCGAGCAGAGAGTGTTGATTTTTTTCTAACTGAATACATAGGTATATATTTTTTTCAAAAATGTATTGTTAGAAAAAAAGCATATATAGGCAAAATTATACGAGAAAAATGATTTATTATAAAGGATAAACTAAGGGCTTGCCCTCAAGACCATTGAGAATGTTTTGTGCTGCAACTCTCGACATATCGTTGCGGGTCTTGATTGTTGCGCTGCCCAAATGTGGTATAATTTCTGCAATTAGATAAAAATTAAATAAATGATAAAATTGTTACTATATATGTGCATGAATTATATAATAGACAGTACACAAGTTGTACAGTTTTATATAATATATACTGTCGATTATGAAATTAGAATCTTTAGAAATTTAATTTCCTAAATTTTTAAATATGTGATATCTTAGAATTTTAGTCCTATTTATTTCCGTTATATTTTTAACAATCTCATAGTAATTGATCGATTAAAAAAGGACAAAGCAAACTAGTGAGAAAGAGAATAAAGTAATTACCTGCATTGGGTAGCTTTAAAAGTTCATGATCCGGGGGTAGCGGTTCCGGATCAGTAACATCTAATCCAGCAGCAAATATTTTCTTGTCACGAAGAGCTCTTACAAGCGAATCGGTATTGACAAGTTGGCCACGAGATATGTTCACAAAGATTGATGTTCTTTTCATTTTATCGAAAACACTGTCATTAAAAAGTCCTCTAGTTTCGTTAGTCAAGGGAGCCGCGACCACAAGGAAGTCACTTTCCTTTAAAAGATCATCGAAAGATACAAATGTTGCCCCAAGTTCATCACCTGTAAATCATGTTATTCATTTTTATACATAAGATGTCTTAAAAAGTTTCCTCTAAATAACATTCTTATAAATTTATGTTCTCGAATAATGAAAAGATTTTCGTTAAACAATAATATTAGAGATTTATACAATTATTCAGCGATTTATATTATTAAAAATCTAAGGTAATTTTAACGTACACGATGGATGGATATAAATCCTCTTGAGTGTATATTACTATTATATATAAATCTTTTAAGATAAAATGTATAATAGAATTGATAAGGAACATAAAAAATGCCATAATTAAATTTCTTGTAGATATTGGATAAAAATATAGATATGTGGGACATTTATACATTGAAAGAAAATGTAATTCCTTTCTAATATGTGTATGTATGTATATGTGTGTGCGAGCGCACCTGCTTTCTTGCGCGAATGTCCGGTATAGATAAAGCGTTCCACTTCGAATCCCATTAATCGTTTAACGATCGCTTGACCAATATTTCCTAAACCAAAGATGCCGACTGTCGAGCCTCGTAAATCCTGTCCCAGTAACCACTGTGGTCCCCTTTCACGTTGACCCCTTTAAATTATCATGCACATCTATTAGCACGCTATACTATAATTCTATATAATTCTATACATATTTTTATATTTCTATATAATTTTATAATTCTATATAATTATATATAATATATATTTCTATAATTTTATAGAAAATGTTAGAAAATACAATTTTAATTAATTAATTAAATTAATTAAATTGAATAATGATTCAGACATTTTCTATCGAATTTTTCACGTAGAGAGATTTCGATGTCAATTATAAATTTACAATATAAAGTGAGAAAATATCAATTACTGTTCCAGTATCGTGCGACCTTCATAAGCACGTCTCGCTGCAGCTAACATTAAGAGCACTGCTACCTCCGCAACTGCAGCCGACAGCACCATTGGCGTGTGTCCGACCTTGATTCCTCTCCTTTTAATTTCCGGGACGTCCAAGTGATCGTAACCAGCCGACATTGTCGATACAACTTTTAAATTCGGACCTGAAGAATTAACATCTTCATTTCTAGCTCGGTAAAATCTTTCAAACAATAATTATAGTTCAGTATATTATTTGTTCATATCAGGATGTTCCTGGAAATTGCTGTTGAACTTCACATTGATATATTTTAGTTTTGTTAAAATTTAAATGGATATATTTAAAAAACGTACAGTCACTGGGATTTTTCGAAAAGATGAAACAAGAAAATTACCGGCGATGTCCAGGAACTCGTTGTTGACTTCATGATGACTGGCGAGGAAAACGGCATCGTGTCCAGGTAGAACCTCTAGCACTTGCTGTCGAGTGCTCATGATAGCTGGTATAATAGTCAAGTCGCATCTATATCAGTAAAGATAAATGATAATGATAAATGATATATGTATGACATATATATTTTTTAAACATTCTATAAAATTAAAAATTACTTTGGTCGAAGCAAATCGATACCAGCTGGCGGCGTTTCGTTGCTAGTAACCAAAACACGTGGTAGACCGGTTAAACTCATCTCGCTGTTTGTTTATAGATACAAAAATGATATAAATAATTCAGAAAGATAATATACATAAAATCAGATATTTCAAGAATATACGAAAATAATTCTCAATAATATATAAAGTGACACGATAATTGAAAAAAAGTTTTTCTTTTTGAATATTTTTAATATCGAAAAATGGAGCTCACCAAAGTAGCTTCGACCTCAACCGCCGCATTAAATTTAGCAAACAGCTATATTTAGTAGTGTACGTTTTCACCGCCAATGTATAACTGCTGCTTGTTCATTTTCTCGAGTTCCTGATATCTTGAAGAGATTAAAAAATGCGAATGAATCAGCATAAACCGGTTTGTTGAAGATAATACGATGATAAGATATAGGTACATATCTTTTGTTACACTTATTGAATATATAGTTTTAATATTCACTTATACGAATAAATTCGCATTTTTAAATTAATTGTAAAATATTGTGTGAAAATCTATTTGTGTGTAAAAATCTTGCTGATGTCAAATGCAAATAAAATTTGAGAAAAAATAATAGAAATAAAACGTTTCGTACGTTTACTGCAAACATCGCGCGAGATGTAATTTAATTATATATCGATTGTACATTTATATATCGATAAGTTTGTGGACATCGATTGGTCATCGAATAGGGAATTTTTAGAATTTTTGATAGAACTGGAGAAATTCTCTATTCAGTAGCCAATCGGAGGGTCTGATAACTGTTCTTGTATAAATCTATATACTAAATAGTCGAAGGTTTACGCATTCACGTGCTTGAGTTTTTTTCTTCGTCAGGTGAAAAAAATGTGGAGAAATGATCGGTCAAATGTAAACACACACACGCTTTAGATTTTATATAACATATTATTTAGACATTGAGATTCACATCGAAAATAGAAATCAATAATCAATTATTATCACTGCTATAAACATATAAAATTTGTCTTTTATTGTACTTTATAAAGTATATTAATTACGGTAAATAGCAGTGTATATAGAATTTTATAAAAATTTAAAAACGTTATTGCGGACATTTTGAGTAGAAATAATAACTTAATTATAATCGTTAGATACGAGTGAAAAAAAGAGTAATTATCTATAGAAGTATTAAAATCAAGAACAAAAAAGTTATGTTTTTTCGAAGTTTTGAAGAAACGCTGATTGAATAATAAGTGCGTATGTGTATTATAAATATACATCATAAACATATTAATTATATACATAAATATTATTAAATTTTATTATATATGTATATATATATAAAATATATTTGTTTTTTTAAATACATGTTAATGTTACAGATCATACAACGGAATTTTTCATGCTGTGTTTTAATTGCATAATCTTTGCAAAATGAAGTGGATATCAAATTTAGATAGAAAATTTGTAGTACCTATTTTACTTGGCATATCTTTGACAACTCTTGGTTGTGTATCTCTGGCAATCTTATATTCTGCATTTGAAAAGGTAAAATTGTATTTTACATGTACAATTTTTTCATATGTTTTTTTTCTAATAACAAATCTGATTGTGTGAGAGGTAATAAAATTGATCTCTACTTTAAATATAAACTTATCTATTAATATTACACAGGATGATGAGACAAGAGATGATAATGATGATACGAGATCTCGTCAGATAGTAACATCCAGATGCACTACCACATTACAATACAAAGTGCCTAAGCAATATGCAGCTGCTGTAATAGGTAGAGGTGGTTCAGTGATCAAAGATATACAAGATAAAACTGGCACACATATTCATATGAATAAAGATGATATAGATTCTCCATATCGTCTCTGTATCATACAAGGAAAAGAAATGGAAGACATTCGTTTAGCAGAGTCGATGATCAAAAACATAATAGAAAATCAGCCTATTATTGAGACCTATGAATTGTTAGTGCCATACGAAGCTTGTGGAATAATCTTAAGAAAAAGTGCAAATACTGTGCAAGAAATACAAAGATCTTCCGGTGCAAAACTCATACTAGAGACTGGTGCTCATAAATCCGAAGGTTCTATTTTAATATTTTCTTTCATAATTTGTATTAATTATAATATGTTTATTTTTTTATTAATTACAGAATTGCACTATACAATTATTTTATTTGGATTAGTGTCTGTTAGTTTTTATTATAAATTTTTTTAGCATATTAAGAGCTCATAAAATTTTTTGTGTTTATCCATATAATAATATTTGAATTGTATATATTCACAATTTTGTTACAATTTTTGGATTTATAATGTTTTAAAAAGTTAAAAAATCGATTCCTATTTTCTCTATTTTTAAATTCGTGAATTTTGTATATTTATAATATACAATATTTTAAATCTGTAGTATTTTATTATTATTTATATATTATATTTTTATATCTATTATATTTTTATACAAGTACGTTTTTCTGTAAAATCTATTAAACTTTATTTTTAACTACATATATATATATATATATATATATATATATATATATACATATATATATGTAGTTAAAAAAAATATATATATATATATATATACATATATATATGTAGTTAAAAAAAATATATATATATAATATATATATATATATACACACTTATTATTATATCACATATATACATATATAATGATGATAATGATGATTATGTCAAATATCTGTTAATAATTTTTGTAATAACCATATTTTTTTTATAGCTGGCTGGAAAAAGAGAATAGTAATAAAAGGAACTGCCGAGCAAATAGCATTAGCTGTTACTCAAATAGAAGATAAAATTCGAGAGGAAAACGAAGCTCAAGCTCAGCTGAAGTGTGAGCAAACGGCAATTGCAAGAGCGCCTAGACTATCTCCTAGTAAAAACACTGTTAAAGACACAATGGACGATCAACTTATTGAATCTTATGAGTTATCTGTACCCCACAAAGCTTGCGGAAGAATTATAGGAAAAAATGGAAATACTATACAGCAGATACAAAAAGTCTCTGGTGCAGAAATTGTAGTGGAGAAAAATGTTTTGTCTCGAGGTATTGTTTTATTTTAACGTTTTATTTTTTATTTATTTCATTAATTTATTTTTATTTTATTGTCTTACTGTGACATTACATTTTATTAAATTATCTCCTATTAAAAACTATTATAAATTTTAAATTCTTTAATAAAAATTCACTTGTAATTATTACTATTTTTACATTAAAAACATTTGCCAGAGTTTATAATAACAATTGTTGTAATAACTATGTATTAATTTCATTTTTATAGACGATGAAAGAAGGGTATTGATAAGAGGAACTGCTAAGCAAATAGAACTAGCTGTTACTCAGATAAATAATAAAGTTCGAGAGGAAAACGAAACTCGAATTGACTTGAATGATAAACTCGCAACCGTTGCGAAAGAAACGTCATTATTCGAATTATCCTTTAATGATAATGTTAATGTAAATCTTTCAGATATTTCGGAGATTTCTTTATCAGACGGTAAAGTAAAACAATTTTATTTTCATAAAATGTCAATCGATTTTTTAATTTTAAATTGAGTAAATAGTATTAACCATTACTCAAATAGAAGATAAACTGGAATTATATCGTTTTGTTAAAGTTTTATTAATTTGTTTGATTTTTGCATGCTAGAACTAATTTTTGTTTTTAATAGACGATGTAACGACAATGGAAGTGTATGTATCTGCGGTGGAAACACCGAACGTATTCTGGATTCATGTGGTTGGTCCCGGGAATACTGCTTTAGATGACTTAGTGTCCAAAATGACAGAATATTACAATAAAGAGGAAAATCGTGAATTTCATATTTTAAAAAAGGTAAAAATATAAAGAAATAAAAACTTTAGAATGTCATACTATAACTTTTTTCTTACATCTTGTAAATGCTGCAGATATTGTAAAATCTAATGTGAAATTATTTCGAATTACCATTTTTTCATTGTGTTAAGTAGTAAGATCAAAGTAAATAATATAAAGGATAATTATGTACATTATCATATTTAAACGTTTGCTAATTAATTTTAGGTAACAGTAGGTCAAATGGTAGCAGCCAAATTCAGTTGTGACAATAAGTGGTATCGCGCGGAAGTGATAGACATCATAAAAGACTCTTATGAGATTTATTTTGTGGATTATGGAGATTTGGAAGTCCTTTCAATAGACAACGTATTGGAGCTGCGTACGGATATGTTGAGTTTACGATATCAAGCTGTGGAATGTTCATTGGCGAATGTGAAGCCACGGTAAGCCGACTGATTAATAATTCCAGGGTATACACTCCCGGGAGAAACTTTGAAAACCTGGTATTTTCAGTGAATTTTATTTCATCTTGAAAAATCAGGGAATTTGATTAAAATTTCAGAGAATTTTTTTTTTAAATTTCCCTTTTTATAATTTTACATTTATTTAGCACGTAAGAAATATATATCTAACATATCTTTGCAATATTTAAGTTTTTATTAAAATTTTATGTGATTTTTTAATTCACGATCTATTTCAGTATCAAGATCTTATGTAACTTTCATTAAAAAAATTGTTCAATTTTTTAATAGATAATATTTAAATAAATGAGTACTTTTTATTTATTTAATAAATAATAAAATAAATAATAACTTAATAAATAATTAATTTAGATAAATAAATATTCCTTAAGACATTTATAATAAATTTTTGTTTTCTATTTTTATTTTATATTATATTCTTGCATATATTTTTAACGTTTAAATATAATGATATATCGCAGTTTGTTATTATCCAAATTAATTTCACAATTGATAAATATATTAAATGCTAAAAAAACTGCATTCTTGATAACTTTCTAATCGTATAAAAAGAAAAAAGCATATATAATAAAGGAACTTTCAAAAAGCTGTATCTATAAATTTTCTTATTTTAAATTTTAAACGAAAATATCAAGAAAACCAGAGAATTTTTTTTTACAAAATTTGAGTAAACACCCTATAATTTATGCGGTTATCGATCGACTTTAATAATGATAAATGGCTATTATTTTTAGAGAAAGCGTGTGGAGCTCCGAAGCTTGCGACACGTTCGCCGAACTCGTTCACGTAGCGCAATGGAAAAGCCTCACCGCTAAAGTTAAAGGCTATAAAGAACGTCCACTCAGCTATGGGAAATCTCATGAAGGTTTCAAGGAATCAATTCCTTGCATCGAGCTTTATGACAAGAATAAAGATGGGGTGAGGAACGAAAGAAATAAATGATGAATTTCTTCTAAAACTTTAAATCTGTTAAATTTTTTTCTAGCTATATTGCTTTGCTCTTTTAAATGTTTTCTAACTTCCGTAAATCTGTTTAATATTTTTACAAAATATATCATATATTTTTATGATCATACGTTTTAATCTGTTTTGAGATCTCCTTTTTCTATTTTTTTTTACATATATTCTTCTTTGTAAAGGATTTTGTAATAACTTGTTAACGTTTAATTTCTGAGTTTACACGCGAATAATTGCGATATGTCGCAAATGCTAAAGACTTACCAAATTCTACTGCGCATAAAAGACGCATACTGCTGGTAGATGCAAAGCGTAGATAAATACAAGCGACAAAAGAGAGAAAGAAATACAATTGTATCATTATTCACGTTATGTTTTCGTCAAATAATAATTTTTTATATAAATATATAATTTTTATATAATTTTATACATATTACGCATTCATCAAAAAAAATTAAGAATGTAGATAGAATTAATTTTGAAATAATGTACAATTGAACAAAGAGAGCATAATATTATGTGTTATTTGATTTATTTAATATTTATATATTTAATTTTGCTTTATAAATGTTTTTTTATTGTTTCCTTTGCAGATCATTAATATTAGGAATACCCTGATAGAGTTGAACATAGCTCAATTCGAAGAAGAGGCCTCTTTGACCATGAATTCCACGTTATTACCAGATAAGCACGATCTTCAAATGTCTTCCGCTTTGTCTTCATCGTCGACTGAACACTTTTCGAATGACTGTCGCGGTGAAGCTGATTTCACTGCTTCAAACAGTAAAAACTATAATTAATCAAATCATCAAATTTTTAAATAGGCGGTAACAACACTAATTAATTTTATTGTATTAATCATACAGATTTTTTATTAGAGATTCTTCTTTTGTAATTTTTTTATGTTAAAAGTCTAATCTGCTTGTATTTGACACAGGGATTTCAAAATGAGATATTTAGCATTAAGTGCGTATCATGATGAATCTATGAGAAAACATTATAATTTTTAAAATAAGTTATAATATTTATTTATGTGATTTATATTTGATATTGATTTTCTTACACAAATATAAATATAAGCAATTTTGAACAATCTCAAAAACTAATTGAAAAAATAGACATAGCAATGCCGGTAAAAGACTAAACAAACATATCTTTCGTTGAAATAATTTGTTGTAATGTTGTTACAAAACTTTATTATAGAATTATATATTCAGATAGATATAGTAATGTTGATTCATGAATAAGGATTAAAAATGATAAATAGTCAATTAATTGATGAAGATAATCTTTTTCTTTGAGATTGTAACTTTTATTAATTTTCTATTCAAATTTTTTCATTCTTAAGTTATTTTCAATCTTGATAGTTTTCGTAATGTCTTCCTTAAACTGTCATAGGAAAAAAGTTCCTTCGATATACGTACTTTTCATATTATGATCTTCATGTAAGGTATAACTCTTTTTAACCCATTCGTGTTGGAATTACACAACTCACACTTGTGCCATGAAACAACAATATGATTTTTGCAGTTTATTTTTTAGTAATCAACATTATATTTAAAATTAAGATATAATGATTTCTATGTCTTTTGTTTTGTACTTAATTTTTTCCAAATGTTAATATATTAAAATATATGTATTAACAATGAGATATATATATTATTAATATTAACATTATATGGATATTAATATTCTAAAAAATACATGTACATACATATAAAATACATGTTTTAGTAATTAAATTGCAACAAAATTTTTAGCGATTATTTTTTAATGAGATATTGCTTTTAAGATATTGCTTTTTGTTATGAAATACGCTTTTTCTTAATATAAAATGTAATCAGTGCCTTCTTATAGTAGAAAAATTATATATCTTAATAATATTATATTTTCTTTGTTATGCGTCTTTAATCATTGACAATAATGAAAAAAATAACAGTGTAAAAGAAAGTAAGAATACCTCATATATATTTTTATACTATAGTTAAAAGCGACTAAACGATTGTAAGCGTGTAACAATTAGAAAGAAATTATTTTTTGTCAATAATGTAAGCAGAAAAATAAATCGTTTTTTTTTTCCTTTTTTTTTGAAAAAATTATTGCTTAAGACGTTGATAAATCACTGAAATAGACAAGCAAGTCGAATATTGAATCCAGGAAGAAAAACAAGCGAGCGAAAAGAAAGAATGATCGAAAGTTTGATTGAAGATTGAAACTTGAAAGTATCGAGGCGTGAATCGAGGAAGAGAGACATAATGATTCTTTTTCTCCGAGGAGGACTTTTCAGCAAGACCCATTTCAGCGGCTCGCGGTCGACGGCCAGCTTTGCGACAATTGACTCGCGACGTGATAAGCATGGTGCAAGAAGTAGCCAGAAGTAATTGTCGGTTCCTCCCCAGAGAGAGACTAGAAAGCTGTGGCCAAGCAAAACGTATAAAACGCCAACGACGAGGCCCCTCACTTTAGTTCGACGAACTGAACTGCTAAACTTGCTTTCAGTTCACGAGAAGACGATGAATAATTTGGTAAATAATACATTTATAGTTTAATTCAATCGCTTAATTTTTCTCTTTTATATCATGTTAAATCAATTTTGAACAAAATTTTGTGACATTAATTTCTTGATAACAGGAAAAATATTATAAATGTTAAAATATTTAAGTACAATAAAAGCAATGAAAATCTTTTGTAAAAAACAAACTAGCAGAATTATATTTCTAATCTTTAAATTAAAATTTAATTTTTTTATAACACACTAAAATATCTAACAATTGAAAAAATAGAATTTTATAATAAAAGCATTGAAATAAGAATTATTTTCCACTCTATATACAATATTTAACTTTGATAAAATAAAATTTAATGATGAAAAGAAATAATATAAAAGAATTAGTTTAAAAAAAATCACTTCTGACAAGAAATAATTCAGTATTACAATAAAGGGTTCTAAATACAATTGGATGTTTTTTGGTATTGTAGGGTATTACATTGATGTTGCTGTGTGCCGTTTACGGCGCACTAGGAGGTCGACGCTACATTGCAATTCCCGTGGATGGTATCGAAGGTATCGACGTCATCGAGGTGAGCCCAATCACGTCCTCGAGGGTGGCTCGACAAACAGAAGCATACGTACCGGTTCCTGTACCCAGCGTCGTTCATCAGGACGACTCGAGAGACCAACGTTCCGAGCGATCGGCCACGCGTGTCCTGGACTACGTCGACTTCGGGGGACAGACTGGCTCCGACGGAGCCTTCAGCTGGTACGCTGATTATCCAGCTCATCATTTATAATTCCTTCACTTCACTCGAGGCGAAACAAAAGTGAAAATGCAGAACGTCATGGGATATTCATCACTAATGTAATAATTAAGAGCAACGTATAATTGTACAAAGATAAAGATTCTACGAATGAAATGTAATGGAAAGTGTGAAATGTTGAAAAAAAGATTTATAGTGATAACGAAAAAGACAAAGTTCTCTTCGAATTTTAATCGAAATAAATTCGAATATCTAAAGATTCGAGAACTTTACAATATAAAAAATTATAATATGAATCAACAAATTGTTTTTTAAAACCGAAAAGGCTGACATCGATTCATGAGAGTCAAATATTCAAGAATGATAATGTATCTTACATTGTAAGCCAGTTTTCTTTATTTTTTTCGTATTTGTTACAATACAATAAATAGTGAGAGGGTTTAACATCTCGTCGTTTTTACGTTAATATTATATTCAGCTAGATATCCATGGATCTAAAAATTCAGAGAAACGCATCGATCGGTTCTCGCTTGCGGTTCGAATAAATCAGATCCATCGATTAAGACGATAAGGTACAGCCTCAGGATATGATTATTTGTATATCTTTGTACAGCCAAGTGTAGTGCCCACACTTTACATACGCGTGTTCCTTTAAAATGTACAGAAATGGATGTATATATACGTAAAATACATATACATACGCGTACATCAGTACTCGAGACATCGGAGATATGCTTTACCACATCAAATTAGACGTATCAAACATGTTTTACAGACGTCAAATTGTCGGATAAAATTCTGAATCATAAATATCGAGACACGATGCGGCGTATGCCTTCAAAATTGGGTCTAATTTCACGTGGAAAAACACTCTCGATGCCTGGCATACACTAAAGCATTTGCTCATTGAAAGCTCGTAAGCAACACGCGAAGATATTAGGTTGATAACAAATTTAATAGTATTTATTTCTATAGCACGTCTCTTTTTTACGAATCCATTTTTATCTCTATTTTCTTTAATTCCAGTCAAAAATACGCACATCGAAAAAAAGTTTTATATCATAATCTTATTTTATATTGTTTAAATTGCACGGAGTGATGGATAGATCGATGTTAGAGTAATTGCCTGGTAATTTAATTGGAGCTTCAATCAAATGATCTTGTATATATCTATAATTTCTATTTTTTTCTTCTTTTTCTTCAATTGCCTTTTTAATTGATATTTTAATATAATAGAATATTTGTAACTCTTTTATTTAATTAACTTTTCTTAATGTAACACGGCGTCAGATAAGTTTTAATTCGTAACAACGAGATTAAATCTTTATAATCTGCGAAATCAGAGATATATGAAATATTCGGGACAAACTTGAACTCGAAATTGCTCGAAGCTATCCAATCACCAGATAAATACTCTACCACTTTATCCAACGCTTCTTACTTATGACTATGAAAACTTATGAAAATATTTTGTGCCACATTCTTTCGTGTCAAATAATCTAATTAGATTGGGGCATCCTGAAGGAATATGCAAACTTTTCTTAAAGAAAAGAATTTGAATCGACATTTAATAACAATAAGAGGAATAGAATGTCGGCGATTATACAACGGAGAAAATAATCCGTTAAGTACAAAATTCTTCAACGAGAATTTTTTTTTTCATATTGTTACAATAGTGTGCTCGGAATAATATGAAAGTTTTCTCGATGTATGTATTAATAATAATAAGTAATCGTAGTAGCCAAAATATAATAAATCTGTCATTTTCCTTTAAAAAAGGAACACAATCTTTCTCTTAACAACTTAATGTTATAATGTCACAGCGTAAACATTACAAGTCTATTCTTTTCAGCTGAACTGGCTGTACTAGTTTATAGTTTATCTTTTTTATTCCACATCGAAAAGAAAAAGATAAATTCTGGAATAGTGCAGCCAGTTCAGAGTTTATCTTTTTTACTCTATATTAGAAGGAAACCGATAAATTCTGAACTAGTACAACTGAAAACAACAGACCTATTATCAAGTCATTATTGAGATTGAAGTACAATCGCAATGCTACGCCATTCCAAATAAAAGATCAGCGTTCGCTGCACATAGCCTCTCGAATTATCATTCATAGAAACGATATTAATTAATAATTAATAGGTAATTTTGATTATTCTTGCCAAAAATTAATCAGCGGCTGATGTTGCTTTTATCTTCCAGTTATAGATGAAGATGTAATTTAATTCCCTCATTCCCAAATTCACTGTTCAACAAAATATATTTGTTCTTATCTTTAGAGCGTAACACAATACTATATTTACTTCAAAGTTATATAGATCTTTATATACTTGTTTTTTTTTGGTATATGATATCACACATTGAACATTGTGAAAATCATTTTTGCGATTTGTACATACATCATGTTAATGCGAGTAGGACGACAAAAGTTTGCAAAATTTCATGGTTTGTCTTTCCTTCTGAAATTTTAACAAGTTTCGATTTACTCCTCCGATTGCATTATTAGAAAGGCACACCATGAGACTTCGTTAATTTCGCTTCCTATATATAAGAAAAATATTTTATAAACAATTAGGTACAATGAGACATATCGATATATGGTGGAATTCGTCACTAGTAGTGATGATCCATCCATTAAACGTGTTCTCAAACAGAAGAAGCTATAGTATAACATTGGATGAGTGTATGTATGTACGTATATACATATAGTGCGTGTGTGTATGTTACATACATACATGTTTTATAGTATTACACCGATATATGATACAGCATTTATTATTATATTGGCGTCCAAAATTATTTTTTTTTTTAATTTTGATAATTTTAATACACACGTAGTTAAACAGCTATACAATTCCGTATGGGGATGAGAGAATTAATCGACAAAGATTATAAATAGTCGCATTATCTCTGGTTTGAATCTAACCAGAGAACTGGCTAACTCCAATATAATTTGTAAATACGACTTACGTGTGCCGAATTTTTTCTCTCTCACTCTTCATCACTTTCTTCTTACATCGTGTACTGGGAGAGTAGAATACGAGGAGGGACCAGGGGAGTCGGTGCTTCGGGTCAAGTGGTACACCAGGCGAGCACCACCTTCTTGAACGGGACGAAGATCGCACGATCCGGCTCGCTGTTAATGACAGACTTATTCTTGATTAAAGCTGAGACGATTGGAGCTATCAGATTTTGAAGAGGAATGAAAAGGGAGAAAGAGAGAAAGGTAATTATACTAAGGTAATTAAAAAAAAAAAAGAGCAAAATAGATATATTTAATTTTTATAAATATCACCCGTCTGCATATACTATTCATAATACTATTCCGTATTTTTAGAAATAATCATAAGCTTACCAATCGAAGAATCTCCTGCCGTGAAAAGTACCATCAGATGAACCATTAACATATGGCAGCTCCACGCCTACGTGCGCGTCTTCTCGACCTGGAACTGGACCTACGTATCTCACACGACCTTGAAGGACCCTGCCCTCCGGCGATATGACCTTCACAAGATGATCTAACTTGAGATCTCTTGGTATCTGAAAGATTTTACGCAAAAATTTTGACAATTATAATCTGAAAAAAAAATCTGTCTTGTAGAAAATAATTTAAGCGCAAGAATTTCTTCGTTCATGAATATAAAATTATCAAGATAACGTTACCTTTGGCAAATATGGCCTGGCATCTTGAGGGGGATGCCAATCGCGAATTAAGTCGGGCTCTGAATGTCTTCGTGCCCTTCTTCGCCTCGCTGTTTGCTTGCTCCAATAATCCGTGTTGATACTCGATATCGTCAGCATAGAATCGATACTTCGCCGTAAATAATCCTCGGCTTCGTCGATCAACGATTCGGTGGAATCCCCGCTGTTTTCACCGACCAAGTCCGAACGCAAATTCGGCAAACTACCGCGCGTCATTGGACACTCTGAAAATTGCGGCCGTCCTCTTTACTATGAACTTATTTTGCGAATAGAGAACATAAACTTCTCTCTCGTATATTTGTACACATGTATTCCTCTTTTTTTCCAGAACAGTTGTATCTTAAATTCACTGAGAAAAAAACGCAGTGAAGACAGAAGATATATATATATATATGTACATACCTTGGAAGGTCACCTTTGATCGCGTTCTCTTTGGTGCAGTTTTCGAAGTTCTAGAAGAGGTCGACGGAGGATGCACATGTGTCGGAGAGGACGGCATCGAGGACCAGGTCGGACGTGGTGTGGAAGTCGCGATCGGAACCCTCCATGAGTCGAAGGACGCCGCCGTTGCTCTCCAAGAATGCCTCCGCGGAGGACCACCGACAACCTCGAGATTGGGCGATGGTATCGACGTCAAAGAGCCGCGATATCGCGAAGGATATAGGTCGGTCGAGAGTCGACAGTCGCAGGGACTCGGCAGACCTGTTGCGGGATTGCAACGCGGCCAGTATCCTGCGGGAGAGCCCAGGGACTCGCGTCTATGGATTTCTGGTGTACGAAGACCGTAACCGCGTGAGTTGAAACACGTCTAAAGAAGAAACACGATTGTACTGTCTTTTCAATCACAGATTCTTTAGGAATTTTTTTTTCTTTCGAAAAACTTTAATACGTAGCAATGTATTACATATACTCTATTGTTCACTTTTCCGATTAATTACCTGTGCGTGTGGATCATGGCACAAGTGATCCGCACTTCTTGATAACTCTGGTACCATGCTAGTGAAACTGATGTCTGATAACATTACTCTTCTAGCTTCTCGAGTTTTGTCCGACAGCCTCAATCGACCGGGTACACCTGTTGGAAGTGCGAATTTGCTCGGCAACGTCGTGAAGGTATGCGCGACCTTGTGGGCCAGATAGCTTTCGGATCGCCATTGTGCTGGAAGCGCGGAGATGTCCGTCTGGGCGCCGGATTCTCTTCGGGCACCACTGCTACGGTCCATCACGGGCCGCAACGGAGCAGAGCTCTTTCTACGACTGCTAGCCAGAGCTTCTCGGTGAATAATGGGTCTAAAAGGACGACAAAATGGTAATTATACATCTATCAAGCCAACCTTAATAATAAGAAGTAAAGATATGAAACTTTAAAACTATAATTTATAACAATTTCGATTAACCGATTGATAATAATCACTTTTAAGCTAGAAAGTGAACAACATAAATTATATCGCAAACGCGGTTTATACATTTTTTAGACACAAAGTCATCTGTAAGAAAAACAAAAATTGTTTCGCAAAATTAATCTTTCAAAGCAAATTGTTTAGTATCAAACGAACCTGTAAGTTGTCGGCGGGGCGGCCAGAGTGTTTCTTCTTGCGACAGGTCGCAAGGACGATCCCGTTGAGCTCTCGGCATCCTCCACTATGCCGCACTTGCTGATATCCGTCTCGACTAGGACGGAACACTGCGACCACATCTTGTTGAGTCTGGTGCTGGAACTCTCGTCGAACCTGTCGACGCTCTCCTCGCGATCAATGCTGGAACTCTGGGAGGAGACAGCCTCCTCGACAGAACTGGTTTTTTCGCCGTTACAGACCAACGACTCGTTCTCCGTCGACTTTGTATACTTCAGTAGAACAGGCTGGCCTGTTCCGGCGCTCGCATGCTGCCAGGACTCGGTTTCCGTGATAGATACGAGATCCTCTTGCAGGCCGAGATCGCGACAGGTCTCGTCTGTCGTAAATATCAATTCGATGTCGTCCAGCTCCTCCGATTCGTTCTCCGAATGTTCGTTCGGTCTCGACGAATCGCCTGCCTGACTCTGGTTGCGCGGTGCCTGTGGTTGATCGACGTGATCGCTGAATACGGAATTGTCACCGTCGGAAATAGATTTCAAACTCAAGTCCTCGGTATCTTTTTCAGGAACATCTAAGTGGTCCATATTGACCGCATCGCCTAGAACAATGAATTTCTCTTAAAAGACATATTTGACAATCACATCGTTTTTTTCCTTTTTTTTTAAATAGAAACATGCCATATTTTTTTACTTTTATATCCGTGACTGTTTTCACAGAATATTTAATCAATAATTTTATTATATTAATTCATTAAGGAATCAGCTAATTCTACCTGAAATTTCTTGAGCCTCTTCCTCGTTGCTAGTTGCATTCGTTGTCAAAATCGAGGGTTTATCATTCTCACTTTGAGCAACGTTCAGCATCGTAGATGCTGCCTCGGTAACTGTCGAGCTGGTGGTGCCTTTGGTAACTGTGGTTTTCGAAGATTTCGATAAAGCTTGAAGTCTAGCACGAGAAGACAGATCGGGACTCTCGTTGCCGCTGCTGTTACTGCTGCTGCTATGTCCAGAGGCAGGTTGATTGAATGTATCCGGAGTATCAGCGTCGACCTTTTCTTTAGATACGTCCATAGTTGTTTTTGCAGAATCTGTTGATCGGCTGTTACAGAGAAAAATTCAACTCAGTTAATTCGTCGACCGAATCCTCATCCGGAAAGGCTTCATCTTTCCTGTGCTGGCAGTGAAATGAAATCAAAATTGTACTCACTCCATACGAGAGGCCTCCTCTACGAGTCGGACGCGTTTCGACTGAAGCGGCGAGCTGGTCGTCGCATTGCACGAGAATTCGCAGCTTCCGCTCAAGATTCTTCGTCTGAGGACGTGATTCTCGAGAGCCAGACGGCCCACTGTGTCGATGTAGCTCTCGCTGGAGAAATCCCCGACGGTCTCCTGCAATCGGCGAAGCTCTTCGCGCGATGAGTCCAAAGCCGTACGCAATGACACGATCGTCTGTATTAATAGGGATAATTTGTTATCAGAACAAGTCTCATCTCGTCCAGGCATGTAGCAAAATATAATGTTTAGATTAGATAAATCCGCAATAAGAAAGCGTCATGTTTTAAAAGAATGAGAATGTTCTTAGAACTCAATTTGTAAAATTATAAATTTCTTAAAATCATATAAAAATGATATATAAATAAATAATTATTTTCGACTATAAACTTCTTCCTAAATAAGAACTGTAGAATTATATGAAAAATAAAACTTGAACTTTTATGAGTTGCCATGAAACGATACATTAATTTTGCATAGATATTAAAATTTGAATGTTTAATAAAAATATAAAAGATGCATGTAAATTGAAAAATGCATGAATAAGAAAAGAAATTATACTTGATGTAAGGCTCTTATGACATCTAATCCGGGTGTTCCCGCTGATGGCACGGTGTCCTTGAAGAGTCTCTGAAGAGACGGTCGGCCAGCTGTGGCTTCCATGCCTCCACCACCCCATCTAATGTTTCCAAATTGGCTCTACTCCCGCCACGGATCATGCCGAATTCTCTGTTATCCTTTGCTATTTCTTTTTCTTTTTCTTGACTGAAGAAATTCTTGTCTTTTCTACGCAAAAGCTTGCAGCCGACTCAATTAAACCTCCTCATATCTCTTTGTTTCTCTGCAAATAGGATATTGATTTTTCAGAAAACATTGATATCAGTCATTAATGTTGAAAATATTAATTAAGCGTCTTTATATTGATTTCCCATTTTTTAACTATATAGTTTTTCATCAACTATTATTTTTTAATGTTTGAACGTATTTGCTGTTATTTTTAACAGAAACATATAATGTTATATAAGTAAATAATGTAACCATCTTTTACAAGCTCTATAAAAGTTTTATTACTTCTCCCATATATTGTAGTTAAGACTCCTCTGATTCCTTATCGCAATAATCATATGGATTTTCAAAAGTGAGAAGTCACAAATTTTTTACAGTATATGTCAAAATAACTAATTCTTTTTTACGTATCGTCATGTTTGATAATTAGATAAAATATAAAATATAACAAATATAACTTCTCTTTAAAGTTACAGATTAATAAAACAGATGTTAAACTTATGTATAATGTTATAGAGTTTATTTGTGGATATATTTGCCAGATGCAGACTAAATTTAATAATACACAATTATAAAAAAAGTTTCAAGTATAAAATTGATCAATATTTAATAAACAAGAATTTTGAAGAGAGACAACAGTTGGATATAAATACCTGGTATATAATTATTCACCATTAATAAACAAAAAATATACACGCACAACTAATTAATCAATAAAATTGCTTATAATGACCAAAAATATGTTTCCAAGAAGGGTGCATATTTCTATTAATATACTTCGAAACAGGCTGATATAATAAATATATACCGTTGGATTGTAGTCAGAGAAAACTGCTGGAGGTCGTCGCCGATGGCGACGACGAAGATGACGGTCGATGACAGTCGGTCTCTCTCTCTCGGCGAGGATGACGATGATCGATCCCTGGAGAGGCCTTCACATGGTGACATCGGCGGGCACCGAGAGACCTCGCGATCGAGGATCGCGCTCGGCTCCGAGGGCGGCCGAGGACGTCGACGGAGAGGATGACGTTCGACGCGAGGGCACCTTCGTCGGTCGGCGCTCAGGGCCAGGGCGTCGTGCGAGGCATCGCGGCATCGCGCGCCTTCGCCGTCAGACACTCGTCCGCCGATTCTTCGAGTCGACAACAGAACGGGGGGGGAGGGGGGAGGCGACGAACTGTCACTCGCTGTCACCTGTCACTCGATGCAGACGACGGCTCGCTACGACGCGAGACGCTCCGCGGTCAGGACTGCCAACGTCGGGCATCGTTTTCAGGCTCGCCACGCGCGCCCTCATGCAAGTCCGCCTTGAGAAAGCGTAATTTGAATTTCTCTCCTTCTCGCGCCATCAGTTTCTTCGGAAGTGTTTGCGAGGAAGGACGGATCGGGAGGATCGAGTCTGGATTTTCATCGAAAAGTGGCCTCGTCTCTCCAAACAAAGTCGGAAATCATCTCTGAATCGAGGTAGGCAATTAATTAATCAACGATTAGATATTGTTTTGGATATTATTTGCGATAATTATAGAAGAATTCTTTCTAGGAATACTTTATAGCAAATTTATGTCCTCCTTCTCCTCCCTTTCTCCCATTAAATTGTATACTTGAAATTATTTTTTATGCGTTTACACATACAAAAGGTGTTATATATATGAGCTCTATAATAAAATAAAATATATTTTTCCAAGAAATAACATCAGAACATCGAAATAGGTGAAGATATTGATATATATATCTTAAACGGATGATATTTCGTTTACAAACATTTAGAAATACCATCGAAAGCTGCTATGTACGGAATTATTTACTCTCTTCTGTTTATAATTAAAAAAGGAACCTCTCTTTTGTTTATAAATAAATGTAGTACATATAATAATATAATATCATATATATTTTAATTTATGTAGCAGATTGGAAATGACTTTCAAAATATTTTTCCACCATTAAAATTATTACCGTCGATAACGTCGATCGCGCTGTACTTGAATTTTTCCCCGACAGATGGCGCTGCTATTCGCTCTTGGCGGTTCACGCTCGAAGTGACGATTCTGACGTCAACAGCAGAGGAGAGAGACGTTTGATAGAGCTGCGAGACGCAATATTGTTACGCGCAGCGCCGTCCTTACACGAGTCCAGTACCCCGAACGAAATATATATTTCTCAAGAACTCGTCATCCATCTTCCTCTACAAATCTCGAGGTAAAAAAATTTCAATAAAAATTCAGCGAATATCATACGAAATACCCTGATTTCGACAAAAAGATCAAATGCCGAAAGTAGAGCACCGCGCTCTACTTAATCGAGGTGCGAAATCTCTCTCTCTCTCTCCTAAAATCTCATATTTATTTATTTTCTGAAGCCGGCACTGCACACTCGCGGCCTGGCGTAGTGGGTGGGGGATAAATTGGCCGCGCGCGGCGAGTCGTGCCTCGTTGCACGCATCAATCGGGCGCGCGAGCGAGAGAGCGCGTCGTCGTGTCATGCGGTTAGTGCTTCTTCGCGCGGGCGTCGCGGCTTCTCTTCTCCCGTTCTCACGCCGCAGCTACGTGTTTTCGGCGCGCTACGTCACCGCGGACGAGATACATATTGTATCGCGGAAACGGGGCCCGATTTAATGGGCGGGGTCGCTGGAACGAACGGGCCATGGAGCGACCTCGACGGTGTTGAGTCGAGGTGCCAGTGGTGAGCTGCCGCGGCCATCGCCGTCGATATACCCACGACGTTGTCGTCGTCGTCGTCGTCGTTTGGTTTGAGTTTTCCAACGAACACGAGCGTTGTTGCTGTAGTGTCTCACGCCGCCGCGCGACTTTATTAAATGGCGCGACTCCGAGCGTCAGCATCTGAACGCCTACGACTTATGACGTCGCTTTGACGAGGAGAGGGATCAAGATTTGCACGCTTTATCTCGCCGCTCCAAAGGTAGGCATTTTTTTTTTTTTCCTCGTCCAAATGTCGTGTCGCGTGCGTCTGTCTACCTCTTTTTTCTCTCCCTCTCTTCTCCTTCCTTCTCCCGCTGCTACTGCTCTCTCTCTCTCTGATCTTTTTCTATGTGGTTTTCCCTCCCGCTTTCTCTTTATCCCTCTCTTCCAGATTCCCTTCCCTCTCTTGTCTCGCTACCGCCCCTAAGATGTTTCCCCGACTCGTCCGTTTTTCCACCGGTTTCGTGTGGAGTAAATTCCGAGAGATACCGTATTATAGGCCTCGACTTTTCGACGCCGCTCCTGGAACGCGAGTCTTACCTTCTTTTGTCTCGCGGACCGACGAGACGGTTAATTTTACGATAAGCCAACATATACATATATATACATACATATATATATATATATATATATATATATATATATATATATCGTATATATATATACATACATATATCGCAGTGACACGAATCAAGCGTGCAGGATTATACCTGTATGTAGGTCCTCCCTGTATATACATACATATATATACATGTATATATGTGTATGTATGTGTGTATACATATAGGGGAGAGAAGGGAAAGGGGAAATTCTCCTTGCACCCACAGAAAGCGATGCCGCTTTTTTGCTGGCTCCGCACGCTGCACCTGCGATATACATGTTTTTTTTCCATCCTTTACCCTTCTCTTTTATCTATCTTCTCTCTCTCCCGCTTACTCCTCGAACGCACATCTGATCCTTTTATTGTTTGCTCGATCGAAATGTGTGTATATACATATATGTGTGAAAGAGATGCGCGCGCGCGCGCGTATTCGTACATTTGTTTGTACACAAATATCCGTTAAACGCGCGCGTTGTATATCCGGTATTCCGGTATTCCCGGTTCATGTGTCTCTTTCTCGGTATCTGTTCCCGGATTGACAATCGGATAAACCGAGAGAGAAAAGAGCTTTTTGTCAAATGAAGAGAGATGTAAATGCGAAAGAGATTTGTATACGCAAAAGCGTGAAGGAGAGGAAAAGGATATTTTTATTGCATGAATATTTCAATGTTTATTCTTAAAGAAATTAACAGTATTTGGTAAACAATTTTCCAAACAACTTTTTGCTGATTTTTACGAGAGAATTTTAAATTTTGCTTAGAATTTATCCTGAAAATTATTGGACAATGTGGTATTGGAAGAATTTTATAAGATATTAATTTTATAAGAAAAATTCTTAATTTTATAAGAGTTTTTCTGATTCATATTTACTACAATAAAAATATTAATATGTACATAGTAAAATTAATCGAACATATTTATATCTTATTGTGTAGATATTAATATTTTTTTATTGTAGTAAATATTTAAATCAGAGAAGCTCTTATAAAATTCTTTTAATATCGTATTGTCCCGATTTTCTGCATCACCATGATTTTCAGGATAAATTCTATAAGAAAATTTTCTCTGTGTATAGATATTGTATGTGTGAAGGAAAGGAAAGGAAATTTTATATATTTTTATTGCATGCATATTTCAATGTTTATTTTTGAGAAAATTAGCAGTATTTTAAGAAATTTTTCAGACAATTTTCTGCTGATAAAGAATAAGGGATTTAAATATTTTATTGATATGTATTAGTTCAATAATAAATTATTAATATTAACAAAGAGAGAAAATGCGAGATATAAGATATAGCAATTTGAAGAAACAATCGTGATATGATAATTATTCTTTTCAAGAAAATATAAGGCTCTGCGCACAATAGAAAAAATATTAAATATTAGAAATTATTTTAACAGTAAAATCGAAAAACTCTGGCATATAAATACAAATTCAGATATAAAGCTCTTACACAGGTCATTTATTTTCGAATTTATATATTTTTATATCAGAGTTTTCAATTCTATTATATTATTTTAAAATAATTCTTATTTCTCTCTCTCTCTCTAATATTTTCTTTATTATGTGCAGAGTAACATTTCAAAATACAAATACATTTACACACACATACACACAGTGGAGATTTATTTTGTTTTGAACGTATTTACATCATTGGGATGCGTAGAAATTTCGAAACGTAAATAGACGTAGGTCATTGAAGCAGATTTCAATTTCACGGGTTAACGACACGTGCGATAATTCCCTCTATATTATACGTAATATATTTACTATAATTATATTATATTATAATATATGATAACTATATTATTTTACTATAATACTATATTCCTATGATATGTACATGTAATATATATAATGTTTATAGGTACTAAATAACCTTTTCTTTATGCAATGCAATCTAAATCTATCGTGTGTACAAAAAATAATAAAAAAAAAAAAACAAGTGATTATAAAGAATTGTAGAGCCAAGAGGACGCAAACACACTTCCACGTGTGTGTATAAGTATTCATAGGAGCTTGCACATACCGGACACGCATTCTCTATCTTTGTCTCGTGTTGTTCGACAGAATACAGGCGCGTCTCGTAGGTTTACGTCACTAAACAACGACAGCGACGAGGACGATGACGATCGACGTGAAATAGACTGGCTGGAAAGATCGAGTCGCGTCCAAGATTGAACGATCGCTCGTATATACATATATATATATATATATACACGAATCGCCCGAGATGGAGACAGACAGACGCTCTGTTACGGTCTGTCTTAGCAATTAACGGTACATCGCCGCTCGAGCATTTAAGCCGCTGACCCTTTAAATCTGCTTGTGACGCCCTTCGATCGATTCCGCCTCGCGTTTGTGTGCGTGAGCCTGTACGTGTGTATGTGTCTCGTAATTGTCCGTTTGTCTCTTCGTGTGTATATGCGTAACACGCCTGTGTATGTGTGTGTGTATTGGCCGGGAATTGCGTTTCTGCATACGGGGTGTCCTCTCTTCTAGGGATGTTCATCGATACTCCGGTGTGTCTAGATATCGACGTTTTATAGAATCGATACTTTATGATATTGATAGAGATCTCGAAGTACAATTTCTTTTCCTTTCTTAGATCACGTAAATTAAATTTTGAAAGGGAACGAAAGAGAGAAATTGATTCGATCAATTTTATGTATTTTCTTATTTATATAATAATTGAATTCTCGGATATTGATGAATAGAAATTTGAAAATAACAGCGGTATTCTTGAGAGTTATTAATAACTCGCTATGAATGAAATTGTCGATGTTTTTTTTTAAAATAATTATATCTTGTGTATTACACGATTATATACGATCAGAGTAAATGACTAACGGTATGTATTATCTAATTACTCCGCAATTTTCCGGACGAATTTAAAGTGAAAATATTTTCGTGATAAATATTTGACGTTTAACGTTATAAAAAGATTTATTATCATTATAATAATTTATATACTTTTATATATATTAAAAAATATATTTAAAAACTTTATATTTATTTTTACAAAAATATATATTTTATATATTATATATATTTTTAACAATTAAACTTTATATTCAGAGATGAAACAAACAACGAACGAAATAAGAGCGATAGTCTTAATATTTAATAACTCGCTGTGATATATTTACATAGAAGATATTTAGAAAATATTGCTTTTAAAAAATTAAATTTTTTTTATTCTTAGCCTGCAATCTTGCAGGCGAGGTTTGCAGTTGTTTAAATTTTATTACATCTGCAACGTGTTCCTCGATATAGAAAATAAAAAGTATTCGCGACGGAGATATAAATCTTTGCCGATATACTTGTATACTCGAGAATTAAAAATTCGATCTCGAAGAAGATGATTTCCTCTCTCTCTCTCTCTCTCTCTCTCTCTCTGCGACTATTCTGTCTATCTGTCGTCGTATGTACAGGATTTATGGTCGGTCGTTAAATAGCGAATTAAAAACGCACTTGGGAAAGAACAAACTGAAAAATATATAACTAACAACAGCTGAAAGAGCCGGCGGCCGTTCCGTGCAACGCACACTTATAAATGCATAGAATTTTTCAATAGACGGACCAGAAAGACCGGTGGCGCAGTAATAGTGTAGTAGTAGTAGTAATAGTAGTAGAAGTCTAGTATAGTAGTAGTAGTAGTAGCAGCTTTTTTTTCAAAGACTCGCCAAGATTTAAGTCGCCCTGTTTTATCTCCTTGCAACTGATACCGATTCAATCACCTTCGTCATCGTCGAAGGGAAAATATTTAAAGGGCCACGTGGTTGATTATCGAGAAAATTAATATCGGAAGGATGAAGGAACGCGATAAAAATATAATATTGTCTTTTGACCTTAAACATCTAACATTCTGCAAAATTAAAAAGCTTTAGGAAAAAGGTTACAGGATACGTCGAGGATGAGCTTTGAGCATAAAAGTTGAAAAATCCTTTGCCTATATTCATATACATATAGGGAGAATTTTCTTTTAGAATTTATCCTGAAAATCATGTGGTAATTGTAGGACAGTAATTGGTATTAGAAGAATGTTATAAGAGTTTCTCTGATTAATATTTACCACACAATAAAACATATATTAATATGTTAGATTTAATATCGCAATATCTGACAAAAAATTTATTGAATTCAAATAAATATTTATTTCAATAATGCTAAATCATTTATTTGAAACTAATAATATTGATTTGATGTGAAAAAATATTTATTTGATATAAAAAAATCTTTTTCAAAACAGTTGAATATTTGTTTCAAATAAATGATGCATTTGGCAATATAGAAACAAATATTTATTAATTTAATAATTTTTTGTAGTGTAATATCTATGTGGATATCTAATATTATTATATATTAATATAATTTAATCTAATAGTATATCTAATATTGCACAATAAAATATAAAATATGTTTGATTAATTTTACTACATAGTTTACATAGTACATACGAACATATTTTATATCTTATTGTGGTAGAAATTAATATTTGTTATTGTGGTAAAAACATTAATCAGAGAAACTCTTATAAAATTCTTTCAATTCCATCTATCTATCTAGGTATCTCATATCTAATATTGCACAATAAGATATAAAATATATAAGATAAG